CGGTACCTCGAATATACAACGCAACCATTACATGTATACGGGTTGAGATGGCCTTGTGGTCTATAGTGTCGCACTTGGAGTTCTAGTTGGTCGGTCACTAGCCCCCCCACCCCGTCTCCGCAATTAGTTTCAAAATATTCTGTGCCATATATAAATGTCTTTTATTATGTTTGTGCCAGATAAATCTAATGGGTTTAAGTGAGACGAATCAGAGGCCCCGTGTAATTAATTAAGCTTGCATGGGATCCCTGGCTAAAATTGTTATTGGGGCCCTTACATCAACAGAGAAGTGGGGACATATTGCGGTACATGTTATGTCTCCCTTACTAAACTCTACCGTAACATACATGTATGACATATTTATACCTCTCTACTGTCCATTTAACCGGTGGTCGGAACTTACCGATTCCAGTTGCCTTTTTTTCAAAATCCGTTCTGTGGAATAAAACTCGTGGGGATTGAGATGTTTTTTGATCAAATGTAGCCTGGTAACTTGTTGCTTCCATTTTATATCTTGGAGATGATTCTGGTAACAGAGTTCTTACAGCACACACAGGTTTCTATAAAAACAATAATACGACTTTACACTTTGGGTTTAATTACTTTTTGTGTTCGTATCGTTTTCCCAGGGCTAAAAATGAAGCATCGAGTAATTTAATCATGTTGTATATCCACAACTGAAAATAAATCTTGTAACCTTGTGACAAATTGCCACCAGCAGTAGCCTTTATTCTTATGCCCTGCTTTCACGTGGGCTACGAATACTACGAATCGTCCCGAATAGTAGAGAATCGAAATTAATCGACATTCGTTGCCATTCGGCAAAACAATCAAAAAGATCGTGGAGAAATGGAAGTAGCAACGCAGCAGTCACGAAAGGGATCGAATGAAAAATATGCCGAATGTCAAGGTAGGGTTACGATAAAGGTGCGAAATGAAAGAATCATCTACAAATATGTCGCATTGCTTACAAATATGTCGAATTTAGTTACGAAAACACTACACTCCTCAAGAATGGTGCCGATAAAGCTACGAAAAGTTTACGATATTTGGCTACGACAGGTTTACGATAGATACATCTACGTAGACCGGCATTGATAGCCCACGTGAAAACGGGGCATTAATATACAAAAGGGTAAAAATAGATATTGTTAAATCTCAAATTGTTAGAATATCTGACCAAAATTATAAACATAATTTACCTTTCCATGAAGTTGGTCTAAATGTTGAGCTAGTCCAGGATGTGGATTATGTCGTCTGCTATCTAATGTTGTAATTAACATAGATGATCGAGGTGTTACCTGATCTGTTCTATTAACATGTTGAAATCGACTTTGATTTTCTGTTTTCCAACCATTTGCAATACAAGAACTTCTAAAAACATAAATATTATAAAAATTATTGCCACTGCACAGGCAAGGGCTATCTGAATTTTTATTTTAAAAATTGCATCTAAATTCGTATAATAATTGAATATGATTTGTCTTGATTTGAATTTGTTTTGTACAAGAGAATGTTTCAATTGGAAGCTGGTTGTTTATTTTACCACATGGCCAAAAATAGCAGAGTAACAGTTTTAGTTGGAACCAAGCCTGTACTGCGTTCGATCAACAGCGACCACCAGACAATTATTGTAAGAATTTAATGAAATAAAATGGGGTTTAGCGTCCTACTGCTAAACGTCCTTACTCCGACTAGGCTAATGAAGACGGGTAGGATTTACTGACTTTAATACGTAGTGGAATTTAGAACGGCCCATTCGTATTTGGTAACTGTCAAGGGTTCTTTTACGTGCACTCTATCGTGTATATACGTGACTTCTATTTTTCATCCAAACGACTAGATTATGTTCATTGCCAGGACCTCCGATCTGCACAGTGACAAGCGGGAAACAAGACTGAGGAAACTTCGATAAATTTAGTTGGCCAACACCGGGATCGAACCGGGACCTGCAGGTTAGCAAGCCAGTGCCTTAATCCAAAGTTTTATATAAAAATTCGTGAAACGATTCAACGAAAGGGGTACAATTTTGAGAATTTCTATGTGGAAAGATTTTTGTGTCTAGTTCAGTTCATTCCGAACGACGAGTAAAGAAATCCTAAAATTGCCTGCATCAAACCTAGTTGCCTATGGTTATCGAATGTTTGGCATTGCTGCTCCAACTCTGTGGAATGTCAAACAACAATTGAACAGTTCCGTCAAAAGTGCCAAAACATTATTTGACTTTGGGAAAAAGTTTAAAACACGCCTGTTTCAACAAACTTATCCAGAGTGACATTTGAAGCGATTAGAGGACGCCTCGGCATGGAATAGGCCATCAGATTAAATACATATGCATATTTATCAAATGTCGATTCAAAATATGTTCCCTACGTGGAAATAATACGAATTAGTGGATAGATTACGTTTTGCTATTTGTAAACTTGCATAGACTGTTTATTCTTACCCGTTAGAAGTTGTTGATTCCCATACTGAAAGTCCTGCTCGAGGAGTAACTTGTCCACATAGTGAGTTCCACATACTTTATATTAGTAATAGATCTACCAACTGGATCAAAAAACACAAAAACAACAACTAGTGATTTAGTCTGGGATAAAGATTAACTATAGATTTACGTGTATTACTATTAGTATTATACCCATAATAGTATGACGTAAGTACGTCTAATTATGACATTATCCTTTGTTATTTTTCATACTCGAACAATACAGATTTCGCGTACAACTACAAGACTTCTGTGACGGATTGACGGTTTCATCACAAATGTGTCAAATTCTGTCAATAAATGGTGAAAAAGTAATGCATTTTTGTAGTCTTTTATTAACAATAATTATTAATCTCCTCACAGTTTACAACGCAAGGGCGAACTAGGCGCACAACGTGTGTGTGTTGTGTGTGTGTGGGGGGGGGGGGCTCCGAGAAAATTTTGAAATATTAGGGAATCAGTGGTGATTTTAGCGCTTCTGAACCCGAATGTAATATCTTGACGAAATATGCATGTGGCCTTAATATTTAGACCTGACCGTGGCAGCGGCAACATAATTCTAACCCGCATTATGGTAACAGGGGGTGCTGTTTTTAAGATTGTATGGTGGTAATAGTGCCCATGTAAATCTCACCTGTTTCATAACTCAACAACACGCCATTACAACAATGTAAACATGTGATATTGTCGAATTCAAATAATTATGCCTGTATCCAATCAATCAGACTGTTGCAGCTGCATTCACCGGACACCAGAAATGTCTCTTCCCGAAAAATTGATAAAACAATTAGTAAGTCATTGGATTGCGGGCACTTCTAGTCTGCAAAATATATGTTGTCACCTGTATACCCAAAAAATCTAATTTGCAGTCTACACCTGGTAGAAAACCGGTAATCGATAATCTACTTATTAATCCAATTAATTATTATAATGTGATTAAATACATTGTGTTGTTTATGTTGCTCTATAGCCCGTGACTTTCAGAATTGGATTTCGATGAAAGTTGGTGAAACAGTCATGGGCATTCACTATATTACGGAGATTGCCGCATACTAATTTTCAACAGTCCGAGAAATGATAGCGGTTTTGTTATTCGATATATTTCCCGGTCATGTTAGGATTTTCTTCGTGATCGTTTTACACACAGTTACCAAGATAGCAAACAATTTAGATGTGTTCATAATAACACACCTTTTTGGATTTACTACTTCTTAGTTTATTACATGCAACGTTTCAATACTCTTACAGGTATCTTTATTAAGCAATCATCAATAATGAATAACAACCATACATTTATAGTACACCCATGAGTAAAAACAATTTAACAATCAAAACATAACATTAATTAAGACTTATAACAACAACATGAGCACATACAAAGCCGTCGTTCCCGGATAACATTAATACAGTTCAATGTGTTCCTGACTATCAAAATTATTCAATGAAATTTTTGGTTTTATTGCGCACTATAATCTGGTTTTCAAATTTTTATTTAAACTAAGCTACTGGTGAAAACCACAGGCTCGAAAATGTGTTGTCTCCTGTCATAGGAACAAATAATTTCTCAGCAATTGGTTATTTGGCAAGGTAATATTACGTAGCGGATCGTAGCCTGTCACGAGATGAACTTTTGTTAAACCTAACGGTAATCCTTATTCACTGTGGACCCAACTAGCCAGCCAAATGAAATACGGACACTAATTGTCCCCTTGTCAGTGGTGCTGGAAGGAGAGTCTGGCAAGGACAGCTGTCTAGTCGTTTGGTTGGGGCGAAAAACCGAGGTCCTGTGTGTATTTTGGCGGACATGTAGAAGATCCCTTGGCAGATGGAATTCGACATAAGAGTAGGCCATAGTGCCGTTGTCCGGACTAAATTTCCCTCATAGCACACTGCATGGCGTATGTCCGTCTTCATTAGCCCAGTCGGAGCAGAACAGTAGGGCGTTAAACCCCATTTCATTTCATTTTTTATATGTGATGTTATGGAGAAACAAGCGGTTGCCATGCAAGATACGTCCACATTTTGCAACAGATGGACAGAAAACAAGCTAGAAAGAAAAAAAAACAATATTTCGTACAATCAGGAAATATAATCCAGGAAGCTATGGTCCGATAAGTGCGAATATTAAAAGGAATCTAAATCTAAGGGATAGAAACATAAATTTTCAATTTCATCAAAATCAGATAAAAATTCTGACCTCTAGAGGGTCCACAACTTTGATATAACATACTTTATTACAATTTGCTTGCATAGAGCGGCCGTTTTGTCTGGTAGTTTCGGTCTGATTTTCACAAAATTCGAATCCGAACGGTTTTTTAAATCAGATAAAAATTGTGACCTCTAGGGGGACCACAAGCTAAAAACGCGATTTTTCAGGGATCATAATCCAGGAAGCTGCTAAGTTTCGTCAAAATCGGATAAGAATAGTAACCTGTAGAGTGTCCGCGAACAAATTGTGGACGGACGCACGTGGGAGTATAAGAAATAGTGGTCTGCGACCAGAACGAATGAGTTATTGGCCCTTGTTAACTGTCATAATCGATAGGGGGTGCCACCTGTCGGCCTCTTTTCCATCACAATCTTCCACGGTGAGAGACTGTCTCAAGTTCTAACTTTTTAGTCGTCTCGTATAATTCATAGAAAAGAATAAAACTGTTATCAATAATAAAATAATGTATGTTGACTCCACCCATGAATAGGCAATACTTTTATTTCGTTATTGGGTTGATATTATTCCTAACATGAACTCAATATTTCTTTCACATGGTCATGGCAGCCATGTTGGACCATGTGCTCCTCGCGTTGAAACAGTACAACATTGTCATTGCAAGATTTGTAGGCCTTCTACACGCTCTTTAATGACATATTCGAACTCTTAAACTAGTAATGCGTAAGCAAATAAATCCTTAATTGCATGCTTCTTCTATCTTATATATACCGGTAGTGAATTCTTTGATGACATTTCATTTGAAGAAATGATTTCTTAATATTTAAGCTAATAATATTAGTGTTTCATGATCAAACAATTTCTGAATTTGTATTAATTTTATGTTTTCATTAACCTCTATTACTTTTAATTTGTAATAGCCTAATAATTTTGTATATTCTTTGGCACCTGGAAATAGACACAAATGGATGGGTTGCAACGCATCGTATATTATATTAATATGAATCATGAATGTGTATAAACTGATTTACATTCAGTTTCTGTTTTTACTGTAATTTCTAATCAGTTATGTTCCCCGAAATACGCGAAGTGTGCAAATTGAATTGGCAGTCTTTGGCTTCTGGTTATTCCAGTCTGCTCCGGTAGTCTTCCCTTGTGGAATATGTCTAGTCTTGGTTAGCTCAGCATAGGAGCAGAACAGTAGGACGTTAAACCCCATTTCATTTCATCCAGTCACTTCATTTCTAATGGCACTCAAAAGTATTCTGGCATGTGATTCGTATGCCAAGTTTAAAATTGTCATTATTGTTATGTATATTGGATACGAGAAGTCCATCGTTTCGAATCCTAGCGTATTCATTACCAGGCTAATTCATTACCGGTAAAATCGGCGTATTCATGACCAGTATATTATAGGGTTGATTGGTCGGTATATAAAGGTGCTAATTTATAGTACTCATCAGTGCCAATGTCTATGGGTGTTAATTAATCAATTAAGACAAGACAATAGAAGGATTAACAAGGTATTTATAATATATTTTAAATAGTCATAATACAAACAACAGTTGAAATATTTCATATTCGAAGACAATATTTACATATAAAACATCGTATTCAGTTGATGCGATTAATAATAGCCATAGTTTTGTATTCAACTTTGAACTGAGTATTGTGTTTAACTAGATGTTATTTAAAATACAGTTAACTTGATATGTACCCGGTATCTGAGATATCGATATCAAATGGTGAAAGTTTCATATTTTATTTGAAATATATACAAATTCCAAGCTTGCATCGGAATTGGTTTGAAGTTTAAAATAACAAAGCCCGGATTTACAATCTCAAGCTTAAGATTAAATAATTTAAACAAAAACTCAATAATAAAAAAACAATTTTAATACATCAAACACCAATCATCAAAATCATCTATAATAATTATCGTATAGGCTTCTATCCACACTGATGAGTACTTATTAGCACCTTTATATACCGACCAATGAACCCTATAATATATTGGTCATGAATACGCCGATTTTACCGGTAATGAATTAGCCTGGTAATGAATACGCCCGATACCATCTTTTCACGGTAAGATAACATCAATGTTGATTTAAACTTCAAACTCCGCTTTCAGCGACTAAACGTATCTATTCCTTTATGTGTTTGTATTGTGTGTTAAAGGGAGATAACCTTACCGAAAAGTAAAATTCAGACTAATCAAGCAATGGCTAGATGTAAAACTTGCAGTTGCTGCTTCAGGAACATGCCCACCAACAGTTCCGAACCATTCAAATAATTAAGGTGCCCCACCATAAATAAATATCTCCAGATATATTGATAATTATACCACAATGTTCATAAACTTTCACTTAGTTTTCGCCTTTTATGGTCAAAAAATAAATGGTCCTGTTGTAACTTGAAAAGTTATAACCATTGAAAGTGCAAGAATAAATAAAACTGAAAAGGTAAACCACACACTAGATGCAAAATCCAGAGATTTTTGAGTGCCAAATAAAAAGATCAAAAGATGTAACATTTTGAAATATAAATTAGTATTTTCTATTTCAGATGGGTATCGGTGTGAAGGACGTGAATCAGCATGAATTTATAAATCGGCTGGCCGCTTTCTTAAAAAGGTATGTATCAAAATTAAATGTATTGCACACCTATATTTAGACACATGGGTTTAGGCGTGTACATTATCGAAAGTGGGAGCCACACTGAATCATTGAGTAAAGGTGCTTGTTCACAAATCTGGATTCCCATGTTTATTCCTGGTGTTAGCTGAGAAAGTCTTGTAAGTGGTGCAGTACAGAGGGCCATGCAAGAAAGGTCAAGTTGTTAGGATGGGTAAAAAAAACCCCCAAGGCTCTATATGTGCACATAAAAATAATCCTTGTCAGTTGGAATAAGACAAAGTGTAGGAAGAAAAGCAGCTGTCTGAGCAAAAATTCCCTCCTGGAAGACTGCATGGTTTTCTCACATCTTCCTTCATTAGCCCTGTTTGTGCAGAAAGTTGTTAAACCTGTTTTTAATCTGTCCACGGGGCGCCCTTCTGTCCATCAACACTTTTTTTTAGAATTTGACGAAACTTGACTAACTTCATGGATTATGGCCCCTGATTGTGTGAACAATCACGTTTTTAGCTTGTGGACACTCTAGACGTCCCAATGTTTATTCGATTTTCATGAAACTTGAAATATATATGTTTATTACCCAAAGATCTTGGTTTCGTTCGATATTCGTGCATATCAGACCGTAACTTCTTGGATTATGGCCCCTGATGGTATAAAAATTTCATTTTTACCTTAGGGCTTGCCACGAGCAAATTGGAGACGAGTAGATGACTACTCACGCAAATATAGACTTGCGCGAGTGAGGCGAGTACATGTATTTACTCGCGCAGAATGATGTGCGTGAGTAGCCATTTAAATTTCATGTGCCTAATGGAAATGCTCTTGTCACTTCGGTGGAAGCGGACGTTGAATAAAGCTATTTCACACACAATGGCAATGCATACTCTTTTTATTTCCTTGGCAGTAATATTAAATCGTCTTCCCATGAAAAGAACGTTGCAAGGGAAACTGGATTTCCCTTTGCCATCGTTGGCGTGCTGAGGGGATTCGGGTAAAGCTTAGAAAGGTAAAAGAACAGGAAAAACAATTTCAATCCCATCAATTTGCAGAAAAGATGCGGGATCGAAAGAATTGCTATAGAAACGACAACATCCGCTCAATTTTTGATTATCCAGACACGGCAAAGGACATCGGCTTAAAAACCGTCTGGCAGTACGCGTCTCAAAGTACTTTTAGTAACAACAGGTGGCACTAGAAAGACACGCCGAGTGCGTAATAGTGCATCAATATGAAGGCATACAAATTGTTTACAGCTTTTTTTATTACAATATTCCATTATTTCTGATTAAATTATTTTTTATATTTGCGCGAGTACTTAATCACTCACGCAAATTTGGTTTTACGCGAGCGTAGCGTGCGCGCGAGTAATTACTCGCTTCTCGTGGCAAGCCCTGTTACCTTGTGGTCCCTCTATAGGTCACGATTTTTTTTCCGATTTGAAGTTGTGGTCCCTCTATAGGTCACAATTTTTATCTGATTTGAAGAAATGACGGTTTAGTTCAAATTTCGTGAAAATAGGACTGCAACAGCCCGACAAAATGGCGACTCCCTATATGCAAGTAGTGTTAAAGTATGTAATATCAGAGTTTTGATATGATTTTGATGAAATTTACAATATTGTTAATAGAAGTAATAGAAAAGTTATTTGATTATAATATTTCCTGTATTTGTAGAAGCGGTAAAATGAAACTACCCGACTGGACAGATATAGTCAAAACGGGTCCATATAAAGAATTAGCTCCTTACAGCGAGGACTGGTTTTATATACGAGCTGGTGAGTGGCTAACAAATCTTCAGTTATATTGTGATACTTAAATGTTATGTGAAATGAGACGGTGAATAATTTGATGTCATGGATAAGGCCCCGATTAATTGTTTGTTTCTCATGACCTATGTTTGTGAAATATACATGAGGTAATTATTGTCCCTCGCCTTTCGAAGAAAGCAGGGGACTATTAAAATGGGTCTGTCCGTCACACTTCTTGGTTGCAAGCACTATTAACCCATGAATATATCTGCATTGTTTATTTGACCAACAAATTTACCTGGCTGGTCTTGTCCTGGGAGCCACGGTGGCTAAGTGAGTAATGTGCTGGCTCGCTAGTCAAGAGGTGTTGGGTTTAGAAAGTTTATCCCGATTTTCCGGCGTGGTTTCCCTGTGTCAGTGGTGCAGGATAGAGCTCCCCGACAAGGACAGCTGTGTAGTTGTTTGGATGGAACAAAAACTTAAGGTTTCGTGTACATTGACATGTCCGTAAAAGATCACTTGGCAGTTGGAATTCGATATAAGAGTAGGCCGTAGCGCTGCTGTTCCGGGTAGAATTTACCTCAGAGTACACTGTATGGTGTATGCCCGTGTTCATTAGCCCAGTCAGAGCAGAACAGTAGGACGTTAAACCCATTTCATTTCCTTTCACATGTCCAGAATATGGTGCTCACTGTAGATGTAATGGTATAGTCATTACTATATTCCAAATGATGACCATTAAATCCTACTGACTTTTTAAATGGAGGTATTTATGACTAATGAGTCTGATGGAATAGGAACGTATTTGGTCATAGCAGTAAATTTAAATACTAGATTGTCATTTCACTTAGTAATTTAAATACTAGATTGTCATTTCACTTAGTTAAATTGGGTATACAGTGAAATCCTGCTAAATGAGCACCTGAGCGTTCCACAACCCTTTCTTGTAAGAGTTAGGCCAGCTTTTCCCAAAACATTGTGATTACAATAGGGGCTTCATTTTTATTGGATTGTTTTTAAAATTTGGCCTGAAGCATTGGGGTCATAAGAGGAAGAACACGAGCGATATTCAGCGTTCCATTCTGTAGTTACACCCTTTTCCTATTAGGGGGTTTTATGGCCAAATGGTTAGCATGTGCGTGTTGTATCCTAAGGTCTGTCATTGAGTCAACTGGCATAGTTTCGATTCCCTGGTTGTACGTGACAAGGAGTAGGGTCGCCTGTCCAACCTCGTAGCAGTAGAGACTACAGTTTTTAACAAAATTTTTTTTTTCAAGCTTGTGAACACAATAGAGATAAGATTTCTTGATAGATCCTTTATCCATATCAAATTCAGTCAACATCCAAGTTTCTTTCAAATAAGCTGCTTTTGATACAAAGCTGCTGTGGCTACATACACTGTAGATAAATCCAAATGATGACCATTACATCCTACTGACTTTTTAAATGGAGGTATTTCTGACTAATGAGTCTGATGGAATGGGACTTTATTTTGAAGAGCAATTTACTCTTTTTGTTCGTAGAAATAAATTTGAATACTAGATTTTATGCAATTGCACTATGTAATGTTATAGTTAAATTGATCATATATAGGGAAATACCTGTAAAATGACCACCTCAGTATTACATGTCACTCGGCATTCTGCCACCTTGTGAACAAACATAGAGATCCAACTTTAAGTATTCTTATCAAATTATTTGCACACTTAATAAATCAAGGCAATCAAATTGATGACCATTAAAATTTACTGACAAAAGTAAATGGAGGCATTTCTGACTGAGATGGATCGGAATGAAAATGTGTTAAAATATTTTGTTATATGTTGATATATTATATGTTGCAGCTGCTTTATGTAGACGTATGTATATGAGAGCACCTCTTGGAGTTGGTACAGTAAAGCGAGTCTATGGAGGTAAGTCATCAACTTAAAATCTCTCAACTGAGGATCAAGGTTCTACACCTTAGGGTGAGGGGTTTTACATAGGCTAAGCCTGTTCCCCAATCATGTTCAGACAACCTAAGTAAATATATTGTTTATAAAAAAAACAAGGTTTTACACCTACAAGATGGTGTGTATAGTTGGTTAGATGACACAGGTAAAAAATAACATTTCGATGCAGAAGATATTAACTCTGTTTTCTAGTTTCTTTGAATTTTATTTCTTTCATTAGGTAATCAAAGAAATGGAACAGCCCCAAGCCATTTCTGTAAAGCATCTGGAGGTGTTGCTAGAAAAATTTTCCAAGCCTTAGAGGGTGTTAAAATGGTTGAAAAATCTACATCTCGAAAGTAAGTTATTAGTACTACTCAATAATAAAAATATCCATAACTTAACATAAATTTTCAATATAGGAGCAATTAATCCTTTAGATACTGGTAACTATTTCCAGCTGATTACTGATCCTACTTCTACTACACGTGTAGCTATTCTAATAATAAAATTTGACCAATTGAGTCGATCCTACAGAAATCTTGAGTACAGGTACATGAATTTTGTGTGATCCAGCAACTGGACCCCACATGATAAGAGTTTGTGTTTGGTTATTATGGTCTCCTGTTTACTGTGGTCTCTGATAACAAACTACGAACTTCTAGAATTGTCATTAGAACTAGAAATTCGGCTCATAATCTTATTTTCACTGGCTCCCAGTGGAGGCTTGTGTGAAATTTAAAATCCTCTCGCATTAAGGATATTTGGACAGCAATCTTTCCAGTGTAACATTTTGGAATAAGCTCCCATCAGATGTGAAAGATGCACTCCTGTTTAAAGAATATTATGAGACATACAAATTGTGATAGCACATAAACCATAATGTCATTAGACTGTTTGTAGTGCTACACTTCAGGCGTTAAAAGTACACTATTATATTATTTTTGTCCCCCGCCTTTCGAAGAAAGCAGGGGACTATTAAAATGGGTTCGTCCGTCTGTCTGTCTGTCTGTCTGTCTGTCTGTCCGTCCATCTGTCTGTCTGTCCGTCACACTTTTTGGGACACAATAACTCTCTTCCTAATTGAGCTAGAATGTTCAAACTTGGTGTATGTGTTTATTAGGTCAATGCCTTGATGGAGTTCGAAGATGAGCATTTTCCGCTTAGGGTAAGCAGAGATAAGCAATTTGATTGGTTGATGCTTTGGGACACGATAACTCTCTTCCTAATTGGGCTAGAATGTTCAAACTTGGTGTATGTGTTGATTAGGTCAATGCCTTGATGGAGTTCGAAGATGAGCATTTTCCGCTTAGGGTAAGCAGAGATAAGCAATTTGATTGGTTGATGCTTTGGGACACGGTAACTTTTAATTGAGCTAGAATGTTCAAACTTGGTGTATGTGTTTATTAGGTCAATGCCTTGATGGAGTTCGAAGATGAGCATTTTCCGCTTAGGGTAAGCAGAGATAAGCAATTTGATTGGTTGATACTTTGGGGCACGATAACTCTCTTCCTAATTGAGCTAGAATGTTCAAACTTGGTGTATGTGTTGATTAGGTCAATGCCTTGATGGAGTTCGAAGATGAGCATTTTCCGCTTAGGCTAAGCAGAGATAAGCAATTTGATTAGATGAGCATTTTCCGCTTAGGGTAAGCAGAGATAAGCAATTTGATTGGTTGATACTTTGGGGCACGATAACTCTCTTCCTAATTGAGCTAGAATGTTCAAACTTGGTGTATGTGTTGATTAGGTCAATGCCTTGTTGGTTGATGCTTTAGGACAAGATAACTTTGATAGAGAGTGATGAAACTTAAGTGTATAGTTGATAATCAGTTTGATTGCTTGATACTTTAAAAAAAATAAATGTGCGATAAATTAATGTGTCATCTAATTATTTTGGTATTTTGGCGGGGGACATCAGCCTCACTGTTGGCTTGTTATTAATATTTCAGGGGTCGTGTCTTGACTGGACGTGGTAGACAACATTGTGACATTATTGCTGCCCAATCTTACAGAAGATCTAAAGGTAAAATAAGGAAGAAGAAGAAGTTTGTACCCAAAAAAGCAGCCAAGGGAGGACCCAAAGCAAAGGCTGGTAAACCAGTGAAAAAATAAAGGAAATAAATGATATAAATAAACAACAAAGATGTTATTTTAATTAGCTCATGAGGCCAACTAATGGTTCTGTCTGTCATCCAGCCTAAAAAAATATGAAATAGCTGAGATACCTTTTTTTGGAAAGTTTCAGTTCAGAATATACATCCGTTTGGAAATGGTTGCAAATCTACTCAGTGGGGTTATAGTAAAATGTTGGTATTCACCCATATTATATATGATAGATCTGGTTAAATAGTAAATACATTCCAAATATAATTTTGTCATGGAAATCTTTGCTATGGTTGAACTGTCCTAAAGATTTAAAGAATCAGGAAGTAATGTAAATAAAGGAAAGAAGTCATTGTTACTGACTGAAGTAGAGACTTGAGAGAATATCATGCACACAAAACAACCTTTGATAATTCTCGTGAATAAACTAACTTTGATTTAGAATAGGTTGCCAGGCAGGGTTCAAGAAAGTAAAACAAGGGCCATAACTCTGACGGAAATCGCTGAATTTCATTGGGCTTCTTCGTTTCACTAATTTAATGATGCATATAAATTTCATACAGTGGGATGATAACTTTTGTTGTGAAACAAGGGTCATAACTCTATAATAGAAATTGTTGAAATTCAATAAGCTTCTGTGATTCACTAATTTAAATAACATATAATTTCATACAGATAGGAAGATAACTTTTGTCAGAAAGAGCATTCACATGGTTCAACAAAGTCAAACAAGGACCATAACTCTAAAAGTAATTAACAGAAATTGCTGGAATTCAATAGGCGATTCGTTTCACTTACTGTATAAACTTAGTCAGTTTTAATTTAAAGAGAATCCACAATTTTTTTCAAATTGATGAAGGGCCATAACTCTGACAGTAATAATCATAACTTGACAATCAACAGGATTCTTCGCCACATACTTTAACCTCTAGGGCGTCAACGAGCAATTGTGGACGGGGGATGACAATATACAACCCAGTTCAGTGTGCTATAAAAATTCTGGGTCCCAATAGTATGTGCAGGAGAACAGCATGCAAAACTGCGGACAGCCATTCTACACAAGACATTGCAAGAAATGAACAATTAATATCAATGTATTCGAGGGGGAAGCTGTAACTTAGTAAGCATCCAATGTTCTGTAAATCCCGGGCCTGTCATAATACATACAGGCACTATTCAAAATAAACAAGTGAGGCTGATGTCACACTCCGAAATTCCACATGTTAATTAATTGCACATTTATCCTTTTCAAAAGTATCGAGCAAACGAACTGATTATCTATACTGAACTAAAGATATCGTGTCCCAAAGCATCAACCAATCAAATTACTTATCTCTGCTTACACTTGGCAGCAAATGCTCATCTTGGAACTCCATCAAGACATTCACCTAATAAACTGCTACACCAAGTTTGGATATTATAGCTCAATTGGGAGATTATTGTGTCCCAAATCATGTCATGGACGAATAGTCCCCTGCTTTTCCCGAAAGGCAGACACCAAAAAGAATGTATATACTGCGACCAGTCTTGATGGTTATAGTCTTTCATTTTACGTCATGAGTTGGAAGGCCAAAATGTTTGACGACAATAAGGATACGGATGATAATCTGGATAGAATTTTGGAAAAGGCTAAAAATGAATGTTGGTCCGAGTTTCACGAAATTTTAACTTGGATAAAATCCAAATTTCAGTAATTTGATTGGATAATATTACATTGATTTTAGTGCTTAGCCAATCAAAATTGAAGTATCAACTGAAATTTGGATTTTATCTTTAGTTAAGATTTCGAGAAACGGGGCCCAGGACATTATAGTTTGGTAATGTAAAAATTATGACCTCTAGAGGGTCCACAGCTTAAAACGCGATTTTATGTAAATCCGGGCAATAATCCAGGAAGTTATGGTCCGATATGTGCCAAAATCGAACACGTCCGAGATCTTTGGGTTATAAGCATGTTTTAAGTTTCATCAAAATGGGACAAAAATACAACCTCTAGAGTGTCCACAAATGTGAACGGAAATGTGACGTATATAACTTATATGTGCATTCACGTGAACAGGGAGATTTTGAACTAAAATAGTGTTTTTCCTTATAATCTGGGGCCAGGTAGTCATGTGGTAAAGGCAGGGGACTCTTAATTATAATATCCAAGGTTCACATCTCAGATTTTTACAAACTGGGTTCGCTTGAGCATTCACTAAAATTTGGACATACTGAAGATGCAGGTGATGACCCCAATATCAGGGGCGTGGTGAGTGGTGACCCATGATTTTGCATGAGGAAAAAAACATTATTTATATATGTGTGTGTGTGTGCAAGGAAGGGGGAGAGTAATATTGGGCTGTGTGGAATATGACCCACGGTATATGTTTGATACTGGTTAAGCATTATGATTATGATTATAATGTTGAAAACAGCATGATTTTTATACGCCCACATTTTCATGTGGACGTATATTGTCGTCGCCCCTGTCTGTCCGTCCACAATTGTTTGTGGACACTCTACAGGTCACAATTCTTATCCAATTTTGACGAAACCTCTACAGGTCACAATTCTTATCCGATTTTGACGAAACTTGAAATATATAGTTTTATCTTCAAAAGATCTCGACTGCTTTCGATATTGGCATGTATCGGATCGAAACTTTATGGATTATGGCCCCTGTTTGTACGAAAAATCACGTTTTTAGCTTGTAGACCCTATAGAGGTCATAATTTTTATCCGATTTAAACCAGCGGCTGCCAGGCAGGATACGCCCACATTTTCGAGAGATGGATAGAGAACAAGCTAACAAGAAAATGATTTTTCCTAGAATCAAGGGCAATAATTCAGGAAATTACAATTCGATATGCGCATATATCGAAAGGAACTGGGATCTTTGTGTTATAAACTTACATTTCAAGTTTCAACAAAATCGGATAAAAATTGTGACCTCTATAGGGTCCACAACCTTGATATACCATATTTTTACGCTATTTGAGAACGAACGGCGGCCATTTTGTCTGTCAATTTTGGGGCGATTTTCACAAAATTCAAACTCAACTGTCCTTAGGGTGGAACGGTAATATAATAATACGGTTTTTTAAATCGGATAAAAATTATGACCTCTAATGGGTCCACAAGCTAAAAACATGATTTTTCGTACAATCAGGGGCCATAATTCAGGAAGTTACGGTCCGATATGGGCAAATATTGAAAGGATCTTTGGGTTATAAACTTATATTTCAAGTTTCAACAAAATCGGATAAAAATTGTGACCTCTATAGGGTCCACAAGCTAAAAACGTGATTTTTCGTACAATCAGGGGTCATAATTCAGGAAGTTACGGTCCGATATGCACGAATATCGAAAGGAACCGAGATCTTTGGGTTATAAACTTACATTTCAAGTTTCAACAAAATCGGATAAAAATTGTGACCCCTATAAGGTCCCCAACCTTGATATACCATATTCTTACGCTATTTGGGAACGAATGGCAGCCATTTTGTCTGTCAATTTTGGGCCGATTTTCACGAAATTTGAACTCAGTCATCCTTAGGGTGTAACGGTGATATAATAGAACGGTTTTTTAAATCGGATAAAAATTATGACTTCTATAGGGTCCACAAGCTAAAAACGTGATTTTTCGTACAATCAGGGGCCATAATTCAGGAAGTTACGGTCCGATATGCACGAATATCGAAAGGAACCGAGATCTTTGGGTTATAAACATACATTTCAAGTTTCAACACAATCAGATAAAAATTGTGACCCCTATAGGTCCACAACCTTGATATACCATATTCTTACGCTATTTGGGAACGAACGGCGGCCATTTTGTCTGTCAATTTTGGGCCGATTTTCACGAAATTCGAACTGTCATCCTTAGGGTGTAGCGGTGATATAATAGAACGGTTTTTTAAATCGGATAAAAATTATGACTTCTATAGGGTCCACAAGCTAAAAACGTGATTTTTCGTACAATCAGGGGCCATAATTCAGGAAGTTACTGTCCGATATGCGCAAATATCGAAAGGAACTGAGATCTTTGGGTTATAAACTTACATTTTAAGTTTCAACAAAATCGGATAAAAATTGTGACCTCTATAGGGTCCACAAGCTAAAAACATGATTTTTTGTACAAACAGGGGCCATAATCCATGAAGTTTCGATCCGATACATGCCAATATCGAAAGCAGCCGGGATCTTTTGGGGATAAACCTATATTTCAAGTTTCGTCGAAATCGGATAAGAATTGTGACCTGAAGAGAGTCCACAAACAATTGTGGACGGACGGACGTCCGGACGGACAGGGGCGACGGCATAATACGTCCACATGAAAATGTGGGCGTATAAAAACCGTATTATTATATCACCGTTACACCCCAAGGACAATTTGAATTTCATGAAAATCGGCCCAAAATTGACAGACAAAATGGCCGCCGTTCGTTCTCAAATAGCGTAAAAATATGGTATATCAAGGTTGTGGACCCTATAGAGGTCACAATTTTTATCCGATTTTGTTGAAACTTGAAATGTATGTTTATAACCCAAAGATCTCGGTTCCTTTCGATATTCGCGCATATCGGACCATTACTTCCTGAATTATGGCCCCTGATTGTACGAAAAATCAAGTTTTTAGCTAGTGGACCCTATAGAGGTCATAATTTTTATCCGATATTAAAAAAACGTATTATTATATAACCGTTACACTCGGTTCCTTTTGATATTCGCGCAGATTGGAATGTAACTTCCTGAATTATGGCCCCTGATTGTACGAAAAATCGCGTTTTTAGCTTGTGGACCCTATAGAAGTCATAATTTTTATCCGATTTAAAAAAACGTATTATTATATCACAGTTACACCATAAGGATGACTGACTTCGAATTTCGTAAAAATCGGCCCAAATCTGACAGACAAAATGGCCGCCCTTCGTTCTCAAATAGCGTAAAAATATGGTATATCAAGGTTGTGGATCCTATGGAGGTCACAATTTTTATCCAATTTTGTTGAAACTTGAAATGTAAGTTGATAACACAAAGATCTCGGTTCCTGTCGATATTTGCGCATATCGAATTGTACTTTCCTGAATTATGGCCCTTGATTGTAGGAAAAATCACTTTCTTTTTAGCTTGTTCTCTATCCATCTCTCGAAAATGTGGGCGTATCTTGCCTGGCACCCGCTGGTTTCTATTTACGAGGTTGCACAAAAATTCATGGGGGCGCAAAACTCAAAACCATGACGCAAAGTGCATCATTACGTCCCTCTCACTTAGCCCCTGCCCTATATTTGAACGTTTAACAAAAATAGATGTATCTATTAAACTATTCAACCAACAGTTGATACAAAAACTATTGTAATATAATTTCCTCCCAGCCCAATCAATTTGCAATAAACAATAAATTATTTAACATTATAAAGGATGTTTATTGTTTATGATTTACCAGTGTATTTATGATATTTAACATAATCGTTATATAACATTAGAAAGACATCTTTAACACCTTGTGGTAGAATAGCTTGTAATTGTTTTATTCGATGGTCATCACAAATATCTAGTAGATGATAAATACTGGGTACTAGAGCTTTCTGAAAAGAGAAAAGGAATTTTCATTCATCAATGGAAGACTTTCAGAAATATTTATAGGATCATTTACTACCCGCCCGGGGATTGATCATGTTAACAGCATTCTTATTTCTCATTCAACAGTCAATAGCTAAGTCACAAGATTAGACCCACTGACACATTACACAATTTTTATCTCAAGAAATCATGCTAATGGCCAAAAACTAATATAGGTCCATTGCAAATTTCGTCATAGGTCACAAGATGTAAATAGGGTTAGGGCACATGATTCTAACCCTAATTACATCTTGTGACCTATTACAAAATTTGCAATGGACCTTAGCTTTTAGACCTAACCAAAAATCAGAAAAGCAAGAATCGAAATAACTCTTATCTGCACGAAAACAAAACACATTCTCAATAAATTTAAATCTCTAAGAACAGATGATTTGAAAGTAGCAACCAATCATCATTAAGTTCAAGATAACTGTATTAAACCAGTAGATTGGTTATATATTTGACAATAATAGGATCATTGTTTTAAAATTAGATATGGTTAAAACCGGTAACTGAGATCTGCTGAAAAGTGTGAAGGCATCAATTTGAAAATCTGTTTTATCACAACCACCTGTTTTTAATTAATTGTGATGGAGTACCACAACAGATCGATATGTTACCTTAACTACTGGTAATAATGTTACTTTCTGTACTTCTGTACAATAATCAACCACCACATACATAGCTACTTTACCAAATCCTACTTTCTCTTTACTATATAAATTACACAATCTGTCAAAATAAACAATTTTTTTATTGTCAATCTGTAATTTAAAATCCAATCTTAGTTTTCTATAATTGAAAAAGCACACAGAATATTTGCCAAGGTCATTATATTCATATACTATTTTATACAGCTCACTAGAGTAATCTGGTAACAAGCACATGGCCTAGTCTGTACAAACGTTTTAAGAATTATTATCATTTTATAAACACAGATGGTAGCAAGAAATCAATGCAAACCAAAATACGTAAATCCAAAATGGTCATCATTGAAGACTGAAGACTGAAATGATGGAATTATTTAGACTCTATAATTGTATTTTATTCTCATATCCTATGATGTTTGGGCTTTAAATTTACCTGTCCTTACCTGGTTATAAGATTAGCACAAACACAGATATCTTCTTTATAATCTGTATATGTTGTTAATCTATCTTGATCACCATACTGTGCTATCACTTTATATAATAGTAACAAGGTTAAAGATAAACAAATTGAAGCAAAGTTATTGTGTCCTAAATAATCAACCAATCGAGCTGCGTATCTGTACTTACCTTAATCAGAAAATGCTCATCATTGAAGACAGTCAAGGCATTCACCTTGTTTGTTTGTTATGAAAGGATATATTTTGTTACACTGATAATAGTTGGTATGACCGCTACTGCTGTTGATCCATGGTTAATAAAGAAAGAATAGACAATATCAGCCAGTCCTTTAAAAACAGGGATTATTAACTCATATCTTAATTCTAGATTAACCAGATGACAACTATTAAGACACAGAACAGCAACGTGAGGTTTCATTAACATCTGAAAACCAAAAAATTACACAATATATTAAGTGTGTCTCGAAGATAGATATGGTCTAATTTTCAATCACAAAATCTAATTCTAATCCAAATCTACATTTTACCAAATAAAATTTGAATAAATATTAAAAAAAAAAGGATGTAAAATTTCTTCAAGAAAGGTTATAGGCTAGATGTGATGAAAATCATTTTGGATTAATCAATTTACAACAATATATATATTCTATAAAGTAAAGCTTACATTTCCATATGATAACATGGATGCTTGTGTTGTTAAAACTGGTAATACTATATTGATGATACATTCACTCGAGTCCAAATGTATAACGTCTTGTAATAAATTACCACAATTTATTAATAACTAGAAAAGAACAATAATATACTCAAATAAAGCGAGGAAGACAAACTTTCTCCTGCTATCTAATCTAGGCATCAAAGTTATGGTTGTACTATATGTAACATAGGTCTTTGTTAACTTTTCAATAATTTGCACATGGATCATGTTGACCATTTGAAAATTTAAAGATAGGTTACCAGACAACGAAACATATAACCACATAAGCTTCGTGCCAAGCAGTCAACAAAGGATGTCCATATCTATCTTTTAGTAGGTTATGGAACATTTACAAGACATTAAAAACTAATCAAGATTAACAACCCATTCAGTAATTATCAGAAATAATTAAAATTTGATTGACCTGCAGTTCTCCTTAGTGGTTACATTCATTAAACAAGTTATTGAAATTCAATAATTGGCTTCTTAGTCTCATGAACAAATTTTTCAAAGTGATCAAGCGCCATAACTTTTTTTCTAGAACTTTGAAAATTAATATGCTTTTTTGTCTCATAATTTAAATACTGAATATAAATTTTGAGTCATTATTTTGGATGATAGGCAGATGGATGAGGTTGACAACAATATACAACTACATTTCAAAGTTGAGCGTATACAAATCGGCAAATATTATTACTGTATTGTTTCTGATAAAACAGATCGGTTTACATCAGAAAACTAAAGTTCTCGAAGTTCCTGTATTGATATGGAGTATTAACTTACTGTAGGTGTAACATCTGATATAATTAATCCTTGTACAGGTGTTAATGATAAAGTTAATATTTCCTTCCATATCAATAAAGCTGACTGGATTTTATTTTCACCTGGACAACATGGTACGCACTAAAATATAAAACATACAGTAGTGGAATGTAGAGAGAATATAACAATCGATTGTCTGAGATTAAAGACTTGATGACATAAAACAATAACCATATGTCAGTTACAATATGACTGAATCATTGAGTTGAAGAGACACTTAACTCCATTCCTATCACATACTACATACAATTAACACATTTCTCTAATAGTAAAACATTATATAGATACTTACAACATCATGTACTATCTGGTTTATAATCTTCTTAAAATTATCTTCATCACAGGAACGTATAACTAAAGCCATTAAACTATGTATAGACTTGCTGATTGTTGGTGTAGATGCTGTGTTTTGTACTGATTGTGTTTTAGAATGTGAGAGTATAGCTTGCCACACCTGTAGTGTTGTATGCTGGTTGAGTATAGTAGATAGATAAGTACTATGTATATATAATGTAGATAAATACTTCAGGTATATATCCAGATCATCTTTGGTCTGAAAGACAAAATTATAAATGTAATTAATATTTAAACATGAGATTTGTCAGAAAATCTAATTTAATTTATTTTTGAGAAACTTAAATATACATTATGCAAGAGCTAAATCCACCCACTGCAGGTCTTTCTTTAGGCCTGAAATGTTATCTCAATTATTAATTAGACATTAATTAATTGATCAAGACCATAATCAACCCTTAAAGCCATCGCTATCCTGCGATATTTATCGTACTGACTTAAGTAATAATGATCAAGGCTAGGCCTAAAATTTAATCGCTAATATCTCGGTTCAGAGTGGAGCAATTTCACAGATATTTTCAGCATATTCTCTTTATGTTATCTATTTTTTAACTATTATAGCGAGAATTGTCAACTCTTTATCTAATCTCCTATAATGCGCCTTTAAATAAAGAAAATGCTTATTTGGTTTTTTTTTGCATTGCATCTTTAAAAATATAGATAATAAATTAAATAAAACTGTACATACCTGTTTAGTGTGTAATCTTTGTAAGACTGTTTGAAGTATAAATTGTATATTGTGTATTAAATGTGTATTATGTTTGATTTGTTCTGTAAGACAGTTAAAGTGTATAATACGTGTGACTAGTGTGATTGTATGTACTGTTATATCTTGTTGTATTAATGTTGATATTACTGTATCACTAATAGTTTTAATATACTCCTTACATTTTAAACTAACATCATCTCTAACAAACTCACTTTCATAATGCTGTAATATAAATATATAATATTATTACTTCACAATAACAACAAACAACTCATTGGATTTGGTCACTTTCACTCATTTAGAATCAGAGCTATGGTGTTCCAAATCATCGAAAAACCAAATTGCTAAAATCTGCTTAATCTCAGCAGAAAATGTTCATCATGGAACTTAGTTAAGCCTAAGGCATTGATGTGATGAAACTATACACCAAGTTTCATCACAACCACTCAATTAGAATCAAGGTTATTGTGTCCAAATAGAACTGAGCTGAACTTTGTGAAGGGTTTCATCATTCATGCAATAAGAATCAAAGTAATTGTGTTCCAAATGAAATTCTTGATCTCTGTTTAGCTGTTTAGCCTAAGCAGAGAATGTTCATCATCAAACTCTGTCAAAACACTCACAATCTAGTCTCCTTCATTTCTCCCTACTTTGTCCTTAAACAATATTCACTAACTAATAAAAATTGGTTTATAACACAATATCTAAGTATATTTGTGATCCATGCATTTGATCTGGTGAAAAAAATTACTGTCAGTGCTCAGACAATGTTTTTTTTTATTTGAGAGAGATAAATGGGGTTCAACGTTCACTTGACACAAACTAGGTCATTTTGTATAATTTGCTTGCACACAGGGTTCTTATAGTGGGAGGAAACTGGAGGACCAGGAGAAATCCACAAGGTTCGACAGGTGACCATACTCCTTGTCACGTACAAGTGGGGAATTGAAACCATGTCACATGACTCAATAACAGACCTTATGATCTATGTTCATGTGTTAAACTATTCAGACATCCAACCCACATTTTTTATTAGAACATACTTACTGATGTGAGTTCTTTAACTAATGAGGCTAATATATATATCTTAGCTTCCTGACTATCATCAGATAATGGTAAATCTTCAATACTTGTCACCAACTGCAAAAAAAATTCAAAGCTATCACAAGTCTTAAATATCTTTAAAACTTTTAATTGTAATGAATAAAAATTGTCCCAATAACAGCATGTTGAAGCATTGCAGTTGTATTATTTTCATAATTATTTTATGACATTAGCCCATCCTTGAAAATGATCATTCAATATTGTTCAATGTGAGAAATTTGCAATCAAATTAACAGTAAATTCTGTCCTCTTTTATATACAAGTTTTGTCAGTCATGTACTCCAAAAATTGAAGTCAATTTCAAATATACCATGGCTACAAAAATTTGAAATGCCTTGTTAATATGTTTCCTCTGTTAATCAAATATTTATACTCCTACCTGCTTAATATATTCTCCCATAGTTAATAATACATCTACATTAACTAATACAGCATAACAACTCATATCAACTAAACACTGCATCTTATACTTTAATTCTTTATCCTATAATATAAAACATTGTATCTTTATCCTATAATATAAAACATTATATCTTTATCCTATAATATAAAACATTGTATCTTTATCCTATAATATAAAACATTATATCTTTATCCTATAATAGAAAACACTGTATCTTATACTTTAATTATTTATCCTACAATATAAAACATTGTATCTTTATCCTACAATATAAAACATTATATCTTTATCCTATAATATAAAACACTGTATCTTTATCCTATAATAAAAAACATTATATCTTTATCCTACAATATAAAACATTGTATTTTTATCCTACAATATAAAACATTATATCTTTATCCTATAATATAAAACATTGTATCTTTATCCTACAATACAAAACATTTATTTTTCGATATATTAATCATAAGTAACATAATTTTTTATGTTTATGACAATTAAATGGCTTGTTCATATGAACAACTACAAAAGTCAGTAAGTCTCAACTTCATTTGAACAGATCTGAATAAACATTCATCTCAATCTCACAGATAAAAGACGGAAGTTCTAGAGAAGAGTTTTTTTGTGAACAGTTTCAGGAAGGATTTATGTGAACAATCAATCAATGGTTTATCATCCAAGGCAAAAGACTGAACACAGGTGATGATAACATTATAAAGATGGTCTAAACTAATCCAAGTAGAAGTAATATGATAATCTGTCCAATACTAATAAACCATCATGTTCACTACACATCTAACTCAGGTAACATGAATATAGAACAGATTCTACTATTTAACATGAATATAGAACAGATTCTGCTATTTAACATGAATATAGAACAGATTCTGCTATTTAATAAATGAGAATAGTCCAACTTACCTGTTTAAAACAATGTGTATATAACTGTATTAACCAGATGAAGTAAGGAGTTGGTGATAATAGTTGAAATACAGCTACACGATTACAACTCTCGAATAAAATACTTAATATACACATATAATCACATAATAGATGTTCAATAGATTCATTATCTTCTTTCTTTACATCACTCTTTCTTTTCATACCAGTTTTTAATTGTTTTATATTTTTCTTACAATTAGTAAGTTTTTTCTCAAGAAAGTTGATGATTAGAATACACACATATATAGTACGTAATTTCTCAGCTTCTTTAAACGAGGATATTGGTAATGCCTTCAACACCTTCAAATAAATGTATTATATATATTACAATTTCAATTTAACAATTTACTCTTAACACAAAAAGATATTAAATTGTGTTATAGTGTGTAGATATGTGTTTTATAGATATATATTAGTATTTGTGTTACTCTACATAAAACATGAGCAACTAAGTTTTTAATCATAAATATAAATTCCCTGTTTAAGGTTTGTAAAGTGTCTTAGATTATCATTATTTTATCATTATCACTGGAGAAATAATACAAGCAGTGAAACACGCCCCATGTCTACATATACATAATTGCAAGAAAGTGCACCACAATTTTGAATGAATCTGTTTGTCAGGATCATTTCCCGGTCAACAAAATTTCATTCGAAATGTATAAATATAATTTACCTGTGCTGTTATAGAGAGTATATCAATAGGTAATTGTATAATATATATTTACCTGTGATGTTTTATAGAGTATTTCAATAGGTAAATGTTGATCTATTGTATCACTGTTCAGTCTCTTTAATACAGTTGTTACAATACAGGTTAAACAACTTAATGTTTCTCTGCAATTATACAAAACTAAATTACTTTACATGCACAAAATATAATATTCTATTATTAATAAACATTAGATGAGAACAAAAGTAAAATGAAATGCATTTTAAACTTCAATCAACAATGTTGTTTGAAGACCAGCAAACGGTAACATTAGAACCGTCTTTAAATTCTAACTTGCCAAGGGCTTTTTAGTATTTGCAATCTAACGACATGAGACTTTATGTAATTCTGCTGACTAGAAAACCTAAAGACTTAAACATACATTATGCAAGAGCTAAATCAGATTATTGCAAGTCTTTATTTAGGCTTCAGATGTCATAGAAATTATAAATTAGATCTTTATTTACACAACAAGCACAAAATCAACTCTGTAGACCCACGGATGGCTTGAATTCGGCTTGGATTTAAAACAGGATTTCATTGACTGATTACATTTTTAAATGGCGTTGTAAGCGTTGACGTCATACCTCCGGAAATTTGAGATCTAGGCTAGTGTACGAAGCGAGGCAAAACATTTAGAAAAAAAAGACTTGACAGTAAGACAACTCAACTAATAATATGCATTACCTTTCCATTGTTTTGTGCCATTCTATTTTCTGTTCACTTCCTATCAATGCAGCAGTTGCTTTCTTCTTTTTAGGACTGTTAAAATAACATGTATCATTATTACTATATAATATATAATATAATATCATAAAAGTGGCCGAGAAGAAGGCCAATAAGAATATTTTTTAATGCAAGACATTATCATAATCAAACCCAAATAGATAACACGTAGTATGTTTCATACATTATTATAATATATTTATTTATAATAAATATTATTTACCTATCAAGTGTTGTATCAACAAATATATGTTTTAATAAAGAATTAATCAAACAGGAATGTAGTTTCCTTGTATCTTCTATTGGACTGCTATATAAAAACTTCATACAGTCATAATAAAAACTATGAGTTTCTTTATTCTTCTCACTGCTATTAAATAAAACCAATATAAGTAAATACTATGTTATAATCATTAGCACGGTTGGCTGAAAAGTTGTAAGCCTGAAAAGGATACATCAGTTGGATTGAAACAAACTTTAGCCACTAACAATTACAATCATTGAATGAATCATAGACATAAGAACTGCAACTGTAGTGTTATTATTGTCTTTATACCAGACCGTCTTGTGAACCTACCCCCTGAAATCACCAGAAATGGACAAAACTGGCTATAGGGCAGTCATCAAGTACCTGCAACTGAAAGGACTAATAGTCCATGGGCTGGAGGGGCTCACCTTGCACTCCCCCCTAGAATCTACAAAGTGATGTTTTTCTGGAAGGTTATTATGTATATTTAAATATTTTATATGTTACCACGCGAAAAATTGGGTCTCACTAACTTTTCTAGGTAGTTTATATGTAACTGTCACCACAAAGCGTGCGAAAAAAAAATGGGATAGGGGAAATGAAAATGACCATAGCTCCAAGTAGAATAGGTGTATAACAATGGTTGACCCCTCAAAATGTGTCTTTGGGTTCCCTTTACACTTTGCACTTGGTTTTATGCAAATGAGATTACTTAGTAGGTCACCAGAGGTCAAAAGGTCACCGATTTCGGAGGTTGCTTTAAATTGGGCACTACTTTGTGAATCACACTAAAAACAGGTGATAACATGCAATTTTCTCATTATAATACTTGGAATTCTTTATTATAGATAGGATTTGACAATTACAAATCACCCATGCTTAATTATTTTAGTACAAAATCATTTTAAGACAAAGAGAAAAAGGGATTATTTACGAAGTCACCAAAACTACTGCTTGTCAGTACAATATTCTCTAAAACTGCCCCAACTAAGTTTTTGTTCACCAATTCTAAAGTGTGACCACTCAGAATTTTTGTATTGAAGCCCTCTGAGTAAGATTGTGCTGCCATCTATCAGGCCTTTCCATAAACTGAGTCAGTACTCAGTAGGCCTACTAATTTAAAAGAATTGCCATGTAGATGTGATGTATGATAGATTTTATCCAGGATTCTCGCCAATATGTAAATAATTTTCTGGCACATTCATATTTACTTAGCTTACAAAACGATCAAAGTTGGGTCGTACTAAACTTTATTACCGTGATTATGGGGGAGGGGGGGGGGGGGGTATTCAAGGTAAAAATATGTGTCTTAATACCAAATTCTAGATATGATATTACATATCACTAAAAGGCAGGTTCATTGCTCTTTTCAAATATGTAAGTATTTTTCTGGCACATTCATATTTACTTAGCTTACAGAACGATCAAAGTTGGGTGGTCCTAAACTCTATTACCGTGATTACGGGGGAGGGGGGGAGGGTATTCAAGGTAAAAATACGTGTCTTAATACCATTTCCAGATATGATATTACATATCACTGAAAGGCACATTCATTGCTCTTTTCAAATATGTAAATAATTTTCTGGCACATTCATATTTACTTACATTACAGAATGATCAAAGTTGGGAGGTACTAAACTCTATTACTATGATTATGGAGGGGGTAGGGGTATTCAGTGTCAAAATACGTGTCTTAATACCGAATTCCAGATATGATGTTACATATCACTGAAAAGCACGTTCATTGTTCTTTTCAAATATGTAAATAATTTTCTGGCACATTCATATTTACTTAGCTTACAGAACGATCAAAGTTGGGTGGTCCTAAACTCTATTACCGTGATTACGGGGAGGGGGGAGGGTATTTAAGTTAAAAATACGTGTCTTAATACCAAATTCCAGATATGATATTACATATCACTGAAAGGCACGTTCATTGCTCTTTTCAAATATGTAAATAATTTTCTGGCACATTCATATTTACTTACCTTACAGAATGATCAAAGTTGGGAGGTACTAAACTCTATTACTATGATTATGGAGGGGGTAGGGGTATTCAGTGTCAAAATACGTGTCTTAATACCGAATTCCAGATATGATATTACATATCACTGAAAAGCACGTTCATTGCTGTTTTCAAATATGTAAATAATTTTCTGGCACATTCATATTTACTTAGCTTACAGAACGATCAAAGTTGGGTGGTCCTAAACTCTATTACCGTGATTACTGCGGAGGGGGGGGGGATATTCAAGGTAAAAATATGTGTCTTAATGCCAAATTCCAGATGTGATATTTACATATTTGAAAAGAGCAATGAACGTGCCTTTCAGTGATATGTAATATCATATCTGGAATTTGGTATTAAGACACATATTTTTACCTTGAATACCCTCCCCCCTCCCCCGTAATCACGGCAATAGAGTTTAGGACCACCCAACTTTGATTGTTCTGTAAGCTAAGTAAATATAAATGTGCCAGAAAATTATTTACATATTTGAAAAGAGCAATGGACGTGCTTTTCAGTGATATGTAACATCATATCTGGAATTCGGTATTAAGACACGTATTTTGACACTGAATACCCCTACCCCCTCCATAATCATAGTAATAGAGTTTAGTACCTCCCAACTTTGATCATTCTGTAATGTAAGTAAATATGAATGTGCCAGAAAATTATTTACATATTTGAAAAGAGCAATGAACGTGACTTTCGGTGACATGTAATATCATATCTGGAATTTGGTATTAAGACACGTATTTTTACCTTGAATACCCTCCCCAATCCCCCGTAATCACGGTAATAGAGTTTAGGACCACCAACTTTGATCGTTCTGTAAGCTAAGTAAATATGAATGTGCCAGAAAATTATTTACATATTTGAAAAGAGCAATGAACGTGCCTTTCAGTGATATGTAATATCATACTTGGAATATGGTATTAAGATGCGTATTTTTACCTTGAATACCCCCCCTCCCCCGTAATCACGGTAATAAAGTTTAGTACGACCCAACTTTGATCGTTTTGTAAGCTAAGTAAATATGAATGTGCCAGAAAATTATTTACATATTGGCGAGAATCCCGGATAAAATCTATCATACATCACATCTACATGGCAATTCTTTTAAATTAGTAGGCCTACTGACTCAGTTTATGGAAAGGCCTGATAGATGGCAGCACAATCTTACTCAGAGGGCTTCAATACAAAAATTCTGAGTGGTCACACTTCAGAATTGGTGAACAAAAACTTTGTTGGGGCAGTTTTAGAGAATATTGTACTGATAAGCAGTAGTTTTGGTGACTTCGTAAATAAGCCTTTTTTCTCTTTGTCTCAAAATGATTTTGTACAAAAATAATTAAGCATGGGTGATTTTTAATTCTCAAATCCTATCTATAATAAAGAATTCCAAGTATTATAATGAGAAAATTGCATGTTATCATCTGTTTTTAGTGGGATTCACAAAGTAGTGCCCAATTTCAAGCAACCTCCGAAATCGGTGACCTTTTGACCTCTGGTGACCTGCTAAGTAATCTCATTTGCATAAAACCAAAGACAAGGTGTAAAGGGAACCCAAAGACACATTTTGAGGGGTCAACCATTATTATACACCTATTCTACTTGGAGCTATGGTCATTTTAATTTCCCCTATCCCAATTTTTTTTGCGCATGCTTTGTGGTGACAGTTACATATAAACTACCTAGAAAAGTTAGTGAGATCCAATTTTTCGCGTGGTAACATATAAAATATTTAAATATACATAATAACCTTCCAGAAAAACATCACTTTGTAGATTCTAGGGGGGGGGGGGGGGGTGCAAGGTGAGCCCCTCCAGCCCATGGACTATAACCCCAACACAGATACAAGCTGACATTGTCTCCACTTTAGGGGATAAAGCCCCTTACTTTTCCATAGTAAAGAAGTAGACTACAGAATTTAAGCGTGACAGAGAGAGAGCCTTGACGGTGGCCTGCATCTGGGAAGGTCATTAAAAGCAACCATTCAAGAAAACATTACCCGGATGCATGACATGGTGAATGGCTGGTCAACAACTGACCACTCAACATACTGCCAGTGTTGTGGGCATCTCTCATGAGAGGGTTAAGCACATTATTGCCAACGAGTTAGGAATGACAAAAGTTTCTGCAAAGATGGGCACCAAAGCTCTTGATTGCGTATCAGAAACGTGTCAGATTCCTGACGTCCCGTGACAATTTGCACCGTTTGGAAACGGATCCTGATTATTTTTTGCAAGATTTGTAACCATCGATGAGACCTGTTTCCAAAAATGAAAAAGGAACTAGCCGGTTGTCATTTTCCTAGTAATTATGGCGTCATGTCAGCTGTGAACGACTTTCTTTTAGGGTAGCTGAAGGAAGTTTCTTTCTAAAATAAGAATTTCCCTGGTTGTACGTGACAAGGAGTAGGGTCACCTGTCCAACCTCATGGGTTTTCTCCGGGTCCTCTGGTTTCCCCCCACTATTAAAGAGCCCTTTGTGCAAGCAAATTATTGAAAGAACAATTGAACCATATGTTAGTCCCAAAATGACCTAGTTTGTGTTGAGTGGGCGTTAAACCACATTTCTCTCTCTCTCTGTCAGGTTTGAAAAGTTTGCTTAGTTTGATCACTACAAATGATTAAATCATTTTACAGAAATGAATTAAGTTTGAGGTATATTAATAGTAAATAATAATAAAACTATATATTACATGTGTTTAGTATTAACTATAATATATATAATAAAACTATATATTACATGTGTTTAGTATTAACTATAATATATATAATAAAACTATATATTACATGTGTTTAGTATTAACTATAATATATATAATAAAACTATATATTACATGTGTTTAGTATTAACTATAATATATATAATAAAACTATATATTACATGTGTTTAGTATTAACTATAATATATATAATAAAACTATATATTACATGTGTTTAGTATTAACTATAATATATATAATAAAACTATATATTACATGTGTTTAGTATTAACTATAATATATATAATAAAACTATATATTACATGTGTTTAGTATTAACTATAATATATATAATAAAACTATATATTACATGTGTTTAGTATTAACTATAATATATATAATAAAACTATATATTACATGTGTTTAGTATTAACTATAATATATATAATAAAACTATATATTACATGTGTTTAGTATTAACTATAATATATATAATAAAACTATATATTACATGTGTTTAGTATTAACTATAATATATATAATAAAACTATATATTACATGTGTTTAGTATTAACTATAATATATATAATAATAAAACTATATATTACATGTGTTTAGTATTAACTATAATATATATAATAAAGTCTGCTAGTTCTTCTATTTGTTTATCTGTTAAAAACGTGATAACAAGTGGATAAATCTCTGTCAATAAAACCCATCTACATAATTCACCATTTTCTTTATTAACTAATTCAATCTGAAATAAAAAAACATCACGAGATTAATCCTTAGAAACATAATAAAACCAGAACAATCATATAGGGCTTTTAACTACGTCACAAGATCAAGAACAACTATACAAATAGGGCACTCAAAATGTATAGTCAATGTGTTGTAATTTATTAAAATGAGAGCAGTTTAAAAACAAGGGTGAATACAGGTCATGTGACCAAGCTTTAATTTGGAAGATAATATAAATACAGAATAAGTTATTTCTGTAACATACCTTTCCATTCCAGGTATTATATAGATTTATATTTACTATTGATGGTAGATTTAATACATTAGCTTCATTAACAACTTCATATATATTATCTTTATTTAATACAAGACAACTTCTTATCTTCTGTACACTCAACAAATCCTGTTAAAATATACATAAAGCCATGGAGAACATCAATATTTTAACCTGCAGAAAATATCACAAAAACAAATTATCTCTAACTTTGAATCTGGAACTTGTTAGGGAAAAACCCCTTTAGCACTGGTAGGGCTAATAATGAAGACTGGGAATGGAGGAAGAGAAAATGTACACTTTATTAATCCTTCCAACATAGCATCGATCTAAATGCATATCAGGATTTCTAATAAAAGTTCTGTGTAAAAAAGTTGCATAAAGTTAAATTTACCATCAGATGTTGGAGAATTTCACAATTAGATGAAGTAATTGAAGCTGCAATTTTCTGCCAATTTTTGAGTTTGAGGTATGAATGAAGAATGTTGGTTTCATCTTCTGATTGAGATATAAATATTCCACCTATCTTTGTATAGCGAAGTAATAATAACTTTATATCACCAACAGTAATACATAGTAATAAACCACATTTCAACAAATCCTCATTATTCTGGAATAAAAATGACAAAAGCATTCTAAATTTACTAAAAATTCAACAGTAGGGGATATATATCATATAGAATATAGTGGTACTCAATCTATTTAGTAAAACAATACTTAGACTTGTCTACTCTAATATTATTTATTACATAAATTATAAGTGTATCAATAAAATTTACACATGAAATATGACCATGATTTATACATGTATTTTACATCTGTATACCATAATAAACAAGAAAACCATGGAGGCATGTTAATAATATTTCTATCAAAATGATGTTCAAATTAATCTAATGCTGCTATTTTGTTTGACAAAAAAGTTTTGAAGATAACAAAAACTGCAGTACAGACTGTTGGTTTGCTTATTTACAGTGACTAGTAGCTAGTTACCCTCAGGACATCGCAGCCAGTGTGTTAAAATGTTAACTAAATAAGAAACAAGTTTCACAATTGAAACGATTTAAGATAATGAATAAAATAGATATCTACAATGGCTGGAGTTCCGCTTCAATATCAGGTCTTGTAGAATTCCTAATAACTTAATGGTAAAATAATTTATATGTCTATATATTATATATTTTACCTTTTTAATACAAGATTTAAAGATAACCTTTAGAATATTTCTCTCTACATCGTGTATTAGTTCTACAATCTTTCTATGTGTTGTATTAGATACAGAATACTCTATAACACTTATATTAGCCACAAAATGTTGAAATAGATTCACAATACAGTTCAACCTAAAACATACTAAAATATAAAACATACCATTTAACAAACTATAGTCTTATTCTATTTGTATATATCGGTTTAACAAGTGTCTCTCAGTGGAAGAAACTCTGCACTAATTGTATAACAACAAGTATAAGTATACTAGGAACTGATCTAGATATATTATACAGTACATTATTTACCTTCTACTGTTTCATCATCTATAGATTCTAATAAAGTTTTAATTTTTTCAGAGAATAACGACCATATCTGTGTAATTAAAGTTTGATGAATTCTTCCAACTACATCAGCAAAACTACAAAAAATATACTTGTATTATCATCAATAAATATTACGATAAGTCAATTATATAAAAATTATAATTTTCATGTTTGCTTTATCTGTTTCTGTTTGTTAAAAATAAGGGGTCTAACTTGTGCACTGTAAGGTCAGTCATAGTTATACAGGACAAGGAGTAAGTTTGCTTGCCTAACCTTGTGGGTTTCCTCTGGGTTTTTTCCCCACTGTTAAAGAACCCAGTGCAAACAAATTATTGAAATAAAATTTATTTGTTAGCCTTGTGTTGATTTCTTCCACCACTCTCTCTATTTGTTAAGATAACACATACAGAAATATATCACCTTAAACAGTAAGTGTATGATGTCATACATTAGCTTTGTAAATAGACTCAACCTGAACAGTTTTAAACTCTCTATGAAAAGCTATAAATAACTGTCTAACAATACATTTTTGATTTGGTAACTGAACGAAGGTTTAGACTACTTTTTATACATTTCACCGATGTGGTTACTTGTATAGTTGGGGGGTTGGGTGGCCGAATGGTTAGCACGCTTGCGCTGTATCATAAGGCCTGTCATTGAGTCAACTGGCATGGTTTCGAATCCCCTGTTGTACGTGACAAGGAGTAGGGTCGCCTGTCCAACCTCGTGGGTTTTCTCCGGGTCCTCCGGTTTCCTCCCACTGCTAAAGACCCCTACGCGCAAGCGAATTATTGAAATAAAAAAATGAAACCATATGTTAGTCGCGAAATGACCTAGTTTGTGTCGAGTGGACGTTAACCCCCATTTCTCTCTCTCTCTGTATAGTTGAATTTTACTACATATGCTTACATTCGTATTTCGTGTTGCATATAGCAGATCATGACTCATGCTGGCATTACACTATGGTTTCTTTGGGTTTTATTCCTGATTGTTTTCAAATTTGAGTGAAGTCTGTGTCACTACAGACCCGGGACTGTACAGCGCAGTGGATGCTTACGGCTAGCCCCCGGATCCATTCACTTTTTTTAAAATTGTTTGTCTGTTTGTGTTTTCCTAAGAATGATGTCTTGTCCGTGTATTTGTTTTTGTGTAAATTTTGTGTGGTGCAGTCCCCCTGCACTTACTATTACAGATCATTTATAGTTTTAAAAGACACTCACCTGTTGTAAAACTGTGTCATTGTAACAATATTAGGTTTATTACAACTATCTATAGCTGTAAAAATATAGTTTAACCATTTCTGTTCTTGATGTAGCTTTCCATATATAGTTACAATAGCGGCCATTAAACCATCAATATTTGACTGAAGACTGGGATTTGTCTGCAGAAAAAAGTTATTATTTTTGGTTCTTTTTTTTCTTTTTACAAAAAAACCCAATGTTTTTGTCATTTGCATGTGTTTTAGTTACAGGGGGCAATAAGTATGTCAAGCCAGAATAATAAGCATTTAACTATAATAATTGTTGAATATATCTCTCTGTAACAATACTTAATGTAAACATGTTATTTTGGTAGCCAATCAATTTATAATTTTTTTTTTAAATCACTGCTTTTAGTTAGTGAAATGTAGAGGTTTGTAGATTACCATAATATAGTCTGTTTTAACTCTGTGTAAAGATTAGACTTGGTTTGTTTTTATAAATTACTTTACAAGATATCACATGTTAATACTTACCTCATATAACCAAGCATTTTTTAATACATCCATCATATTCTCTTGTATTATTTCATGATTCATAGATAGTAATGACATCAAACAATTATACCATTCAGAACATCTGAAATATCATATAATCTTAATATCACATTTTAACAAAAGCCCTGTAGTTTTAGGATAAGATCTATTTTTTTCTTGTTTACTTTTTCGAAAGGTGGAATAATCACCTAGTCCATGTGACTGTCGTGACATATATGCGTCACACCGGTATGACAAACCAGTAACACGAGACAATAACGCTGGGGTATAAATTCACAAGCATTATAACATCTAGATAATGTAATGTAGTGAAAATCTTTGACTATGTTTACATATTTTGATTCCTTTCATTATTCACTTTTGGAAGTCATTTCAATATTTGTAACAGGACGAGGTTATTGTTTATATAATGTGTTACTTCTCACCTCTTCATAGTCAGCAATACACGTAATAGATTGGTATAAAATTTGAGTTGAACTTTTCCTTTCTCGTTATCAACTGCTACATTATACACATCTGCTTCTTGGATTAATTGTAATAGAGAGTTAAGTCCCTTTAATGCTACATTTTGTGGCAGTGTGGCTGAGTATTCAATATTATTATTAAATCCCAGTATTTCACAAAGAACTATAAACATCTTAAATTGGTAGTCTGAATCAAAACTGGAATATAACATATAGCAAGATTTGGAGGAAAGGAAGCATGAACATTGGTGTATAAGGTTTGTAAATGTACGTGGAATCAAACTAGATTTTGATGGAGGGGTTGTTTTGGCATTATTTCCCTGATTTCATGTTATTTGCGATAAATGGGTACAGTTTTTTCTTGGCATGTCATCTCATTTAATTGCATAAATTGTTGGGATGGTCATATAAATACCTCTAACATGGTGTCAGTCTATTTTCAAATAAATTCATCTGATAATTTTCTTTTATATCAAATGTACAAATATATTACAGATGAAAAGAAACAAAAACATTGTTTTAGTAAAGAATCAACATTACATTGGATATATTGCCATTCCAGTAGGTCTATACTCTATAGTGAGTTTGACTGGCAGATACGGCCGACGTGGAACCTATGGTGTATAGTCTATACTGACTCAGGTGTTTTACATGATCACAAAGGCTCAATTTTACCTCCATTTTATATAGGGAATATTGATTGTTCCTGAATTCTGGGAATCAGAGAGATAGTATTCAAATCTCACCTGTCTAATTGTAAAAATGCGGTGTAAAATTCAGGTATAAATTGTGATATACTTTCTTGTAATTGATGATTACCAACATTCTACAATAAATATAAAACATCATATTATATACCGGTAGTATTACAAACTATTCTAAACAAATAACTATAATAGACAACATAGCACAAACTGCTTATACAACTGCTTACCTCTTTATGTGTTATATCAGACAATGTTACTAATATAATTTGTTTAGCTACAGTCTTTGATTGATCATCAGTCTCACTATCTAAATATTTCTTCATAGATCCAAGATGATTCCTATATAAATTAATAATAAATTCTGTTAACGCACATCTCACATTTTTATCATTGGCATTTAAAGGCACATGTATATTTCTAAGTCAAAAAGACTGTTGCTATTATGTAGGTACAGTACAATCAGGGTATAAAGAGACCTTACTATAATTTCCTAATAGGGGTGAAGACTGCAGTGTGAACTTCAAATGGGCATAGTTAGAAACTCAATAATCTTTGTACCCAATTTTTGAATGTGCATGGTCTTAATTCTGTATTCAACCTTTATTGTAGCATGTTGGGGCTTAACTTACATCTGCTTGTAAATGAATGTTAATATTTTAAATTTTCAAATAAACATGATTTAAGATATTTTTGTAAATAAATACTAACTGATGTAAGTAAGATGAATTGATCAAGTCTAAGATAAATTTGTGTAAAAACATTTTCTCATCTTTAGAATTAAATGCATCCTGTAGACTATTTAAATACCATACAGATAATAATGGTACTACAATCTTCTCAGTAACTGTTTGACGAACCTAAGAAAGACAAAAATAAAACAACGAATTAAACGGTATTTTCAAAGGTGCTACTTTCTGAATAATTACATGTACTTTAGATAAAATCCAAACACACATATTCTTCATTCAATTTTTATATCAGTCCTGTATGTAAATGTATTTCAATCAAAATTTCAATAGACAACTTTACATTTAAAACTAAGGATCGGATCAACAAATATATCTTACCATATTTTGATTGAGTACTCGTCTTTGTACTGCACTGTAAGCTTTTAAAACAAGTTGAAGACTCTGTTGTATAACATCCCAACTATCCTTACCCCATTGTTGACAGGTTAAATGGCATAATACAGCCAGTAATGTAGCCTAAAAAAAGTTATTTTATGATACTGACAAATATCATATTAAAAACATGAATTAGAATTCAATATTAATCAATTTCAATCAATACTGATGTTTCAATTCTTTAAATAACATCTAGAAGCACGGTTTAACTATTCATAACAAAACACAACACATAACTACTTCTCTATCGGGTGCCACTTTGTAATGAACAAATAATATCCTACAACACAATCTGGAAGTAGTTAGTAAAGATTGATTCACAAATGACCAAATATTGATTTTAAAAATGTGTAGAATGCACTAAGCATGTGTAAATTACTGCTGTTCAATTTGAACTGTTCACGTATTTCACCGAACATAATTGATTAGAAATTAAAATATTTTTTTCAAAAATTGAATATAATTCACTTTACATACATTCATATTAAATTAATATGTGCTTTTAGAACCATTTTTCTTCTATTTCAAGGTTCCAAAAAATAGAACCATATGCCCTTTAAATTACATTATTTTAAACATACAGTACCACACTGATCCGCAGTGAATATTTGCTTGGCCGCGACAATCACTGATAAGGATGACATTGATGCGGCTTAATGAGCTAGAAATATTAACTTTTTTCCTGCAACAAATTAAATTCTAAAACATTTTTTGTATATATTGGAAAAATAAATAAAGGCGTTTGACGTATTTGTAGGTAAAGATTATTTCCGATTTAGTGTAAATGGGTATTAAATTGACTAAAATGCAGCATTCTCTCCGAAGCAGTTATGTCTTATGTAAACAATGCACGCGCCATTCAGCCAATGATTCACACCGCGTGCTGTGACAGCACGTGCTAAGGCAGTCATCTATGACAGAGATATTATACGAGACTCGTAATTCTCTGTGAAACAGATTGATTGATACAGTACATGTAATTTAAACATACAGTACATGTAATTTGAATACGAGTAAGTGCTACTTTAATTACAAAACATAACACTTTGAATATGAACAAAATGTCTCATAATTAAAGGTAATAACTGATACACGTAGCTAATTTGACCATTTATATCGACAAAATAAAATTAATAAAAGTTCTTATACATTATAAATACATTTTAATAAAAATTCTTTTAGAAAGGTAAAACACATTGAAAGCACACTGATTACATAAAAAACATATGCCACTGAGAATAATAAAAGCCCTAAATAATTAATATAGCCAAATGACTACTTTGTTCATATTGTTCATAACCTCATTTTCTCTTATAACATTTAAAACAAACCAGCGGCTGCCAGGCAGGATACGTCCACATTTTCGAGAGATGGATAGAGAACAAGCTAAAACAAAAGTGATTTTTCATACAATCAAGGGCCATAATTCAGGAAATTACAATTCGATATGCACGAATATTGAAAGGACCCAAGATCTTCGGGTTATTAACTTACATTTCAAGTTTCAACAAAATGGGATAAAAATTGTGACCTCTATAGGGTCCACAACCTTGATATACCATATTTTTACACTATTTGAGAACGAACGGTGGCCATTTTGTCTGTCAGTTTTGGGCTGATTTTCATGAAATTCAAACTCAGTCATCCTTAGGGTGTAACGGTGATATAATAATACGTTTTTTTAAATCAGATAAAAATTATGATCTCTATAGGGTCCACAAGCTAAAAACGCAATTTTCGTACAATCAGGGCCCATAATTCAGGAAGTTACAGTCCAATATGCATGAATATCGAAAGGAACCGAGATCTTTGGGTTATAAACTTACATTTCAAGTTTAAACTAAATCGGATAAAAATTGTGACCTCTACAGTGTTCACAAGCTAAAAAAGTTATTTTTCGTACAATCAGGGGCCATAATCCATGAAGTTACAGTCCGATACATGCCAATATCGAAATGAACCGAGATCTTCGGGTGATAAACCTATATTTCAAGTTTCATTGAAATCGGATAAAAATTGTGACCTGTAGACTGTTCACAAACAATTGTGGACGGACGGACGAACAGGGGCGACGACAATATACGTCCACATAAAAATATATCCCCAAAACATTACTAAAAAGTTGTTCTAATGTCAATAAACATATTGCGAATGAAATCAGTTTCATTTGTTGAATATATACAAGGTAGTAGATATATAGTTACCAGACTGTCATATTTTGATGTTAATACGTAAGATAACGTTGGTGATGTCAATATAGTCTGACAACATCTTAAAACAGTACAACAGATCTTATCCACCATTTTACCAACATATGACTGTAAACTGTCCAATAATACCTATACAAAATAAATTATACATACTGGTACCAATTAATTTATTCGTTGATTAGAAATATACATGTGCTCAAAGAATCTAATAACCTCTACATACCCTAGATAAAACCGGCTTAATAATAAGTGTTTGTCCATATTTAGATGGTTGGTGAGCCTTTCTGGTTGACAAAATATCATAGAGACAATTCCACACTTGTTCTGTTTCTTCATCTGTAAGGTGGTTTCTGGCAAAAAATTCAACATGTCAATTGGTTTCACAACAAGATATATTATTAATTAGACTATTAGTAGTTATACATCACAAGAAATACAAGCGGCTCTCAAAATTGAAAATTTACTGTGACAACTCTTTTTACAACATATTTCTATACAAACTCAGTTCCCGAATCCCTTTATATAAAAAAACAAATTAGGATCATTGATCTCCTTCAACACACAGAGTCTCCGTATATAAAACCAATCACATAGAATCAATGATTTTTATGTCTTTAAGTTTAAAATGGTACCTTGTATGGTTACATTTTTAATGATACATGATGCTGAACATCTCTTCTTTAAAGATTGGATTAGTAGATGTACTTGCAAGGGGTAATTGATCTCAACTAAGGATACTGGGGTTTTTTTTTGGCTTTTTAAAATATGTTCAGAATTATATATGCAAAGTTAACTGGTACATGTATGTTGTACAATGTTAATTGTTATAGGCTGTTGTACAATGTTAACTATTATAGGTTGTTGTACAATGCTAATTGTTAGTACAATGTGAACAACTATATATTTTAACTGAAAAGAGAATATGTAACTTTGGGGGAGGAGTTGAAAGAGTAAATAATTAATGGGGAATCTGTTAAAACTTTACTCAGTGGTTGATATGCAACATGTAAACTGATGCACTAATTTAACATTTAAAAATAAGTCTTACTTACTGTTTTTTATTGACTAATAAACTGCCTAGTACATCTATCAAATCTTGTTCTTTGTTTGGTATATTTACATTATCTGACTTCCAGGCATATTTTAATAGTTTCAGTCTATCACCAAGAGGGAAACCACTGTGCTTTAAGCGCTTGTAGATTTCTAAAATTTTAATTCAAATCCAGGTTAGGCTTGTCATTGATATATAATCAACTCCATAATTATAATTGCCTTAAATGGCATATTCAATGAAAAATGCCACAGACTAAATATATAATCTAGCATCAATCACCATTTTGGCAATTATGAGGCATATTTGCCAGGTCTATTCAATCTCTTTATTGTAGCAATAGAAATACAGAAATGTTCTGCAACTTGTAAAATTGGACATTGTTTTTATAGAATATCAGATGGGTTTAAACCATGGTGAGACAGATGGATATTAGAGTTGAAATACTGCTTCATTTTGGTGGATTAGGATGGATATTAATAAATCATTGTACCTGACAAATATTAAAGAAATGGTAAGGTAGTTTGGCAAAAGGGCTGAATAACTCAATAGACTAAACGAATGCCAGTAAAGCAGGGGCAGTAGTCAAAAACAGATTATTTTTTTTGAAAGAAATGTGATATTCAGAAAGATAGTAGTTATAATCGGAAAATTTAAATGAAATGAAATGGGGTTTAACGTCCTACTGTTCTGCTCCTATACTAGGCTACTAAAGACGGGCATACGCCATACAGTGTGCTTCCAACTGCCAAGGGATCTTTTATGTGCATGCCAATGTGTACACAAGATCTCGGTTTTTCATCACATTTGAATGACCTTTCATCACAGCTGACCTTGTCAGGCCCTCCCGTCCTGCACCACTGACAAGGGGAAACTATGTCGGAAAGGAAAATTTAAACTACATGTACACACTCTTCCCACATTTTTCTGATTTTTTTATTCATCCAGAACACAATAAGTTTTGGATTAATCAATACATAATTTAATTTTACATTGTATGGTAAATTCTTAAAAGCTGCCAAAAAACAAGGTCTTATCGCTCTGACTATCCACTGGCTGTCAGCCATAAAACATCTCTGGAAAGAGTCTGGCATTTCTAATTAATAAGACATGTGTATGATTACAACTCACGAGTATAATTCAAATTATGTTTCAAGGGGGTTGTAATTTTTTTATCTTCAACTACAAGTCGATATGGAGTATAAGACGAAGGTCTGATTTTCACGGAAATAAGTGTTGACTTGTATCCCGAAAAATACGGTACCATAATACGGTACATACATATTAATATACACAAAGTATTTGTCTGGCTGAAAATCTGAAATGTCCGGCTGAAAATCGGTTCAGACTGAACCTTAGCAGTTATTTCAAGGCTTGGATGTACCTAAAATGTGTAGCCCGTACACAAACCCAAAATGTATATCCGTAAACTGATAGAATTATGTCTTGCGTTTTGAACAGTCTCGAAATCGCCAGTGATTAAAGGCGCTACACTGCAGCATCCCTCCTTTCTGGGATGCTATGCTATGAGGGACATTTTGACCAAACAGCGGCGTTATGGCCTACTCTCATTTCAAATTTTAACTGTCAAGTGTTCTTTTACGTGCCCACCAACATCTACATGTGACCTCGGTTTTTCATCCCATCTGGATGACTAGACACTGGCCTTGCCTCCTCCATCCTACACCACTGACATGGGGAAATCACGCTGGAAAATCCCTGGGGAGTATTCCTGACCAACACCAGGTTCAAATCCTAGTTAGTGAGCCAACGTCTTACCCATTCAGCTAGCTGCAATATTGTAGCGTTGACGTGGTCTTCGCTACAATTGGTACATTCATTGATGCATTGCACAAGCAAACGTCGCCACAACACATATTGTCATAATTTGTATTGACATGAATGCTTTTATCACAAACAATGAACAGTTTCTCTTTGTTGTAATGCATTTTACATTTTTGAAGTGACATTTTTTTTATGTACTAATGTAGCTGTAACGTGGATTTGTTAATTATATGTTAAGCTGTAGGCAATACGTCTTTGGGTCAGAATTAATTAGAAATTAGGGGAGTTACAGGCCTATAACTTTTTTGTTATCAAATGATTACAAATGAAGTCCACCACAGCTCTTGAAATGGAGGCGAATAAAAGATTCAGATAATTTGGGGAAACTGGAAAATGGTCAAATCTCTAATGGGTGTGCCGGTCATTTCATTGCAAAAATGTTTCATCCCCACTTAGTTTTTCTAGTTTTATACAGCTAATTATAACGACCCATAAATCTGACAGTCCGTCCATCATTAAATAGTGCCAAAGTTCGTTCTTCACTTCAGTCTGGTAGATGATGATATTGTAATATAGAGCGAAGCTCTAAAGAACTGCGCGAACAGGACTGAATTGAAAATGTCACCCACAGACTGTTGATTAAAAAAAAATTCGAAACCGGAACCGGATACACTGGGCAAAACAGGCAATGCGCATGTCAACTTACCAAATCTCGACCAAACGAGATCACGTAACTAACAAAAATAATTCTACACACCAAATCTCGCCCAAGCGAGATTACGCGCCTCATAGAACTATTTCTATGACGCGTCTAATCAATGACGTCACATATTTTTTATGTCAATGAAAATAATTCTCACACTTTTTTGTTCTTTTTTTTAAAAACAAAATTAATGTATAAAATTTAGATCTAAATAAAAATCAATTTTGAAAAACTAAATTATTTAACATTTTTTGTATCACTTGAGGAAATTAATTATGAAGGTTTTACATGTATTTGACAATGATCAGCTTCGCTCTACTCAGGCAATGCCTGTTACATATTAAAGGCGCTAAATTGCTAACATTTGGGACCTAGAAATTGACAAAAGTGGGTCGCAACGCATATAATACTGTAATATGAATGTATATAAACTGATTTACATTCAATGGTTTCCGTTTTTACTCCAATTTCAAAATCAGCCAGCAGTCTCAAGCGAGTGCAAATTTCTAGCGTCTGGTTATTCCAGTCTACATACGCCGTTTGATTTGGTGCAATGTGTCTAGCCTCGTCCCTCGAGGCTAGATACAACTGGGGCTGAAGCGCATTATGGTACACGATTCGTGTACCAATGGTAAAATGTTTATTTTGTCTTAAATATTGGATATCAAAAGCCCATCTTTTTCCGGTAAGATCACAACATGAATGTTGATTTAATTTGACAAATAAATCGTGTTTTCAATGTTGAAGATTTTGGATGATATTGAGTTAGAGACTTACTGTCTGAGTCTTGGTAAATTTTAAACAGATTTCTTCGATTATGAACAAACTACTTAACTTTGGTTATTATAAACTTACCTGTGTGTTTGTAATGAACTCCCGTTCGATAAAATCCATTGCACAACTAATTATCACAACGATGAAAACAAGTTCTCTCTTGAAAAATTGAAATATCACAAACTTTTCCCAGAGAAAAATACCAATATGGAAGATGGTTACGTCACTCTGCGGAAGATATCATTTCGTATTAGGGGTGACAGCATAGGAAATTCAAGTACAATTACGACAAGAATCAATGACCACTCGGACCAAAGACCACTCGGTTCAAGACCAGTCGGACCAACTGATAGACCACTCAGCCCAAACAAATAAGACTACTCAGACCATACAAAAAGACTATTCGGACTCAACAGAAAGACGACTCGGACCAATAATAAAGTGTTGTTTTAATAAATTGATAATTGCGTTTGTTTTAATATGATTACTCGAACCAATAATAAAGTGTTATTTGAATAAATTGCTAATTGTGTGTGTTTTAATATGACTACTCGAACTAATAATAACGTGTTGTTTGAATAAATTGATAATTGTATTCCAAATCGCAAAATATCGAGAACCACACTTGTAGTCACGTTTAAAAAGGGGCATATAAACGTCCGGTCTTCGTATTATTATGTGCTGTTTATATTAACGCATCAAGGGCGGATAACTTGAAAATGTGTCCCCCCCCCCCATATATAGTAACCCAAGGGTTAGTGGGGTAGAACGGAATGAAACCACTGGGGATACCGCGAATGTGGAAAAAGTAAAATTAGGCTATCAGACAAGAACAGTATACCCGTATATCTAGAAACTGTCAAAAGTCTGGACATACCGAGTCTCATTGCAAGAGTAAAGAAAAATTAGATTGATATTTTTTTTTGGCACCATTATTAATTAATTTTAAAACTAATCGTTGATTTATTTTCCGTACACAAAATTGAACCAAACAACTCTAAATATAAGAATTCCATATAAGAATTATTTGCTTCTTTGTATTGTGATTTAATAATAAATAAATAGCATATTGTCTAGCCTTATAATATAATTTAATTTAATTGGTCTGACTGGTCTTGTTTTGGTCCGACTGGTCTTAGTCTGAGTAGTCTTTGGTCCGAGTGGTCTGGATACCTACGACAATTGGCATTGAGTTTGAGCGTTCGCACACATAACTACCCGCATTCCTGTATTTAGTTACCGTCTTTTACATTCTAGTAAAATCTCTGCAAATTTTATAGCTTTACTTTTTGAAATATTTTGTTCTAATTATTTGATTAGCGACTCGGATGGGATTATTTACTTTTGAACACGCATGCCGCACAAACACAACTATACATTCGTTTTACGGGCTTTATCACACTTCGGTCAAAACTGTCGAATCGAGAATTAATGTTCCGCTTCTTACGGGGTCATACGGGCTTAGTAGCATTATATACCCACCCGGGCACCCAATAGACACGCTGAGGGCTGCCGCAACACGCTTAAAGATGTTACTGAAGCGGTTATTATTCGATCGAAAGAATGCGTATAAAATTAAAAATACACTCAGAGAATTCGGAGGTAAGCTTCATGATCCTTGTTAAATTATTTATAACATAAAGATGATAGGATATTTATAGTTTATACATGACTTTATTTTTACGAGTATCCGTGCAATCAGTGATATTTTAATTGTGAAGAAAATTTGATAGACTGGCGATCAATGGTTTCCATATAAATCTCCTATGTAATTGCCTTCAATTGATATTTTTCGTCGCCCAAACCCATATACGATCAAAATGATCGCGCTGTCAAACTATCTTTCAATGTTAACCAACCCCCGCAACAGGTATATTGGATTCGACCAATACGTCACGAAGACATTGTTGACATCGACTCTGTCGAAATTACAAGTAAATTTTCAAATTTTTCAAAAGAGAACTTGTTCTCATCGTTGTGATAATTAGTTGTGCAATGGATTTTATCGAACGGGAGTTCATTACAAACACACAGGTAAGTTTATAATAACCAAAGTTAAGTAGTTTGTTCATAATCGAAGAAATCCGTTTAAAATTTACGATGGTTCACACAGTAGCTACTATAATATTTCCTATCTCTAATCATAATGAATGACATGCGAACTTGTATTGGCAGAGAGAAAGATTGTCGCGGGTCAGTTTACGTAAATATATGGCATATATTTCAATTGATAAGCATTGCAAGTTTTGTTGTTATTGTATTTTAAAATGCACGTGGTACTCACTGGTGTAAACAGCAGCCATTTTCCCAACTGTTCTTACCTTCTTTTGGAGCTCTTCAAAAAGTTATTTCCCTTGAGTAAAAATAAATCTTTCCATGTCGAATATTATTTCGGCCTCATGGCATATCGACACGAACTAATGTGTTTTCCATTTTTATTCTCAATAAAGTGTACTGCAAAGGTGTATTATATTATCTTTTTTTGAACAACAAAGTTTGGGTAGGCTGGCTATTCTTGGATTCCACAAATAATATTATGTTTCCATGACTTTTTGACAACCGTGTTTTCCCGCTAGGTGGCGATGACTTCCACGTTGCAAAACCATAACATGTGAACGAAAGTTGGATGTCACTTGCATTTTGACATATTTATATTATTAGTGACATACAACAAAACAACGATGACAGCATCAACGAATTCAGACCCTGGTGGTTCGAAAAATCAGATCAAAATATTTGCCAACATATTTATATCTTTTATTGGTGCGGGTATTTTGGGATTACCCTATGCTTTTAAAGAGGTAGGTGACACTAGGTGTTTCGTTCAGTTTGTTTACATGAGTAGATAATATGATAGTAACTATTTTAGTCGCACACTCTTCACTGTTTGTGATAGGTTTACTTATTTCAATACAAACTGTGATGATATGTGTTCAGAATTGTGCGTTTAAGTTAATTTATCGTGCTCAAAATAGTTACAGAGTAGTGACGGACAGAACAAGTAAGCTGCTTCAATATTCCAGCTATATAGTTGGCAGTGGTTGACAGGATGGTCCAACATGGGAAGTGTCGGGGTGGTGGGCAGGATGGTCCGACAGGGGAGAAGTCGGGGTGGTTGTTCGGATGGTTCAACAGGGGAGGGGTAGGGCCAGTGGTAGTTGACAGGATGGTCCGACATGAGAGGGGTGGGGGCGGTGGTTGACAGGATTGGCTGGCAGGGTCAGGGTGGTTGACCGGATGGGCTGGCAGGGTCGGAGCAGTTGACAGGATGGGCTGGCAGAGTCGGGGTGGTTGACAGGATGGGCTGGCAAGGTCGGGGTGGTTGACAGGATGGGCTGGCAGGGTCGGGATGGTTGACAGGATGGGCTGGCAGAGTCGGGGTGGTTGATAGGATGGGCTGGCAAGGTCGGGGTGCTTGACAGGATGGGCTGGCAGGGTCGGGATGGTTGACAGGATGGGCGAGCAGGGTCGGGGTGGTTGACAGGATGGGCTGGCAGATTCGGGATGGTTGACAGGATGGGCTGGCAGGGTCGGGGTGGTTGACAGGATGGGCTGTCAGAGTCGGGATGGTTGACAGGATGGGCTGGCAGGGTCAGGGTGGTTGACAGGATGGTCCAACAGGTTCGGGGTTAGGTAGGAACGGTTCTGATGCGAGCTCCTTCTAAGTCGTCTAAGAGGTTTATCATGTAATTTTTATACGCCCACATTGAAATGTGGTCGTATATTGTTGCTCTAGTGTTTAAGGTAATGAGATGAAGAAGCCTATTGATTTTCAGTGATTACCGATAATTAATGCCAGAGTTATGGCCCCTGATCACTTTGAAAAATCTTGTGGGCGCTCTAGATGCTAAAGTTAATATCCGATTGACTTTAAATTTATACACAGTTTTTAAGGTCATGAGACGAAGAAGTCTATTGATTTTCAGCGATTTCCGATAATTACTGCCAAAGTTATGGCCCTTGATCACTTTGAAAAATCTTGTGATGCTCTAGAGGCTAAAGTTATCATCCGTTTGACTTCAGATTGATACACAGAGTTTAAGGTCTGGAGATGAACAATTATATTGATTTTCAATGAATCTTTATGACTTGAACAGCTAAATCCATGATGTTAAAAGTTTCGTATACTAAACTTTAGTATGGGGCAGAACTTTATAAAAACCAAACAAATTCTAATGGTTTTCTGATAATTACTTAATGAGTTGTTACTCTTAATCAGATTTTAATGTATTAATATTATAAATGTTTCATTACCGAAAAAAAGTAAAAATATGCGACTACTTTTATTGACTGCCCAGACGATATAGCTGCTGTGGGCGTATGTTTCGTTGCCTGGCAACCTATCTTTCTTAAAACCATGTACCTTTTTTTATATGCTTACTGTTTATAAAAATGCTTGGCCTCTTTAACTGTTTGGTGTTTGTAGTTTATTTTGGAGAGGTCTCTTCTGAACAGACGAAAAAAATGTGTAGGGCAATTTCATATAAAGGATCAGTGAGGCCACTGATGATTGGCATTAATTAACATTGGAGACATTTGTTACTTAATTAAATGTCAAAGCATTGGATTGTGTTTAGATTCAATCAATGGCAGACTCAGTGGAATTGGGCACTTTGTTGAAAAATATTTTGTTGGATTATTTCTATGTTTATGAAAATAACATAATTTCAGTATCGATTCTCAATGAACTAAATGTACATGTTGATATAGTAATAATTTTCTTTTCCATTTTTCAGTCTGGAATACTTGAAGGTGCCTTTATAATGACTGCGGTGGGAATTATCAGGTAAGCTTTAATACTATTAATAGCTTCATACAATGTATTATTTTCCCTAAAAGTGATGTGACCAGTTATTTCACTTTTTGTATTATTTAGATCATTTTTCATTTATTGACATTTCTTGAAAATAATTTCCTCAGTTGTCAATATATGTGAGTATTACCAACTGTCGGCACGCAATGGAGCATTTTTGGCAATTGAAATTTTTCTGTATATAAAGGAAAGTCAATGCCCAGCTCACAACCTCATAACCTTGGAGGCCACCACCTTTGTCGAAAGGTAGAAGATGTAATTTTTGCAAATTGCTATCTAGTTTGAACAAGCTTGTGGCAGTGGAAGTTGTCATTAGATATGAAATGTGAGATGAAGAATCCTATTGATTCCCAAGGATTACCTGTAATTAGATTGAGTTACGGCCGATTGATTTTAATCTGATCACCAGTACATGGGGTGTATAATAAATGTTAGCTCTAAGAAGAGCTAGAAACCAGTCAAATTATTTCTGATACCAGGTAATAACTTCATTGGTTGTTACAAGAGATACCAGGTAATAACAACCAGATACTGTTGTAAGCCAATTATCAATTCCATATACAACATCATTATCAACAGATAATTGTGTTATCAGCTCACATAGGTGTATTTGCCAATTATTTGTGATTTTTGACCCACAATCAATTCGTAATAAATTCTATTGTTCATTTAAAATGTGACTTATATGTATCTTAGGTTATGCATGATTTCCTTTTATCTTAGTCTTGGATGGTCAAAAAACATTTCTTAAATAGCACCCCATATCTATAGACGACATGCTTCCACACAATAAACTACCGGTACATATGAAATTCTTGAAAAAAAGGATTCCCTAAATTTAAATAGCTCCAGAGCCCCTATTACAAACCAAATTACTTATTGTACATTGTACATCATGCCAACACGTAAATGCAACATAAAATAGGATTATCCCTATTGAGTCCACGATCTGGTACGTGCAGATACGTTTTTGATACTATCAACACGATTGCTACAATTGACCTCAATATATGATAAGACTTAAAGGGACTATCCCGATTTGAACATAGTCTCAAAAATAAATGTCGGAGTACGTATGAAATTTAAGCACTAAAATATAGAGGAATGGTGTATTTCAAAATTCCAGCTCAAAATACTGAGTCGCTTGGACGTTAACGTCAAAACTGCTTTTCCCGACACGTACCGGTAATCTTTTTTTCATTGGGTGATCTGATAATCAATTCCCATTCCTTGAGAGGTCTATACAGTGAATGACCCATGTGCTGTACTTCATAACGAAAGATAAATTTCACCTACACGTTATTTTTATAAAATAAAAGTCACCAGACACTCCATAATACAGCTTGGGACACCGGTCTTCATTTCCAGATGGAGACTGACGGGTTTATGTTGTTTGAAAACGTATTACAAATATTGAGTTAGTTGCTTGACCCTTAGGTTGAAGAGATTAAGGGATTTTAACACAAAATTAAGCAGTTTTATTCTCCCAAAAATTATCGGGATTGGCCCTTTAATAGGATCACCATGTTTACTCCACGATTAAAACCATGATTTCAATTGTAGCACGATTAGATTAGAATGGTTCAGCGATACTTTGATTTAATCAAATATGGAGGACCGAGACTTAGCTTCGATCAACCAGTACGGTGGTTGAAATTATTGCACACGTCTGTCAAACCTTCAAAGGCTAATATCTTTGCTTGCAACAGAGAAATTTGAATGAAATTTTCAAATTATTCATTTTACATCATCTACTTTCGAACTATTATAGCAAGAATGGCTAGTTCTTTATCTAAATCTTACATAATGTATCTTTAGTTGTCTTGTGAATGCTCCCATTACCTACAAAAGAATAAATAGATGACAACCTTTGTGAGCTGCTCAGGCAATGTGTGGCAACCTATCTTTTAAAATTTGGCACTCTTTAGGCCAGTCATATTTTGAGATAATCAAAAGAATTTATGGTTTATTTCAGTGTAAAAGCAATGTTACTCATCATTGATTGTAAATATAAATTGATGGGGAAGAAGACTGATAATAATCATAAATCATCGGTTAGTTTAGATCAGGATGGATTAAATGAAAAAGGTACAGGAGAAGAATATAAAGAACTTTTAAAAGAAGAAGAAATGATGATAAGAATTAAAGATCCTCCTAAAACTGTTGTAAGCACCATTCATATACACACATTGTATACAGTTGTAGGCACCTGAATCATAGAAATGAAATGGGGTTTAATGTCCTACTTTCCTGCACTGACTAGGCTAATGGAGATTGGCTTACACCATTCAGTGTGCTATGAGGGAAATTTTGCCCAGACAGCGGCACTATGGCCTACTCTTATTTCATATTTCAACTGCCAAGGGTTCCTTTACGAGCACACCAATGTGTACAAAGGAAATCGTTTTTTGTCCCATTCAAATGGCTAGAGACTGTTTGCAATGCTGCAATGCTGACAAGGTGTAACTGTGCCGCGTTAGAAAACCATGACCCTGAGAAACTTCAGAACAATATCTGGTGTGAATCACTGACCTTGTTGACAAGCTAGCATCTTACTCACTGAGCCACTGTAACTCCTGAAACATAGAAATAAAAGTCAATTGTACTTAATACATACACATATTTAGTGTAAAAAGTATGAAAACTTTGTTGAATTGTTCTTTTCAGTAAAAATTGTGGAATTGGATTAAGATTTTATTTGGTATTAATGATCAGTATTTTTTTCTAGGGTGATGGTTTGACATACGGAGATGTTGGTAAGTCTCCTCATAAAATAATCAAATAATAGAATGAAGAATACATGTGACCTGAAATTAAATTTCTGTACAAAAGGACTACTAAAATGTTTAACAATGCAGACTTCTCAGCTGAGAGGTGGTATCAACTGTTCTAGGAAGAATCAAATCCTCACTAGCTTAAGCCACCAGGACATTGATCGTTGTTGAATCCTTGGTTAAGATTCTAGTGTGGGCTGATAGTTTTGGGATTTTTCAAGCTCATCCTTTCCTTGCCCTCGTAGCACTTACGACTCTGACTAGGAAATAGTGCTTAGTTTTTTGAATTGGAAGAAAGACTTCACCTGTGTACACATAGACCTAGATAGTTGTATATCGACTGCCACTGACTTGGGAAAAAATCTCAAAATGACTGAAATATTCTGTTGACGAGACATTTCATTGGCCTGGAATAGGTAACAGCTGAAATAAAAACTCTATTTAAAGATACATTATGTAAGAGCTAAATCTGCCAGTTACTGGTCTTTATTTTGGCTTCAAATGTTATATAAACTATTATTTAGACATGTATTCAAATGACAAACCGGTAATCTACTCTCTAGAACATCTGATGGCGCAGATGTAAATGGATTAAAATAATGATTTAATTTAAAAATCGAAAAGCGAGGCTGAGTCACGATTAACAAGTAATAAACGATAATAAACAATGTTAAAAGTTCAAACAGTGAAAACATCGTTCAGAACAAAGTAATTTGAATGAAATTTTTAATATAATAATTTTTATTTATCTATTTCTGAACTATTATAGCACGAATGGCCGGCTATTTCTATAATGACTCTTTAACAAAATAGAAATATAACATATGTTACACGAAATAGTATTTAAATTTTCCTTTACATCTCAAAGAATCTGAAAATAGCATCACCATAATGATATTTTGGTCACTTAAAATTTGTATGTCGGATAATTCTACTATCCAATGCACCTGTCATAAAAGTGTGAATCAAAGTTTTCTTTTTTCAATGGTTAAGGGTTGGGCAGAATAGCTACTTTTTCCTTTTTCCTTTATAGTTGATTTCATTCTGATGTTGGGTATTTATTTAAACAATAGATTAACTTACATGTGTATTCTCTGTATATTATATTATTACAATAACTGTATAATATCATTGTCTATTGTTATTCATGTAAGTAAAAATAATAGTTTTATGTAGGTTGAGATAAAATCATGTGTAACAGCTGACGTTTACAAACATCGTTATTTTAAAGCCTGGTCAGACACAAATTCAGACTTTGTCAGGCACAAATTTGTCTATTTTTTTTGTTTTTATTAATAAAAATGTCAGGTACAGCATCAGTATTGCCTGACATTTTGTAAGGTATAGACAAAATCATTATATCTAGGTCAGTAGAGCAGTTATTGTATTTCACTGTCTGAAATTTACATATATCATTTGAATAAATGGAACGTAGAAGCCTGTGGAATTTCTGTGGGGGTATGTTTTGTTGCCTGGCAACCTATCATTATTGGTATTATTGATATTTAGAAACATCTGTTTATTATGAATACTGGTATTCATATTTCCATCATATGTTAATTTTTATTGAATAATGCGACATTGCTCACATTAAAAATTGAATATAATATATATGTGTTTGTGGAAATTAAATTTCTCTTAGATATATCAATCATTTGATTAATCAATTGGTTGCGGGATATGAATAATGAGAATTTGAAGACACCCCCCCCCCCCCTCCCTTTTCACTGTTCATTTTGTGTATTCTTTGATTAAATTGGTGGTTTTCTACGTTCAAGGTGATATTACATAGATTTTAATATTTGGTTTATATTTTGTTCATTTTGCAGGTTACCATGCATTGGGTCATGCAGGACGTTTTTTGGTGGATATGGCTATTGTCATATCACAAACAGGTCTCTATATGATGATTTTTACAATGTGTTTATTTGCCAAATATTCTGATATTTTACGTTAAAGCTTCTTTCAATGGTGTATTTCCAGAAAAAGAAAATTAGCAAAATGAAAAACATTATATTAGTTTTTTTAATATAGACATTAATATCAGACAATGTATCTCGCTCAATCTCAAGTACAGGACAGACCTCTATCTTATTCTTTTTATTATTTCGTAGGTTTTTGTTGTGCGTATCTGATATTTATAGCTGAAAATCTGTCTGACTACATTAAAGGTTTCAGTATGTAAGTAAATTGTTAAACACGGCCTACGCAATCTAGCTGTCAGTTCTGATATCTAGTAAATGTAGGTGTTTATAATAGGCATCTGTAATTCTCTGTATAATTTTTAGTGTACCTTATAATTTCTATTGTCATGTTGTATATGTACATTCTGTTCAATGTTCCAACATTTTGTACGCTGGGAGAAACAAGATTTATAAATGAAATGAATTGAAATGGGGTTTAACGTCTTACTGTTCTGCTCCTAAACTGGGCTAATGAAGACGGGCATACGCCATACAGTGTGCTATGAGGGAAATTTTGCCCGGGCAGCGGCTCTATGGCCTACTCTTATATCGAATTCCATCTGCCAAGGGATCTTTTACATGCACGCCAATATATATACACGGGACCTCGTTTTTTGTCCCATCCGAACGACTAGATAAGATTTATAAAGCACACAGAGATTCAAATTGACTGAAAAATAAGTGGACTTATTTTATTAATCATTTAATAGTTTATTGTACAAATGTACTATGACATGAATTACAAAGACAGGAATTCCTGTTTCCTGGACTATTTGTGTTTATTTCCAGATCTAATTGGTTATTAATCTTGTTACCTCCACTCAGTATATTAACATTACTACGACATTTAAATAGTTTAGCTTTATCCAGGTCAGTAAATTTTGGTTTGATTTTATAAAATAAAAAGTTATAATACCTTGATGCTTTCATTAGTTATTAATGTTTACCAAAATCCCTATCACTAAAACTATTTACTGTCACAGTAATTTTGAGAGTACTTTAATTGTCATGTGACAACATTGTGGGCTGACAGGCACCACACAAACGTTGTTATGATCTGCTCTTATGTAAGCATACATGTGTTGTAATCCGTGTCTGATTCTGGATTATATTTAAGTCTATCGAATTCTAGATTTTAAGTTGATAAAATTAAAGGAGATCTGATAATTTAATCTCATCTAGCCATGAACAAATGATGTGAGAAATATATATGGGGTGAGTCAAATACAGTACATGCATTAAAGAAGCAAAGTCATTTGATCCAATTGACTAACGTGTGACCTACAAAAATATTTATTTTTTCGGAGTAGTTCAAAGAAGACAGAGATAAGGCATTCAGTTCTACATTATTTACTTATGGTAAATACAGGCTTGTCAGAACGGTTGTATGTCAGCGTAGCAAACTGAAATGGGTTTCAGGGGGTTTGTCCTCGGACCCCTGTCCGTCCGTTCGTCTATCTGTCTGTCTACAATTTCTTTCTTGACACTCTACAGGTTACAATTTTTATACGTCCACATTCATAATGTGGAAGTATATTGCCGTTGCCCCTGTCTGTGTGTGTGTGTATCTGTGTGTCGCCTACAGGCCACAATTCTTAGGTGATCATCTTGAAACTTTACATACTTATTCCTTATACCCTAAGGATGATCCCTATTGTTTTTGGTGCATGCCCGACCTCCAGGGGCAGAGCCACGCCCATTTTTTGTATTTGTTTGTTTGTCGTCTACAGACCGCATTTCTTAACGTATCATCTTGAAACTTTGCATACTTATTCTTTGTACCCTAAGGAACACCCCTATCGTTTGGGGTGCATGCCCAACCCCCAGGGTCCGTGTGTCCCCTACAGGCCACAATTCTTAAGTGATCATCTTGAATCTTTACATACTTATTCCTTATACCCTAAGAATGATCCCTATTGGTTTTGGTGCATGCCCGACCCCCATGGGCAGAGCCACGCTCATTTCTTGTATTTGTTTGTTTGTCGTCTACAGGCCGCATTTCTTAACGCATCATCTCGAAACTTTGCATACTTATTCTTAAGTGATCATCTTGAATCTTTACATACTTATTCCTTATACCCTAAGGAACATCCTTATCATTTGGGGTGCATGCCCAACTCCCAGGGGCAGAGCCACACCCATTTTCTTTTAGTGTGTCTGTGTATCGCCTACAGGCCACACTTCTTAATCGATCGTCTTGAAAAAATTTCATAAGAATTCCTTATACCCTAAGGATAATCCCTATTGTTTTTGGTGCATGCCTGACCCTCAGTGGCAGAACCACGCCCATTTCTTGTATTTATTTGTTTGTCATCTACAGACCACATTTCTTAACGTATCACCTTGAAACTTTGCATACTTATTCCTTCTATCCTAAGAAACATCCCTATTGTTTGTGGTGAATACCCAACCCCCAGGGGCAGAGCCATGCCCATTTTCTTTTTGTGTGTCTGTATGTCACTTACAGCCTGCAATGTTCAATCGATCATCTTGAAACCTTTTTTATACTTATTCCTTATACCCTAAGCCTGACCTCTATTATTTTTGATGCATGCCCGACCACCTGGGAGAGCCATGACAAATGGTTGTGTGCTTTTTGTGTCGCCTACAGACCGCAACCCCCAGGGGCAGAGCCACACCCATTTTTTCTTTGTGTCTCTGTGAGTTGCCTACAGGCCACGACTCTTAATGGATTGTCTTTGAACTTAGCATATGTATTCCTTAAGGACGACAACTGCATGTCCCGGCCCCCAGTGGCAGAGCCACGCCCAATTTTTGCCTTTAGCACCCGAAGGCCACAATTCTGAATGGATTATCTTGGAACTTGGTATACTTATTCCTTATACCCTAAGGACGGCAACTATTGATGTTGTCATTTCAGTAACAGGGTGGTACCTATTTATATTGTTCCATATCCAACCCCCAGGGGCAGAGCCACACTCATTTTTTGTATTTATCGTCTACAGGCTGCAATTCTGAATGGATCATCTTGGAACTTAAAGCTTAAAGACAGCAACTATTTATTTTGATGCTTCCCCCGACCTCCTGGGGCAGTGTGACACCCACTTTTTTGTTAGCATTTTGTCTGTAAAATTGGCAAAACAAACCCAACGCCTAGCCTTCTTTGCCTCTTATCATATTACAGCCATTTATATTTCATTCTCTTCATTTTAAAAAAGTACCATATCAATCAAAGCTGGAATGTGGACGTATATTGCTGCGTTAGCGATGCTCTCGTTATCCAATTTTAATGAAACTAAAAGTATACGTTTATCTCCCAAAGATCTCGGTTCCTTACGATATTGGCATGTATCGGATCATAACTTCATGGATTATGGCCCCTCATTCTACGGAAAATCACGTTTTAGCTTGTGGACACTCTAGAGGTCACAGTATTTATCCGATTTTGATGAAACTTGAAATATATGTCTATAATCCAACGATTTCGGTTACTTTCAATATTCCACCATATCGGATTGTAACTTCCTGGATTATGTCCCCTGATTGAAAGAAAAATCATGTTTTTGGCATGTGGTTCCTCTAGAGGTCACAATTTTTATCTGATTTAAAAAAACGTTTGAATATATCACTGTTACACCATAATGATGGTTGAGTTAGGATTTCATCAAAATTGAACCAAAACTGCCTGACAAAATGACCGCTTCTTGTTTGCAACTAGTTTAAAAGTATGTAATACCAAGGTTGTGTGGACCCTCTAAATGTCAGAATTTTTATCTGATTTTGATGAAACTTAAGCTTTCGATTCCTTTTGATATTTGCACATATCAGACCATTGCTTCCAGGATTATGTCCCCAGATTGGAAGAAAAATCTCTCTTCTTTTTTTTAGCTTGTTTTCTGTCCATCTCTTGCAAAATGTACTCATATCTTGCAAGGCAACCACTTGTTCAACTAATGAACAGATATTTTGCAAATTATTTAAGGGGCTGAAATGTAATAACATGTTTATAATCATTTTCTATTTCTTAAGTTTAATGGCACAGTGTTCTAACATATTTGCATTTGGTGTTGTGTTTTGGTTTGATTTTGAACATCTTTATAAAGTAAAGTAAGTTATATTTTTATTTCTATCGTTGTGAGAACATGTTTCTGATTTATATTTATAGTTATCATAACTTACTGGGGTTTCTAATATAAACTTACTATTTGTTTAATAAATATTTTCTTGTCCGTTTGTATGTGCTTACATTTTTTATTTCAAATTTACTTATGGTTGTTGTTCTGAGATTAAAGGCATTGCCTGGGTATCACAGGTTTCTAATTCAAGACATGACTCTAACCACTAAATTACTGTGGCCCTCTTGAACCACAAGAGAGAGAAATAGTGTTTTTTTTCCAACTTAAAGTAGGTCATCTCGGAACTAACATTATGCATCTATATTTCAATAAATCTCTTACACATAGGTGTTTTAGCAGTGCACATTTTAGACCACTGGGGGAACGAATCCTCTGATAAAACACGCCAGAGAGAAGGAGGAAGGGACGGGTGTGTGTAACTCCACAACACAAAATAGGTCATTTCGGGATTAACATATGGTTCAAATTTTATTTCAATAATTCGCTTGCGTATTATAGGGGTCTTTAGCAGTGGGACGAAATCGGAGGACCCAGAGAAAACCCACGAGGTTGGGCAGATGACCCTACTCCTTTTCACGTACAAGCGGGGAATCGAAACCACGCCAGTTGACTCATTGACGGACCTTATGATACAATGCGCAGGCGCTAACCATTCGGCCATCCACCCCCCACCTCCCCCCTCCTCAAAACATATGAACCCCCTATCAAGTCGGTATAGAGTACTGCTATAATATTATTTTGATACTGGGCAGAATTATTATTTTTGTTTGCTTTACTAATAATCTAATCATTTTCAAATTTTAGCAATTTTAAGTAAGAAATGTTTTGTTGTTTTTTGTGGATGCTTGCAGGTGGTTTGCACTTTATTTTATATCATATGAATATAAGATATTTTCCTTGTGTAGTCCTTTTAGTGGATATGAATACAAATAAATATATCAGGAATTTTAATTCTATAAAATGGTAGATTTTTTTGTTTTCATCTGAAAGGTTTATCTTTTTATACGCCCACATGGAAATGTGGTCGTATATTGTCGTCGCCCCCGTCCATCCATCCGTCTGTCGGTCCGTCGTCCACAATTTCTTGTGAACACTCTACAGACTACATTTATCATCTGATTGTTTTGAAATTGATATTTGTTATTTGCATTAATGAGATGAAGAAACGTATTTAATTTCAATAACTTCCGTTAATTTATCATCCGATCTGTTTGAAATTTATATGCATCATTTAAATTAGGGAAACGAAGAAGCCTATTGAATTTCAGCAATTTCCGATAATTACATCTAGAGTTATGGCCCTTGTTTCACTTTGTTGCACCTTGTGAACGCTCTAACAACAAAAGTTATCAACCGATCTGTATGAAATTTATATGCATCATTTAAATTAGTAAAACAAAGAAGACTATTGAATTTCAGCAATTTCCGTTTGTTACATCTAGAGTTATGGCCCTTGTTTCACTTTGTTGAATCTTGTGAACGCTCTAATGACAACAGTTATCATCCGATCTGTTTGAAATTTATATGCATCATTTAAATTAGGGAAACGAAGAAGCCTATTGAATTTCAGCAATTTCCGATAATTACATCTAGAGTTATGGCCCTTGTTTCACTTTGTTGAATCTTGTGAATGCTCTAATGACAACAGTTATCATCCGATCTTTTTGAAATTGATATGCATCATTTAAATTAGTGAAATGAAGAAGCCTATTTTATTTCAGCAATTTCCTTTAATTACGCCGTGAGTTATGGCTCTTGTTTCACTTTGTTGTACCTTGTAAATGCTCTAATGACAAAAGTTATTATCCGATCTGTATGAAATTTATATGCATCATTCAAATTAGTAAAACAGAGAAACCTTTTGAATTTCAGCAATTTCCGTTAAGTACATCTAGAGTTACGACCCTTGTTTCACTTTTTTGAATCTTGTTAACGCTCTAATGACAACAGTTATCATCCGATCTTTTTGAAATTGATATGCATCATTTAAATTAGTGAAACGAAGAAGCCTATTTTATTTCAGCAATTTCCGTTAATTACGCCGTGAGTTATGGCTCTTGTTTCACTTTGTTGTACCTTGTAAATGCTCTAATGACAAAAGTTATTATCCGATCTGTATGAAATTTATATGCATCATTCAAATTAGTAAAACAGAGAAACCTTTTGAATTTCAGCAATTTCCGTTAAGTACATCTAGAGTTATGACCCTTGTTTCACTTTGTTGAATCTTGTGAACGCTCTAATGACAACAGTTATCATCCGATCTTTTTGAAATTGATATGCATCATTTAAATTAGTGAAACGAAGAAGCCTATTCAATTTCAGCAATTTCTGTTAATTATGCCGTGAGTTATGGCCCTTGTTTCACTTTGTTGTACCTTGTGAAAGTTCAAACGACAAAAGTTATCATCCGATCTGTATGAAATTTAAATGCATTATTTGAATTAGTAAAACGAAAAAGTCTGTTGAAAATCAACAATTTCAGTAGATTACTGCCAGAGTTATGGCCCTTGTTTTAGTTTTTAGAACCTTGTGAACCCTCAAACAACGAAAATTATGATGTCATCTGTATGAAATTGTCTATTAAATTCCCCTAATTACCTACAAAAGAATAAATATGCGACAACCCTTGTCGACTGCTCGGACGATTTAGCTGCTGTGGGCGTATGTTTTGTTGCCTGGCAACCTATCTTTATTATTATAGAACATCTTAGATTTTACCATTATTTGTATAAGATTTTAATTTTCACCACAAACATCAGTCTTAAGTAATTTTATTTTTCAAACTGATATGTATTTAAATGTAACTTGAATTAATACAATAGATATTTTTAAATACCACTGTTGATATATGTTATAGTTCTGTCATATTAACATCCCGGGTGGAAGTGGACTTTCGATCCTACATTTGTGTATTTCTTTTTTTGATCACCCATTTTCTTTTGTTCATTTATTTATATATACAATTTATTTATATGGAACATACATAGTAATTCTATCTGGATAATAGGAATAGTTGATTGAACTTAATTTTATTTTCTGTTTAACAAGTAAATATGATACGTGTATTCTTCTTACACCCGAATTAATTCTGTGTTACTCAATAGCAATTCTGTCAACATTTTGGATCAAAGGTTGTGCATCACCCTTATGAATAAATAGATTAAAAATTGGTATTAAGACTATTGTACTGAGTAGAAACTAGTCGTCTATTTTGAGCCAGGTTATATTCACATTGATTCCAATTCTGAAATGAATGTACTCTGGACAATATAACAAAATGTTATTGTAACTGGTTGATGTAATAACTTACTATAAGATGATGGTGATGTTTTCCCTCAACCAGATATAGTTACTAGAATCTCAGTATGAACTTTGACAAGATATACAAACTTTAAACCTATTTTGTCCAGCCTAAATTCATTGCAGTAGAAATATAGTGATTAAATGCACAAATGGTCAAGACTGAAAAAAAATAATACAAGAACATTTTCAATATTTAATATAGTATTTCACGCTGTTCAATTTCTGTTTGTAACCCATTGTTTAAAAAATAATTAAATATATATACATAACGTCTTACGTAGTGGATCGATTATATGCTACACTTGCAGTATACATTTTGATCAACATATTTACTAAGAAAATCTCAAACATTATTATAAACTCTAGCTGCATTACCTTATTTTCAGAATACATCCAAAAGAAATGTCTCTAAAGGGATTTCCATTTTTTTTAGCTATAGCTATATATTGTTATGAAGTAAGTACATGTTATTTTATATATCATTCTTCACCATGCTGATAATAGGATTATTCCATTTAGCACCTAATTCAAATCTATTAGCACAGAACCAGTCGCTGTCTTCTAAAATAAGTTTGATATTGAGCATTTTCTGCTCAGGGTAAGCAGAGCGATAAGCAATTTGATTGGATGAGACTTTGGAACACAATAATTCTCCTTCTAATTGAGGTTTAAACTTGGTGTAGGTGTCTATAAAGTGAATGCCTTGACAGTGTTCGATTATGTGCATTTTCCACCATGGCTAAGCAGAGATAAGCAATTTTATTGGATGAGTCTTTGGAACACGATAACTTTGGTTCTAATTGGGTCAGAGTATAGATTCATTATATCAATACCTTGACTTAGTTTGATGATGATAATTTTCTGCTTAGGCTAAGTAGCGATTAACAATTGGATTGGTCAAGCTAGAATGTTTAAACTTGGTGTAGATGTTTATTAGGTGAATGTCTTGACTTGAGTTCGATTGTGAACATTTTCTGCTTATATGCAAGCCTGGAAATAAGGCATCGTTTATCCTAAACATTGTCGGACACAAATTCAGGCTTAGTCGGAGACAAACACAATCCACATAGGTTTGTCTTTTTTCTGTGTTTTATTGATATTTTTAATACATGTATCACACAAAGTTCAGAATGTCGGGTACAAGTTCAATAGCCAGGCATAATTAAAATCATTATTTCCAGGTTTGGCTTTGACGATACTTTCCAAAAAGATGAATGTGTAATTAATTAATATGTGTCATCTATTAATTTTGGGATTGTGGCAGGGGACATCAGCCTCACTGTTGGCTTGTTACTTCTAACAATGAATTGACTTCCGACCAATATACTCATGCATGTTTAAATATTCCTTTCCAAAATGATTGTTATGTAAGAATTAACTACAAATAAATACTGTGAAAGGCAATAACCAAGTGAAATATACAATGTTTACACAGAGTGTTGTCGTATGTTATAAGTCAATATAAGTCAAGATAACTAATTTCACACAAACTACCCTTGTTTTCATCTATTTGACATTAGTTTATAGCATTAGGAAATACCTACGTATGTAATTATATCTAAATAAATATTTAGGTGACCTAATTCTACTAATGGTAACAAGGTAAATATTATGACTTTAATAGAAATTCCAATTGTTCATTGCTCAGTTTATTTAATAATTTAAAACACCCAAAACCCAAAACCATGTTCATAAAGATAGTTTATAGTTGGGATGTGAGAAATGTATTCCTTGGGGGGGGAGGTGGCAAATTGTTAATTTCGTTGAGAATCAGCGAAAACTATTTGATTCCTAGTGTCAAGTAGTTTAAAATGATTCATCTAGATTAGATGATAAACAGTGTTGGGTAATTATCAAACTCGGGGAAGTAAACAGTCGTAAACCTGATACTCTTTATCTAATCTACACAGATCAATTTAAACTACACGACAGCAATTCAAATATTCTTAATCATTCTCAACAAATTCTAACAATCTGCCAACAAATTTTGTGAATGACAGTGTGACAAGAATGCAGCATTTGTGTGTTAAAAAAACAAAGTATGGTAGGTCAAATGCATGCAGCATTAAAAGAATTCTACCATTATTTGCTGATTCTATACTTAATGTTATTGTTAGAAATTTTAAAATGTCTGACTTCATTTCAGGGTGCTGGTATGATATTATCATTAGAATCTTCCGTACATATAGAAAAAAGGCATAAATTTAGAAAGTAAGTTCTTAAACTGTTCCGAAAATGTTTTCATAGAGAGGAAAACTGCACATTTAGTCATAAACAGAAAAAAACCCCAACACACTATGAACTTAATTGAATTATCAAAGACACTGTAAAATGCTTAGTCTGATGACAAAATCTATATTTCTTATTTTGCAGAATATTTATTATAGCTATGTTCCTGGCTACAACACTCTATATAACATTTGGGGCTTGTGGCTATCTGGTATGTTATTTTATTTTATATGTTAATATATTGTTGTAACGCCGTCATCCATAGTTTATACACTCTAGAAGCAACAATTATTACCTGATCTTTCTGATGTCTTTGTCAGTATAAAAGATACATGTAGAGAACCTTGGTGTATTCCACACACATTGTTATTCTGTTATGCTCCTATATCTTATGAAACCTTGTTGGTAATCCAGGGACTGCAATATTTATGCAGTTGTTTTGAAATTGTTATGGATTATCTGATATATGTAAGAAACCCATTAATGTTCAAAGATTTCTGACATTAATTGCTGGAGTTATTCCCCTTTTGAAAATCAAACAAGAAAACCTAAAAAATAACTATTAATGACTGATCTGGAGGCCATAATTAAAATTTATTATTTCACCAGAAGCTTCAGTTTTTATACGCCCACATTGAATTGTGGTTGTTTATTGTTGTCACCTTTGTTCGTCTGTCAAGCTAATGTTATCATCTGATTTATGTGCAGTGTTTAAGGTCATGTGACAAAGAAGCCTATTAATTTTAAACAATTTCAAGAGTTATGATCCTTGATTACTTTGTAAAGTCATAAACTGATTCACACAGAATAGATACATATTGTTTATATTCATGAGACGAAGACACCTATAGATTTTCAATAATTTCCAACAATTACTCCCAGAGATTTTGCCCATGAGCACTTTGAAAAATATTGTGGATGCTTAAAGTAGCTAAGTCTGTAACTCAATATCATCCAAAGACTTACACGTTGAAATTATTTGTCAATTCAAATCAACACTGATGTTGTGATCTTACCGGGAAAAGGTAGGCTTCTGATATCCAATATTTAAGACAAAATAAACATTTTACCATTGCTACACGAATCGTGTACCATAGTGCATTTCAGTCTCATGTGTAACAAGTGACCAGAAAGAACAACTCCTGTCAAACGGTGACGTCATATCTTATCTGAGAGCATGCGCAATAGACTGGAATAACCAGACGCTAGAAATTGTTGAGACTCATGCCTATTTCGCTGGACATAACTGATTTGAAATTAGAGTCAAAACGGAAACAATTGAATGTAAATCGGTTTATATAAAATCAGATTACATTAGGGTCAATTTCTAGGTCCTAAATATTGGCGATTTAGCTCCTTTACTTTAAGTTGATAAAGTTTCCTTTCAAGTGCCTTTATAATTATAGACAGTGTTTAATTATGTTCATGAGATGAAGTAGCCTAGAATTAATTTTGGAGTTATTGTCTTTATTGATCACTATGTAAAATCTTGTTGACCCTCGATTGGATAAGGGGGGGTGGATGGCTGAATGGTTAGCGTGCGCGCGCTGTATCATAAGGTCTGTCATTGAGTCGACTGGCGTGTTTTCGAATCCCCGGTTGTAAGTGACAAGGAGTAGGGTCGCCTGTCCATCCTCGTGGGTTTTCTCCGGGTCCTCCGGTTTCCCCCCACTGCTAAAGACCCCTATGCGCAAGCGAACTATTGAAATAAAATTGAACCATATGTTAGTCCCAAAATGACCTAGTTTGTGTCAAGTGGACGTTAAACCCCATTTCTTTCTCTCTCTATTGGATAATAGGGGGGTTGGGCAGTCTGGTGGTTTAACATGTGTGGGTTTAATTACAAGGTCTATCATTGAGTCCAAGTGGCATGGTTTTGATTCCCCACTTGAACGTGACAAGGAGTAGGATTGCCTGTCCAACTTCGTGGGTTTTCTTCTGGTCCTCAGATTACCTCCACTACCCGCAAGTGAATTATTGAAATAAAATTGAACCAGTTTGTGTTGAATGGATATTAAAACCCATATCTCTCTCTCTCTCTATTGGATAAAAATATTTTATGGTTGATTTGAAATTGATACAAAGGATCAGTGAGACGAAGAAGCCAATTTTTTGTAATAAATGCTCACATCAAGAAGAACTAGAAGCCAATGAAATTTGAATTATTTCTGGGTTACTTGATGGGTTGTTACTCTTGATTGTTTTTTAATGTATTGTAAATGGTCCCCGTTACCTACAAAATGTGTGACAGAATGTGATTGTTTACCTTGTGTACATTTCAGTCATTTGGTGCCGAGACCAACGCTATAATTACTTTAAATCTTCCCAAAGGTAAGATAAATAGTCAAATCTAACAGATTCTTAGAGGCATTTACAACTTCAGGGGTGGCACTGCAAGATACAATCATAGTGACATTTAATTATAATCCTAATTAGAGTTTCTATAAGCGGACAGAGTAACATATTTTGTTATTAGAAACAACCTTTTATATTTTTTATTTTGATCATATTTCAAACGTGTCTATTATAAACATATTGATTGACTGTATCATATTTCAGGAAGGACAATGGATTTCAGTATGATTGTCAAGTCAGCTCTGTGTTTAGCGTTATTATTCACCTATCCTGGTAAGTAACATAGATGAATCAATCAAACAAACATGTATTGAAAATCACATATTCATTCTAACATATACAGGGGGGGGGGGGGGTCGATGGCCGAATGGTTAGCACATGCAAGTTGTATCATAAGGTCTGTCATTGAGTCAACTGACATGGTTTTCGATTTCCCGGTTGTACGTAACAAGGAGTAGGGTCGCCTGTCCAACCTCGTGGGTTTTCTTTGGGTCCTCCGGTTTCCTCCCACTGCTAAAGACCCATACGCACAAGCAAATTATTTAAATAAAATTGAACCATATGTTAGTCCCGAAATGACCTAGTTTGTGTTGAGTGGTCCAGATCTAATTGGTTGTTAATATTGTTACATATACTTGTTTTCAGTAATGATGTTTCCTGTAATGAAGATATTAGAAAGATATTTAATAGCAGATGCAGATAAACATTATTGGAAAGGTGTAAGTTGAAAATTACGCTAATGATCTTCTAACCAGTACATGTATCGTCATCATTTGAACTACAAGTCCAAACAATCGCTCATGTTAACAGTGATATCTGATGATTGTCATGCACATGGCTTGGTATGCTTATTATTTCTAGTAAATTGTATATCTTGTAAATTATTTGTATGTGTTTTTATTTTACAGAATGTGTTACGATGTTGTATGGTATTATTAACAGGTCTAGTAGTTATATTAATACCAAGTTTCTCTAATCTAATGGCATTAATAGGTTCAAGTTGTTGTACCCTGCTAGCATTTATATTACCAGGAATATTTCATCTATATATATTTAAAGGGTGAGAATTTAGATATTTAATCAGTAGATCGAGTAGCCTATTTATATGACCATCCTGAGATTACTTGTCCGTTACATTAATAGCAACCTGGATATCATATATTAGACTTGAACAGGCTCATCTCTTGGCATTCCAACATTCCTCATCAAATGGCTGAATGGAAATATTACCATTTATCACTCAAATCAAAAATTGAGGGTTATAAGAAAAAAAGCCCATTTCTCCTGCGGCAATGACAACAAGTATGGTCCAGTTATACCAGCCTGTTCACTGATGTATAACAACATTTAGATGAACAATCTTAGCTATGGTCATAAGGGAATGTTACTTTAAAAGACAATCCAAGAAAACTGAAAGTTAATTTTTATCCATTTGTCTAGAAAGAACTAGTAACTCAAATTAAAACACAAATTTAAATACAGCTTGCATTTATTATAGGTCTACAGTTGTTTGAGAAGATTAAACCGTAATTGCCTTATTCCAGTCATTCCTACAAATTGAGGTTCTGACTGTGCAGAACCTTTCCAACTTCAAATGTCAACTATTTCCTTGAAGAGAAAACAATATAAATTAAAACTAAAAAAAAATTATTTTGAAATTATTGAATTACCCAATGCCTTGTACTCTTTTTAATTTTTCTCTACTATATGATTAAATTTCTGATGTTACATGTTGAATTGTGGATGTAATTCCAAGGGCTGAAATTCTACAATTCCATTTACAAATTAAGGCCCTTGATACTTCCAAATTCAAAAGGCAAATTTTTATATTTTCTTATTTGAAGCAGGAACTTGGTACACTTGGTAATCTCCTTCTTCTTGTTCTTGGGAGCAAACTCTTCGTAAAACTCGACGTGTTTGTTCCTTGAACATCTGTGTTTCGATGTACTTATTTTTACATGTTACATGTTCAAACAATTTCTATCTTTGTTTATTTTCAGCGATATGAGTTTTTCACAGAAACTATTCGATTATTTCCTGATATTTATAGGAATAGTAGGGTAAGTGATTAATTAATTCTCTACACATTTGTTCATATTAATTGTATCACCAATATTTTTTACTGATTTTTGGATACTAAGATTGTTGAACGTATCCCATTGTTTTACAGTATGGGAATTAGTTTTAATGTCATCAATATATAAACGATTATTCTGATGTAACCAAGTTCATCCAACTTAGTCAATAATTTATTAAAGTAGATAAACAAAAGCAACATTAACACGGTTTTCATCTTCAGATATTATTAAACCAACGTTTCGAAGAGGTACCCTCTTCTTCTTTAAGGACACTTCTGTATCGAGTCCTTCTATCCAATGTTTTCATATTCCTGTTGGACGCAGATTCTAATAGTTTTGTTAATAATTTATATTAGAATGTTTTCAACAGTGCCTGTATGTATTGACGTTTTATGTTTATTTAATTCTATATTTAGAACTATTGTTGGATTGTGGGATGCATTTAGAAGATTACATGAAGGTGAAGAGAAAGATGAAGATACGATAATTAGTACAACTTTAACGTCTGTAATTAATACAACTATAAATAAAATACACGATACTAAACAAACAACACAACATCTTATATCTCCTAAATTATAATACTTTATCATACATCACTGACTAATTATACATTATAATACTTTATCATACATCACTGACTAATTATACATTATAATACTTTATCATACATCACTGACTAATTATACATTATAATACTTTATCATACATCACTGACTAATTATACATTATAGTACTTTATCATACATCACTAAGACTAATTATAAATTATAGTACTTTATCATCAACCACTGAATAATTATAAATTATTTAGAGTTTTAAACTTGATAAAGACATTCTCAGGTTTTGGTTTAAATCTTTAAAAAGGTAAAATATTGTATGTTAAGGTAATCAGTGTTTTAAGTGACCTAATGCAATGTTATGTAATGTATTTAAAGAGCACCTGAATTATATTTTGTGTAAAAATCACCAACACTACTAACAAACAGAAACACAAGCTTTGAAAAATTGATATTCTCGGCTGACATTTAAAAAAACAAAAAACACTTACTATGGTGCATGTATTTTGCATTACTGAGAAAAATCGTTTATATTGTGTCTTATGCCACTGATTACATACAGTTAATAGATATAATCTTTATGCCACATTTTGACATATTGCTTCTTGTGCATATCACATTCTAGCCTGACAAATAATTAATTTTGTATCTTTTCAAGATATTGACTGATATTTGAGTCAAGTCATATATATATATTATTTATGATTTACTTATCTATCAAACAGGTATAGAATGTTCAAATATTAATATACAGTATTAGAAGCAATACTTTTTTAATTCTTTATTTCATGAGTTTTATCTCAGTTCAATAAATTTTGATAAATAATATACTACATGTTTGGCCAGTTATTTTATCAATAATTAATTTACGTTTTAACATTGTTAAAATGTGGTTGTTTATTACCCTGTGTGTGTCTTGGTCTGTGGACCACATTATGTACATTATTAAGATAAGTACATCTATTGAATTTCTGTGAATTTTGATTATGAATTCAAGAGTTAGTCTTTTATCACATTATTGTGGAGAAACATCATTATATTTTGCTTTTGTTTAGAGAAAACACAAGGCAAAGATTGTAATATTAGAGACTGTCCACTAGTTCTGGATGATATTAATTATTATTTTTTGTCTTTCTTGGTCGGGTTTTGTCCATTTTTCATAGACTGGATTGGAGCAGTATAAATCCTGGTATTCTTATATATTGCTTTCATTTAGTGATGTCAGATGTTATGTAAATTTCATGTCTCCTCTTGCTCTCTATCGCCAACAATATACTATATATATAAGTTTCTATTTTCTATTATGTTTATACATGTGATATTATATTATGTTCATTTTTATTAATAATCCCACCATGCCAATATTGTCTTGTGTTCAGTAACACTCTGTGCAGGTTTTTTCTACATTTAAATTTAATCATTCGAGCATGTGATTTTACAAACTTATTTTAATTGTGTCAACTTAAAAAATTACATAATTTATCCCAAATGACTTTCCGAAAAAGAAAAGTTAATTTATAGATGCTGTTGACAGCTAATAAAAATTTGATTAAGAAAGTTAGGTATTCTTATCAATTTAATTAAGAAATTGAAATGATGAAATTTGGGCATTTCTGGCTCATGTTTTAGTTATTGGAGGATCGTGACCTATAGTTTCTATCTAATAAAACGAATTTTGGATCTATTTGCACCAAAAACTTCTCTCACACGATTTTTAAAATATTTTTATATTTTCAGATTTTTTTTGTAAAATGTATGTTTGCCCCCATGCCCTTATCACCCACTGAGAGAATTCAAATTTTAGTCTTAAAAAAATAGACTCTAATGAATATTTTGAGCTGTAATTTTAGATTTGGTGTTTTCATTATAATACTTAGAAAAGTACAAAGCCAGACAACTGAGTAACATGCTTTTAACTAATGTTGTATATTTATGTATATAAACTTCAGTAAACTTTATGTAAATATTTTTATTATAGAAATTGAGATTCAGTGTTAACCAAATTCTATTTCAGTTGAGTACCAAAGATCTGAAAAGATGGAGTCTCAGGTTCTAGAGAAGACCTTTCTTTTCTCAATTGATCGGCCAATAAAAAACAATTCGTTAGTCTGTAAATAGTGGTGTAGTGCTAAACAGAGAAGTGGGGGAATGCATTTAGAAAGTGTTACTCAGTGGGGGTACTGGAGGGCAAAAGTGGTAATGCTTCTTCCTCTGGCACTGCCATTGTATTTATAGATATTTTTAGAGAATGTGATAGGAGCGGTTGCCATCCTATACGGAAGTGTTTTATAATAAGGTAATGTGACAATGCCACAAAAGCTCATTACATCAAAGTTTATTTATTACCTCTGTTAAAAGAAAATACAATTGACTCTTTCTCATATTCCTCTTGTGTGAGTGGAAATTACTTGAAATTGTGACGGAACACCGATCGCCCTCCCAAATAAAATGATAAATTGATGATCCCACTGCGCTACACTACTGCATATAATGTATATGATCTTATATGGTCAAAAGTCCTGTATAATATTAGGCTTTAGTCATGTTTTTAAAGCCAAAAAGTGACATGTTTAAATTGTTCAACGAATAACGTAATTTTGGTATCTTCATATTGTGCTTGTGATTATTACTGGTAATGTTTGTTTCTGATATTCAGAAATATATATACTGATGTTTAAAGAGAAGATTATTGTAGGAATAAGTGACAATTTCCTGGAATAAATAAATGTTATCGTATTTCATTATTATGTGTACATAGGGGAGAAAAACATTGTATTGTTTGGTATATAATTATAAAATATATATTTAGACACGTCTATGTGGTTTTTTTTGACATTTTATTATTTGTATGTAATTAATATTGGTTTATATGTATATACAACAAACATAAATTATATTCATGGTAAAAAGATATTTATGATAATTTGTAAACATAGTATTATATTTACTTAAACATTTTAATTATGTGTTAGATTTATGGGTCACTGCCATCTCCCACAAAGGGAACAATATATTTGACAAATTATAATTTCCAATAACCGTGCATTATGGCGCTCAGGTTAGTAAATCTTTTTGTTTAAGTTCCTGTTTCACAAAGAACACAAAAAAACTCATGTATACATATACATAAAAAAGTGTAATTAAAGCATTTGTATATTTTGGTGTGTATGTTGAAAAGCTGTGACCTTTGGCAATATTCTTTTTAACGTAAATAAATCATTTTACTATACAACTCTTTTTATAGCTGGGGGGGGTTGGAAGGCCGAATGGATAGCACGTGCGTGCTGTATCATAAGGTCTGTTAATGAGTCAACTGGCGTGGTTTCGATTCCCCGGTTGTACGTGACAGGGAGAAGGTTTTTCTACAGGTTCTTCAGTTTCCTCCCACTGCTAAAGACCCTTACGCGCAAACAAATTATTGAAATAAAATTGAACCATGTGTTAGTCCCAAAATGACCTAGTTTGCGTGAGTGGACCTTTACATCCATCTCTCTTTTTATAGCTTTTTTGAGTGTGGGCATATCATGTTGTCACCATATCTGTCAGGATGTCCTCAACTGTTTGCTTGTTAATGGTGCAGGAAGAAGGGCAAGAAAAACCTAGGACCTGTGTTCATGTTGGTGTGCACATTAAAGAATTTTTAGCAATTGGAATTTGACGGAGAGGCGATAAAGCGTGGCTGTCGAGGTAAAATATCACAAATAGCATACTGCATGGCTATCAGCCCGGTTAGGATGTTATACTCTGTCCCTCAACAACTAACGTGTGAACATGATAGTGGCTACAGTTTTTGATGGATCTTTTTCATATTTGGTGAGAACGCAAAAGAGTATATAGTTTTCAAGGCACTTTTTTCAAATTTGGTTGGAAGTACTTGGGTCACGACTGGATGAATCCTATCGATATTCAGCTTTTTGCATGTCAACTTTTAGTTCCAGAGTTTACCTCTTTGCCGAAAACCGGAATCTTTTCAAATTTTGTTGGAAGCATTTGGATCATGACAGGACAAACTCGAGCGATAATCGTTATTCCACGACCTCCCGTTCCAGAGTTACACCGCTCGACCCCCATACCTTTTGCCAAAACCCTTGTTTTTAACATATCTTGTTCAAATTTAGGGGGAAGCACTGTGGCGATCAGAAGACGAACCTTATCGATATTCATGAGATTAGATTTCTTGATGGATCCTAGATACTTATTAAATTTGGTCAACATTCAAGATGTCGTTTTGGATGAGTTGCTGTTCAGATATAGCTGCTGTGTGGGCGTATTTAACCACGGATTGCGTGGCTATCATATTTCATTTCATTTCCCCCTTCCCCTCCGCCACTGTATCAGTGTTGATGCTAGTTTCACTTCTCCATTACAGCTATATATATATATATATATATATATATAGATATATATAACCAGTAAACATGAGCGTCTTGTATATTGAAATATTAGATTACCTAGATTCTATAGTATAACAATGTTCTACATAGCCTCACACTCTGTATTAAGACAAATAAAATCATGAAAATGACAAAGTTTTAGGGTTTTAAAGATTTTTAATATACCAGTAAGCTGTTTAATCATAGAGAAAATAACCAGCAACATGCACAATATATAATATTATATATAGCAACGTATCTGATGTATGGTGGACCACTGTTGCCAACGAAAATTTATACTAAATTTCAATATTTTATATTTTCTATAGTAAGGGTATCGTCTCTATTCACACTACAATCGAAAGTCTTTGAACTGTTAGTTATCTTATACGTTTAAAATACATGAAATCAAATTTCATATGAATTGTAAAAGATTTGCGTTGGCAACTGTTGGTCACCATACTTGTGCATAGGTACATCATATAATCACAGTTTAACTGACAACCTGTACGAATGTATAAATGGAAGTGTATACACATTGAGAAGGGTCGGAAATATTCATATCACACCTGTTGTCTTATTAAAATCAATTTTCTTAGTTTCAACACAAATTATTTGTTCTTCCATCGGACTATGTCAATTTCCTGTGGTATAGAAAGTCGAGGTATTTATGCGCTAATAAATTGTCGCACCCTAGAAATAATTAAACAGGTTTTTTCGGTAGCCCATGAGACAACTCTTTCCTGTGCGTTATTTCCGGACATGACATTGTACTATGGACCCAACAGTTTTGGGGACGTCAATACTCCGTATAATATATAAACGGATTTTATCAGCGGAGAAATTACCAAGACAAACATTTAGAAAAGACATTTCACGTTTCTGCCGTACAATACACAATAAATTTACATATTATATAAACTTTAGGTATCACCATTACATCTAAGCTATTTTCTATAATATGTTTGGGGTTTAAGGTTGGGGTTTTGTTTTTTTGTTTGTTTTTTTTTCTTACTTAAAAAAAATATTGAAACAGGATCGATTTGGAAAATTTAATTCATAACAATAAAATGAAAACATCAAATGCCATATGAACAGTTGTGGGGTATCTATATAACATGTCAATTTCTTCATGTGCCGACTTTAGCTTTGCATTAAAATCTTATGTTAAAATATCCGGTGGCAATTAAAACAAGGAATTATAGCAGTCGTTTATCACGAAATTATTATGAATAACTAATTAGAGTGAGGCATGAAATAAATGCGACGACCATTAACATTTAATTGTAATTAAATCACATAAACATATAATAGGACACCTGCGAGTTAATATTAACATTTGGGTCATATTTAACAATCGTCCTGAATATTTAATTTAAAAAACATATATAACAAAATGCCTCCAAAATACTACAACATATATCTAAGATGTAAGGAAATCAATATAAGTCTCTTGACGTGTAACACTGGTGTGATCGAAACCAACAACTTTAATTTCCGTGCCACCAAAAGTAACCTCTAAATCTACAGCTCTCTCTTTATCTCCCGTTAAATCGGGCATATTAACAACTAAACAACCACACTTCTCTACCCCTTCTTCATCCGTATACTGAACTTTCCTCTTTTGAGATCGATAAAATTCAAAGATGATACCTTTCTGGTTGGTAATTATAGGAGTGTAGGTTTCCCGCCAAATTTCCTTGAAGCCAATTGTTTCTCCTGCTTCTGCCCATGGTTGTAAAATGTTTTTACATAAAGTGACACCATCTGAAACGACCTTCAAGTCTTCTCGGTGCCCTTCTTCAAATGGAAGATACGACCCTACACCATACGTATATCGACAGATTCTCTGGCAGATTGAGCTGGGATCATGACCAAATGCCACAGCACCTTTAACAACCGTTAAACTTGCTTCTTCTGGTATAAGCACCGTGACTCGATCACCAAATTTAGATTTTAAGGAGTTTTGTAGTCGAACGCATTCGGCGAAACCTCCTACCAGGAATAAACTCTTAACTTCCTTCATTTTAGGTTTGTCTAATAAATGTGCAACATGATCATTAATTTGCTGTAAAGCGTCTGAAAACAACATGTTCACCACTGAATTGGTAAGTACAAGTTTTCCAGACGAAAATTTAACATTATTATCATTGTCCGAGGCATGATTTTTGATGGCTTGCTGGACGCTTACTCCATTATATTTAAAATTACAGAAATTATAAGGCAGCGAGACACGGACACTTTCACTATCTCCACGTTTCTTGATTTCAAAATCCTGCATCAGTTCCACATAATCTTTTGGATAATCTTGCCGGAATGTGTTGATAAATTCTTCTCCAAAAATTTTATTCAAGAGCTGTACGAATTGGCGATCTATAACGGTTCCACCCCAGGCCCCACCCGTTGCTCTGAACAATTCTTTAATTCGTTCATCTTTTCTGATTTTGTGGGCGACTACATCGATGGTACCACCTAGAAAATTAAAATTAATATAATTTGTTAATAACTAATACTTTTATTGCAAGATACGTAAATTCCAGTCTGTTCCATATGTATTTACAGGGTGGGGGGGGGACTCATCCAATCAAAGAGTGACTTTAAAATTATTCTTTTTGAAATCACCGCTGTTAACTTTGTACAGGCTGCCCAACTTAATTTGAATAAAAGATTTATATCGCCTGGGTTAATTTACATATGAGTCTTGTGGGGCATATATATGATCTACAGTCAAGCAGTCAGGGGCGGATCCAGGAATTTTTGCAGGAGGGGGTTTGCCGAGTTCATGTTAAGGAAATTTGACAGTTGACAATGCATGATGCCATCATCGTTTCCAAATTACGTAGGCATACATAACCACTGAACTTTTACAGAGAGAAATCCAACGCCCGTCTGACCTCAATTTTTATTATGAATTAATAGGATCACATTGTGATTCAATTTCATTGATTCAAAGCATAATCGTGATATCATTATCTCCGCGCTTTGAATGCCAATCCCATCCCATCATTTGATAATAAAGGATAAAGCACACGATCGTGACACTTTTCTCATATTTTCTTTATGTAGCTGAGCGGGGGGTCGGGGGCGTCCCCCCACCCCATGGATCCACCCCTGGGAGTTGTACCCGGGCATCACCAATTAATTACTTATTAATTCTCTGTAATACAATTTCAAAGAAATAAAGGAAATTTGAAACATACCTCCAGCATCTACCACCAAATATTTTGCTCCTGGTTCAAATGTAGGTTTATCTAAATTTGTTTCTTTATAGCCTAGAAAATTTGTTGATGGAAGATTGCGACAATGTAAAGAAGCTGCTTCTGGTTCAAGGGCGATGACTAACTGGTCACTGTTGGGTTTGTCTATCAGTCCTCCCTTAAATAAGAAAACAATATGAAACAATCAGCATGGGTACATATATAAACACACATAATTATTATCTTCAAAACTGGTTGGTTAAAATGCCTTCTAATGACCCCTGACTCATAATGATCTTATCCAGTGCTGGTAAAAATTAAGAAGGACTCAATTTCTCTGAAAAATGTTTTTGGATTCTCTCTTGGTGTAAAATGGATTTCTTGCGTATATAGAGAATCTCCTACCAGTCTTTTTTGGTATAAAAAAATATCAACACAAGCTGATAAAGTAACAAAAAACGAGGCTCTGCCGATTTTTTTTTACTTTCTCAACGAGTGTTGATATATTTTGATATCAAAAAAGACGAGTAGGAGATTTTATTTATCACCCAATCCCTTCTTACATGCACAAATAGATAAATACAGTTCTTTGCTGTAGATTTCACTTTTACTGAACATTACGGCGTAGTGATACATCATTTTTTGACAGCAATTCAATCATTGCAAAGTCCTTTATATTGACCCAGTGTTTCCATCAAGGTCAATTGAATAGCAATATTTCATTTTTAATAAAAAAAAGAAGTAAATTTTGATAAGAAATGAACTGTTCTTTGAAAATAAAAAAAAGTAGTTCCTTTTCAACTGACCAATCAAATTCATGTAAAGCGATATCTCCTAAGGAGATATCGCAGTAGATTATGAAATTTATCACACAAGCGATATCTACTGTAGAATGTATTATTGGGTGATAAACAAGAATAATAACTACGAAACACGCTGAAAGATTAAAGAAACCATACAAAATGAACATACACATTTATACCTTATGCGCCGCTTCTCTCATGAACTGTTTGGCATTTTCATCCCAAATAGCAGGAACTGTTAGAACCCAACGGACTGCATCAGGATGGGGATCACAACCAAGATGTGCTCCTACTGCACGTAACAGATGTTTCTTGATAAAGTTCAAAGAATTGGCAAAAACATCAACTGCTAATTGAGATTTGCCATTAGCATCTTTAATCGTTATATCTGCATTCAATTCCTGGAAAATGTTAAAAAAAAACACACCACCGTAATATTACAGTGACATTTATATTAAACACACAGTATACATTTGGGTAAAATTTACCAGTAATTCTATAAGACTTTATTGGATTGTACATGTATGTAAAATATTGGTCTCCCAGGTATCATATAATTATATCAATAATGGCTAATGGCCAATTTACTAAAGGGATGGTTCACGATTGTAATTAAGAACTATCAAATTATATTATTATGTATTATTATAAACCATACATGTTAAAGGGGTGTATTTTGCATATAGCCGTTAATAATAAACATGTAAGTATTGCCACAGCTGTTTAAAAGTATATCAAAATCAAAGACCATTTCTGCCATTCAAAGTGATAAATAGACTGTATTGATCTGTGCAAGACGCAATTTGGGTAAAATGCATGTCAGTTACTGATTACACAAACATCATGAATATTTTAAAAGCCTACCTTATTATCATAAAGTTTCATCTTGAAGCGATCAAAATAATAATAGTTGCACGCCTCTTCTTCCGGTAAATCATTGTACCTCGAGACAGCTTCAAACCCAAAAGCTTCAAATTGTCCATCAGGTTTTAATAGCAAACAAGTGGGTGTTTTATGAAGTAAAAAGCCTTGAGTTTGGCCCCAGTTTTTGTTAACGTGTATAGTTTCTTTGTTAGACGCAAATGAATAAGCATAACCACTGAACGTTGTTCCAAAATCGATAGCAGCTACAATTTGATATTCCACGGCATTTTCTGTATCGGGTGATTCTAAAACAGAAGATCCACCAGAGTTGCCAAATTGAAACTGCACCCCTTGTTCATTTTTTGGAGATGGGAGATTCCCCTCCGAGTTGCTGCTCTCCGCCATGATGACCGTCTGTTTACAATACAATGTGCAGAAATGACTAGGGATCTCATTAATTATAGATTTTTATCGATCGATATTCTTGTGGCGTCTTCTATCATGCGTCGTCTGCTTAATACTCATTATAAATCACGTGACAGATTTTAAACGCAGTCCCGTTGTTAAATCTGTACGAAAAACTATGGCTTTTGATAAATAATGGCTAATAATTAAAGAGTCAAATTACAAAATTGGAGAAATAATCATTGTTGAATTGTTGGATACAGATAGACATCTACACTTATTGTCGACAATTAGAATGCGCGTGGCATTATTATAATAGATATTGATTTTTCTCCTGAACCGAGGTGACAGTAACACCGACTTTCTTTGTCTCACTCAAACCACGGTTATATTGGTAAGCATTTACTTTTCTATTTGTATTTTCAGTTTGTGAATATTACACATATTTTCTGTTTCATTATGATGCAAACGGCGTTCACAGGTTTGAAATCTTGTGGCGCCATTCATTTATTTAAGCCACCGATCTTAAGAAATCATTCAGCCTTTATAAAGCATGTATCTTTCAATGTGTCATTAAGAATGACCAGGCGTGGATACAGAGGCGGGGTGCAGGGGAGCGCGCACCCCACACCCCACCCCCACCTCCTTTTTCTATAGGCAATTTTTGATTGGTATAATATGTCTAGGAACGACCCGTCCTGATTATTATAATAGCATCACCAATTTATTTGTCATTTCTGTACAAACTTGCTGTATACCTATTCCCCATTTATTTATTCATCTTTATGGTTGCCGTAATGCTTACCCACACTATTCTTGACTCTCGAAATAGTCGAATTTGGGGGATTTTGTTTTCGGGTTTGTGGGTATTTATAAGACTCAAAGATGATTAGGGGCGACCATTTAGAGACCGAAATGCATTCATAGAAGTGTACATGTAATTGTCATTTATGTAGTATAGCTTTGCTCAACCTCCCAGGCCAGTTGTCAGTATATTATATGATATGTTATAAAACCTCAGCAATTTCTTTATTACATAAAACGTAAAAAGTATATTTGTATACCAAGCTTCAAGAATATAAAAGAACTACTGATTCACCACCATCTTCCTTCTGGCGAAGGAATCATCATTTGGAAGCACGTTATTAAAGAGAGAATACTGAATTTTGTGTTGTAGTAGATCCTGTAAGACAAGTAGGGCAATCAACATGTCCAAAGAAGCAACGAAAGATCTCGTAACAGAAGCAAAGAACTTTAGTTCTAGTCTGGGAAATGTTTTCTTATTGAAGAAAAGGGATCCACAAAGTAAGCATCTTCTGGAAAAGGCGAAAGTTTTGATCGATGGTCTCCTGCAGGTTGACAGTGCAAGAACAGCCGCTCCGGCTGTTGCACCGAGACAATCTAGATCTGCAGGCGGCATGGGACAACTGTGGGTGAAACTGGACGAATTAAAGCGGGAAAACGAGGATTTAAAACGTCATCGAGGTCGATCATCAGATGAAAGATCCTCTCCCGGCAAATCTCAAGGACCTGGTGATGTTATTATCAACGAACTACATCGTGCTAAGGCTGATAATGATAATTTGAAAGGTATTTATTATGTTTTCTTCTCATTCTTCTCCTGTAGTTAATAGTAAGAACACATTATAAGTTATGTGTACTGTAATGTAAAAATTTTGAAACTAATTATATAGTTGAATAAATAACATAGTTTTATCCTTTTAAATTTCGGGCATTTTGCCTTTCCAGGGAAGCCTTGTTTTTATTTTATCCACTAAACAATAAAACTGTTATTGAAATTATTATATTCTTTGATTGATAGCTCTGGTGGAAAAACTTCAAAAATCAATCAAAGATTTACAAACAGTGAATGCTAATTTACAAGATGAATACAAGAGGCATAAAGTAGGTTTTGATACTGCCCAGAAATCAGTAGAACGGGTACGTCAAGATTATAAAAGTCTGGAAGCCACACTGTCTACCACCAAAAAAGAAAACGATAACTTAAAGCAAAAGTAAGCATAGTATGTAAAAGTTATTCATTTCAACTCTGATTAAAGACAATCGGATTAAAACACGGATCCTCTGTCGTTTGGGTTTTTTAATTCAAAATTTCGTTTTACTTGTCTTTACTACACTAGAACCCGGAAGAGTTGTTATATAACCCACGTTCTGGGTGATGTGAGGTAACAAACGAAACGGTGTGTTACGGTTAGTTTTTGGCGTGAGGTGCATGTCTGACGTCATAGGTCAAAAGCCGCTTATGAACCCTGACGCGACCTTCCACCACAACTTGTCAGATCTTCATGTAGTAGAGGCCATCGAAATTATAAATAAACGAAACGAAATATAGATCTGTATTTTAATCAGATTGGATTACGGATTGCGTTAATTATTTAGAAAGGTTTCTATTATGAGAATACCGGAAAATAATGTACCGGTAAAAAAAAATTCGAGCCAGCGCTGCTGTTCAGCGTAATTCATCTCCTGTATAATTTTTAAGCTAAATTACTGAAAAAAGCTCTCAACTAAATATTTTATTTTTGACCATACAGGTTGACAAGCAGTGTGAAGCCAATTCCAAGAACAGATAACCGTTTTTCTGAAAATATAAGCGAGAGGTGTAGACCAAGTACGATAGCCATGAGGTACGACACTCTAGAAAGTCAAGAATGGATGGATGCTAAAGAAAGCTTAGAAGATACGTCAAATATGGACGAGGAGGACATTACGAAATTTTTGTGTGAAATTCTAGCAGTAAGTTTCAATATTTCATTTGAATTCATTACTGACATATAACAAAGCCCTGATCACTTATAAAAATAACATTATTATGTAATAATGGTAAGATTCATTTGGTTAGAAATTATATTTTCAGAAATCATACGAAGTTTCACAAGAAATATACAATAACCTTGAGGTTGCTATAGCAGAATTAATTAAAAAACCAACACTAGCTGTAAGTTTTCATTTTAATATCATTTCCATTAACCAATATCAGATTAATTAGCTCTTGTTTATGACGACTATAAAACAATATTCTGTGAATATTAAGGAGATTTCGTTCGATCGTTCCTGGGGTTTTACGTCCACTTCCACCAAGGGTGATATCGTAGACAATAAGGAGAGTGAAGATTTATACTCTTCATACGATTATTATAAAAGATCTACGAGTTTTTGAGATTATTCTGTCAGTTATAATGAATTTTCACAGAAACCCTATAAACACTGACGTTCAGGTCAGAATGTTCTTTTTGTCATAGTTATTGCCGCGGCCAGAGATTTAAAATATAATGCGACAATTTTTAAAATAATGTTTAGCCGTTATATTGCTTGACATCATTTCCGGTGGCCAGTGTCACTTTTTATACGTCCACATTTACGTGGACGTATCTTGTTGTCGCCCCTTTCCGTCTGTGTGTCCGCCCGTTGGGTCACATTTTGTTTGTGGACACTCTATTGTTTTCCGATTTTGACGAAACTTGGAATATAGGTTTATCTCCCAAAAATCTCGGTTCCTGTCGATATTGGCGCATATCGGACCGTAACTTGTGGATACTCTAGAGGTCACATTTTTTTATCAGATTTAAAAACAAAAACGTACAAACATATCACCGTTGCACCCTAATGATGTTTGAGTTCGAATTTCGTAAACATCGGACCGAAATTGCCCGATAAATTGGGCGCTCCTCGTACGCAAATAGTGTAAAAGTATGTAATACCATGACTGTAGGCCCTCCAGAGGTCACAATTTTGATGAAACTTAAAATATATGTTTATAACCCAAAGATGTTCCTTTCGATATTCGCGCAAATGGTCGTTCCACGTACGCAAATGGTGTAAAAGTATGTAATACCAAGGTTGTGGGCCCTCTAGAGGACACAAGTTTTATCAGATTTTGATGAAACTTAAAATATATGTTTATATCGTGGTTACTTTCGATATTCGCGCATATCGGACTGTAACCTCCTGGATTATAATCCCTGATTGTACGAAAAATTGTGTTTTTGGGTTTGTGAACCCTCCAGGGGTAACAATTTTTATCCGGTTTCAAAAACCATTCAAAAATATCATCGTTGCACCCGAATCATCATTGGGTTTGAATTTCGTGAAAATCGGACTGTAATTGCCCGACATAATGGTTGCTCCAAGTATGCAAATAATGTAAAAGTATGTAATACTAAGGTTGTGGCCCGTTTAGAGGTCACAATTTTTATCCGATTTTGATTAAGGTTAAAATCTATGTTACTTGTTTAGTATGCTTATCCATGCCTGTGCGAACTTGTACCCGGAAATTTATAATTTAATCAAATGTTTTGTAGAAAATTATCACCCAGAATAGTTCAAGTTTAGAAGAATCTGTTCTGCCAGAAGAAATGGTTGATGCTATGAGAGTAAAACTAAGACAAATATATGAAACTTTGGATTGCAGTGATTTTGTAGAGGTGGGTAATATTAGCGATGTTCACCGAGAAAGCTCTTTGGGGTTTCCCGTATGGTTTGCCCTTATGAGTGATCCAGGATGGACGACCTGCTCAGGAACAGTATCTAGTTCATCAGAATGCTCGCAAAACCGAGGTCCCATGTATAAGTAAAAGAACCCATGTCAGCACAAAATTTCCCTCATAGCCCACTGCATGACATATTTCCGTCTTCAGTTATAGCCCAGTTGGTGCAGAAAAATAGGACGTTAAACCCTATTCCATTTGTTTCCTAATGCAATAAATGCACCTTATTTTGCCCATTTGTTTCATTCTAAATATTATACAATTAATTAAACTCTGTAACAAACTAGAGGAAGGCTGCGTGCCCAAACCAACCCAAGGATGCACCAATTTAGATGCATTGCCAACAAAAAGACTTAGAAACGTAAATGTATTTTTAATGATATATATTTCCCCTTTTATTTAAAAGGCTACCAAATACAAATTATCAAGAGAATACCGTGGTCAAACTAGTAATAAAACTGTGAACAGATTTATGAATGAAAGTGCTTGCATCACGTGGCAGATGGTCATTCAGCAGCCACCAATGAGTCTTGTGGTTGACGACACTAAATACAATGATGAAAAACATAAATTATGGTGGAGCTGTGATAAAAGCAAAGCTAATAATATAGATTATTTTATCTGGCCCGTGTTATATGATTACCATCAAGGTAATGTGCTAGTAAAAGGATGTGTTTCTACAAGATGAAACCGTGAAGACATGTACTTACATGTAACCTATGTGTTTAGGTTTACAATGAACAGGATTAAACTTATGCATTTTCTGGAACCATTAATATTACCAGATTTATTATAGCTTCCGTTTTTTTCTATTATTTATTAAGTTGTGGTATATGATGTATGTGATAATTTTATATTAAAGTTGAAAGAAGTATGGAGGAATAAGGACTAGTATATACTTGTATCTTAAATGGAGTAAAGCTTACATGATTTGCATACTTTAAACAAGTTTTATTGTTCAATATACAACTGGATAAGACACAAGTTTTACAACTTATCCAGTTGTTGATGTTTACAGCAACCGTATTGCTTATTAAAAGGTTTCACTTTAAGTAAATAAATACAGTCTAATGGCTCAACTGGAACAGTTTTGTGCAGGACCAGTGAAGGGAGGTTCTGAATGCGGTTATCTAGTGGCGTGGGTAGGATTAGGCTCTTGTCACATTCAGGATATCAGGTGCCCTGGCGGGTAATCGGGGTCTAGTTCGGGTCTGTAGAACGCTATAATGATTGTCGCTCAAGGTAGGGTGACTGGCATCCGATCATTAAATACGGGAAACTGAAACTTTTACTTTTGTCATTGTATCGTTAGGCGCTTTGATCTCAAGGACCATTTTCCAACCAATGACAGCGTGGTTTTTGTTTTTCCATTGTTTTCTTGCTTAAAATTTTCTTTCAAAATCGTGTTCTCTGATTATTATTACATCAGAAAAACTAAAACGCATGAAATTCTTGTTGGGATTTAGCTATGCAAGAATACATAGAGCCAAAGTACACAAGTGTGTTGTAAAGAGAAAAAAATGAGTGCGACTCAAGTTCGTCCAAATAAGTTTTTGGTACAGAACTCAGTGAAGAAGATAAAAGTGCCGAGAATGAAACCCTCATTTAATTTGAGTAAAATTCCAGACCTTACTCTTGACCTATGCAGGCAGGATTAGCTTATCAAACAAAGCCACTATTATAATTATCATCAGTATTGTTGCTTTATAATGTGTAGGTGAATACTCATTATTTATACATATTGAGAATTATAAGTGATTTTAATTGTAAATTGTGATATTAATGCTATACATGTGTTTGTTACCACTGTTGAAGGGTATCATTCTCACCTATGTTCTAATAAATCTTTATTTAATACACCTGGCTGAAAATTTATTACTCAAGACGTAATCTAGTGGATCAAGGGGCTGGGGGTCGAACAAGGGGCTAGGGGTCTATCGATAAAGAGCAGTCAGGTAGATTATAATTTCATGTATATCAGAATGAAGTAAAGTGGTTCTTTTTTTTAACTGGACATATTTTTTATATATATATTTATCTACTGTAAACATTGAAGTACTTGTACTTTATCTATTTTAATGTAAGCTTTGCGTACAACCTTCAAGATACCTTTTCAACCTATGTTTACAATATTATTCACATTCTATTATGTCTTTATAGTTTTATACACTTTGAAAAGAATCCAAACATTTCAACAATGCCTTTCACAAGATTCAAGTGACGAAATAGGAAGCCCCTATACTGAATTGGAGACAATTTTTATTGTATTACAAGACTTTAGTCTTAGTCCTTATAAAATATTTTCATATCTCGGAGTAAAAACAGATATTCTTTTGTGGTTGACTATTATTTATTTATAAACTGATGAACATTGCTATATGCGAACATATAAAGGGAAACAAAGCATTAATAAAGTAAAAGCTGTATACATCTTCCTGAACTTAATAAAAGGTGATAAATTGAATACACCAAAGTTTGTGTACCTTTAAGGTGGATATAATCTTATAACTATAAATAGCCAGGATGAATAGTTTAATGTTCTATTATTAACCAAATAATTTCATATTAAGGGCCTTGAATCACAAAGATAATATTTCATACACAAAAATTCAATAGAATAAAATGTTTGAGTCTTATTGTTGTGAACGGTAAATATTACTTTGTCCAGTTCTAGAAACAAGGTTGTTTAACTAGGACAGTTACAGGGATATAAATTTCTTTTATTTTACAATAACATTTTTAAAGCATAAAGCATTGTATTAATATAGTCCAAAATATGATTATTGTGAGAGTTGATCATAAAAACATAGCCTACTAGTCCCATTTAGAACTCACCTCATCCAAGATACCAACCAATAAAATAGGTTTTCAGTTAAAGCTAAAATAAAATCTTTCTTTATGTTAATTACTTCTCAATTCTGAATCAAGTTTTATAGGCATAGTCTTAATACTGATAATTTATATGTTTCATTCATCATTAACTAAAAATTTGAATTTTTTTTTATCTTAAAAAAAGTTTATAAATAAAGACATTATCCTTAGCTTGGGACACATTTATCAACCTGGTCATGGCTATACAACTTAAGACAAAAAACAAATTAACAGAGCTAAGCCTAATTCAATATCTAAATAAGTTGTCATTAAACATCAAAATACGTACATACTATTTGGAAACTAAAAATTTGAAGTAAACAGAGGCAAACAACAAAATAAAGCCTAAAAAATCTAATGATTCAATCTCCCATTACTGTTCATATGATTTTTGATTCAACATTGTAGTACATCATCATGGGATTTAATATTAATTTCACCACTGCATATTATAACAAAATGGTGTCTGAATCTATGAGGTAAACACATTTAAATCAGCCATAGCTAAATGTTGAATATGTTAGCTTTCTACAAAAATCTAACTTTCGATAAACATCACATTTTTTAATTTGTTATATAAAGTAAGGGAGATTGGTAAACTATATAAAGAAAAATAATAATAACAAACAACAAAAGCTGACAGGTAAGGCTATACCAGTGTAAATATTAGGACTAGCTTAGCACATTAATGAAACAAAGTCAATACTGGCAAGGTACACTATACCACAGAAACGTGAACATGTGATTATAAAATAAAGCACCGAATAGTATGATTAATGTTAAAGATTATGGTTATGAATTATTTTGATCATTGGAATTATATACAATTACAGAATATTTCACAAAGAAACAGCTAACACAAGTAAAGTAAAATAAAGAAATTGATTTTTTTTTTTTCAATATTGAATTAGAATATGGAAAAAAACACAAATTGTTGCTAAGATACATATACCAATTTACTTGGTCCCTTTCCCAATGACAGCCATATTTTCAAGTATTCATGTTAAGCAGTCTTTATACAGAAGACAACACAACAATTAGATTTTTGTGGGTTAATTTCATGTAAAAAAAATTGGGGGGGGGGGGGGAATATAAAATGACATTTTGATTAGATTAGGTTCTGATATCATATAAATTACAACCCAACTTTATCAAATTTCTTGTCCAAAATATGACTACTTCATTGATATATGTCTTGTTAACATATATATACTTATGTAATGTATAGTTATGTTATTTCTTTAATGGAAGACAATAATCTGGAATGCAAGATCAATCATTAGACGTGAGCTTTATGGTGAGAGTAATAAGCTGTATATTTGTGAGTAAATCATATTTGCAGCACTGGTTACTAATGTATTCTTAAATTGAAATTGAAATATCAAAAATCAAGCTCTTTCTGAGGATTTATCAATGGTCTTAAATTAACAAAATAACAATTCAGCCTACAGTAAAGAGTAAAAGCCATGGGTAATTGATATGTTTAGATTTACATATGAAGTAATTGAATGTAAAGCATAATATAGAATTTGGATCCAAAGTGTTATTAACTGTCATTAACTTGTCGATTGATATTAATTCTATACTAACAAATCAACTCAATTATTTTTAACAAGAGTAAGAGATAATAATAATAAAAACTAGGTATAATATACATAACAAAATAAAGTAGAAAGTTGCATAAAAAAAAGGTTGAGAAGCTGTAGATTTCTATATGATATTATATAATAACATTGGAATAACATATTGACATATATAAACTTATATAGCAGAGTAACTAGTGTCTATATACAATATATCAGGTAGTATCAAGTAGTGTGTTGCCTACTGCTATCACTATCTTGTAAACATGCTGGAAATATTCCCATTCAGGCTTTTGCATTTTTCTCTTTTTCGATCTCTGTATAAGGATAAAAATAAAACTGATATTATTGAGAGAATGATATATTCATCTGGCCTAAATTTCAGTGAATCTAGGGTAAACATCTGTTCACTCCAAATGTGTTTCTTTCACATATAAATTTATTGCTAAATTTGAAATGATAATTAAATGTATTTTCTAGTTGTAAAGGTAAACCCTATAATAAGAACCATAACAAGATGCTGCTCTGATTTAGAGAATTTATAAAGAAGACCCAAGGTGAAATTAAAATTAAGATCTGAAGAGGCTTACCAGCCTTGGATGGAAGGACATTTTTCTCAACCATATTTGCCTTCTTTAAACTGTTTCTTGAAAACCCTTCAATAGAATTTCTCATTTCGGCTTCTTGTTTTTCTTGCTGGATGACTAAATATAGAAAATGCATTTTAAAAATCTTAAATTAGCTTATAAACAAATTTGTGTTATATTTCATCAAATCATTAAATGTATTATTATGAAGAGGTATAACCTGGTTTATCTCCCCTTAGACCACCTAACTCAAATTCAACAGATTTTACACATATTTGATAGGTTATATACATTCCATGAGTAAGGTTACATACATGAATAATTTTTAAATAAACATCTTTGCTAATGCTGTTTTTACTCCGTGACATTCGACCCACAAATTCAAGAAGTGAAGCATCAATAAGAAATCAGTATTATTAACTGAAGTGTAGAACAAATAATAAGCTATTTAACACAAGTCTTTGTTAATAACAAATTGTGGACGGACACATGGACGAAGAGGGGCAACGACAATATACGTCCAGTGGAATTTAGTAAATGAACTGTTAATACACAGGATATAATTCTAATGTTTATAAATGAGCAATGTTTTAACTAGAATTCTCTAGTTTTTATCAAGTTTAAATGTATTCAATAGACATCTGTCCTGTATATTTGTACATCAAATATTCAAACCAAAATATTTAGTTGTGTTAATCCATTTATACACCTGTTTCTTTTTCTTTATTAGACAGTTTAATTTATTTTAGCTGATGCAATTTTTTTCGTTAATGTATTAGGAATCAAAAAAATCAAAACATATTTATAATAAAGAAATAATAATGTAAAAATACATAAATAGGTAAAGAGTGTGTTTATTGTAAAGAAATTCAAGCCTTAAGGCATTCACAATAAATCATGAGTTGAGTGCAATTCATCAAATCACTGGATTTAAAGAGAAACAAAGTGTATTTAAATATGCACAGAAAAAAACAAGTCTTGTTGGGTATAAAAAGATGAGAACCAATTCAAAATACCATTTATCAGTTGTACCAGGATAAGAAAATGTTGCTTTTTTTTTCTTTAAGCAAAACAAAGTTTTGGAACATTAATGTGCAGGAGATGACATTTAACAAAAAATACACTAGGGCTTCACTACAACATCATTCTTGGGTCCACAGGCTATATTCACAATACAGTTAGACACTATAAAGATAATAGTAGCCATGCCAGCATTGGCCTTATAGCATAAAGCAAACCTAATAGTGGGGTCCTAGTGTATAATGTCAAGGAATTCATAAACAAGTCAAATACAGAAGGGAGGCAGATTTTGGGATTCAGATAAATTAAGTTTGGTGACATTCTTGTATGTTTCTACACCTACTCTGAGCATCGGGTAAAATATTCTTCTCAATAGATTCTGTTCTCTTCAAACTTCTTCGATTAAATTTTTTAATATGATCACAATGTTCTTGTTCATGTTTGGCTTCAGCTAACACTATTTACAGGCAGAATTGGTAAATATATATTAATAGATATGTACTATTCACAGTAAACTTTGTTTAATCTTTTATTCAGACTATCTTTATTTACATTAGGTTATATTTTAAACTCCTTAGTTCCCATGACCTTGAATGTGCTATCGAATCGATGTATGAAAATGCTAAATGCCAAATAGTCAAAATGTACAATAAATGTGTTTACAGTATTGCTTTTCTTTTTTTTAAAAAATATTATCTGCATGACCTAAAGAGCTTGGTAATACCAAATTGTAACATAACTTATGTAACTTAAAATCATTAAATTGGCATTATGGAAGAACTAAATCTGCCTAGTGCAGGTATTTATTTTTGGACTTCAAATGTTCTATAAATCATTATTTTGATAGTTCACATGACAAGCCCATAATCAACTCTCTAGACCATCGGATGGCATAGATATTGAGTGAATTACACAATGTCTGTCATATCCTAGTTAAACGTAAATATGGACGTAGAGATTGCTAATTGAAGCACTGAAATTGAAATTTTGTTTCTTATCGAGCTCCTTTACAATTGAGGTAATCTAGGCTATTTGTCAAAACTTCAACCATTCATAACATTGCTCAGAATAAGATCATTTGACTGAAATGTTCAACATATTCATTTTTCATTATCAATTTTTTTACTGTTATACCATCTTTTATACAAACATTGTAATTATTTAAAATATGGTATCAAACATTCCAAACTATGTTGTTATTATAGACTTACTAGTAGTATCAGGTAAAATTATCCTTTCTTTAGTCTCTGTTTGTTGTAATGTTGATGGGTCAAACGTACTCACTCCATCCAAAAACTGTTGATGTTGTTTTTCAGTTTGTACATCTAAATAAATATGTAATAAGTTATAAGCCTATATAAGTAAATGATGATCAATATGATAAGAGTGTTCGCAAGGTTCAACAGAGCTAAACATGGACCATAACTCTAGAAGTTACATGTATAAACGGAAATTGCTGAAATTCAATAGGATTCTTCGTTTTACTAATTTAAATAATGCATGTAAATTTATTATATCAGATGTGAACTTTAGTTGTTACAGCGTTCGCAAGGTTCTATAAAGTGAAACAAAGACCATAACTCTAGAAATAATAAATGGAAATTATTTAAAAAATAGGCTTTTTGGTCTCACTAATGTAAACAACATATATACATTTCAAAATGATCAGAAAATAAATGTAGTCTATAGTGTTCACAAGAAATTGTGGACAACGGCTATATAGAAGACTACATTTCAATGTGGGTGTATAAAAAGGAAATAAAAAGCATGACTGATGTTCCACATTAATTTAGATAATATTACCAATAATTATATCTTCCTAAGTAATTACTTAGCACAACATTTACAAATCACTCATATATTTACACGGATAATAGATGTAAAGAAAATCAGTTTATTACTCATGCAGAAATAATCCTAGTATGTTAAATAATACATCATTTACTATTTAGTTACTTACACCTAATTACACCTTATTTTACCATCTTTGTACGAGTCAGGGGGCAGCTTTTGGGCAATCTGACTTTTCAGGCAGACGGTTAGTGAAAAAACAATTAATATATCATCTGGCTGGCCAAATAAAGTGCCCGAAAATCTATAAAACATTAATTTTATTCTTACTTTTTTAATTGAATACCAAAAATTTGTACTGAACTGACTGGATTAAAACATTTTGTCTGTTGCCACTCAGCTTTGTGCAATTTTCCGGCCTATATTATTATTTGTGAATGCAGCTGCAACAGTGTGATTTGGATGATCGGTATTCAGGTTTCGGTTGCAAAACCATTGGGCTCTAGCAGAAAAATGCATATAGACTACATTTATTTTCTGATCATTTTGAAATGTATATATGTTGTTTACATTAGTTAGACCAAAAGGCCTATTTTTTAAATAATTTCCATTTATTATTTCTAGAGTTATGGTCCTTGTTTCACTTTATAGAACCTTGCGAACACTGTAACGATTAAAGTTTCTAAATTTTCTTGGGAAGAACGAGGCCCCAACACCCTGCTAAACGTTTACTAAATGATTGATTGGTTGCTTGGAATTCAGGTTAGCCACCTAAGTCAGGCTATATCAGCCCACACTGAAGTTGCTGTATTCACGGACTGGAAAATGTGTTTGCGGGTGTTAAATTTTCAAAATGTTCTACCAACTTTCGCGACTCTGTGTACTGTAAATGATTGAATGGTGGAATAGAATTAAAGTCAACCACACTATTTGCATACCTGGAGCAGTCATTTTGTCGGACAGTTTCAGTCCGATTTTGACGAAATTCAAACTCAAGTGTCATTATGGTGTAGCGGTGATATATTTAAATAGTATTTTACATGGGATAACAATTGTGACCTCTAGAAGGACCACAAGCTAAAAATAATAATATAAATAATAATAAATATTGAATTTGTAGAGCGCAATTCTTTCCGATAAACTGCTCAAGAGCGCTAGTCATACATTTGCTTGAAGATTAATGTCTTTAGCTGTGACTTAAAAGTATTCAATGTTTCGGATCATTTGATGGCGTGTCTGTTCCATAAATCTACACCACATCGCAGAAAAGCATGAATTTCGATTTTGATCACATGGGCTGTATATTTTTGCAGAATATAAATTTATTGATTGCAGATTTTAGAAGCCCAAGTGTCACCTGGTCTGTGAAATGATTGGATTAAATGAAATTTGAGGAAAGATAGGTTGCCAGGCCACGAAACATACAGCTACAGCAGCTAAGGCATCCACGCAGTCCACAAAGGTTGTTGCATGGTAAATCTTTAGGTCATAACACTAGAAGTAATTGTTCACTAATGTGAATACTTTAATATACATGTAACATATCGGAAAACGGCAATATACAACCAAATAATATAAATATACAACCCTTCAGATGATTTCAATATGTATAAGGAAATAATCAAATTAATCAGGGAAATAACCATAGTGATTTTCAGTTATAATAGGGAAATGTTAAACATGTATCGTAAGAGTTTATTTAATATCATGCTAACACAAGTCACTTTATTCAACTACTTAGGCATATAATATGTCATTGCCAAAAACTCAACACAAAGGCTAACAATTGAAAATTTTCCAGTCATACAGTTGGGTAATGCATTAATAACAATAAGTTGGATAATATTCAAATGCTTTATAAAATAAATAATAGTTTTGGCAAGATTAAGTATAACATCTTCCTGCCTTAGATCACAATTGGAACCATATTAGATTTTTTTTGGCAAGGACTAATAATAAATAAATATAATTACCTTCTTGGTTGGGCAGGACAACTTTTTCTACAGTTTCTGTATGACTCAATTCGCTTTTATTAAAAGAACCAATTCTCTCTCTTAATTCATTTTCTGTTTTTTCTTTAACAATAGCTATAACATATCATCCCAATAAATATTTAACAATAGCTATAACATATCATCCCAATAAATATTTAACAATAGCTATAACATATCATCCCAATATTCCAATAAATAAACAAATAGCTAACCATGATTTTCTGTCAAATACAATGGCATCAAATCACAAGTTGAATGAATAAATTCAGAAATAAAATGTGCAGATTTATTTACAATCTACATGAAATACACGTGGGATATCTAAATTTTAGTAGCAATTTTGATAGATGATGTTATGAACGCATACATGTACACTTGTGAAGGTTTTTAAGACTACAATTCTCTGTAATTTCAAGACTAGCCTGGTAGCTTAAGGGTTGCTCCATGGGAAAAGGAATTGTATGTTGAATGTGTCACATAGCCTGTCTGCATTTTTAAAAAATAACTACCCACAGATGGTCAGCCAATGGGCAGTTAAAAGATAAATAGTAATATCCAAATGCAATTTTTAATGCCTAGGAGTTCCCCAATGCTTGGAGGTTGAATGTTCTTTAAATCAACAACATAATTTTAGAAACTTTGAAGTTTTAATCATCAACTGACTTTATGAAATTACAAATAACTTACTGCTTGTATCTGGCAGTACAACTTTTTCTTGTGTTTCAGCATGATTTAATTTAGATGAATCAAACTTGTTAACTCCTTCTAAAAACTCTTGATGAGCTTTCTCTTGAACAACATCTAGAAATACCAATGACAAATATCACCATATAAAAATATATCTAACATAACTCTGACCTGTAGAGTATGAATTCATTAGGATTCCTCCCTATTTTACTAACAATCACAACACATCTAAAAAATTCTGACCCTTCTACAATATTTTCAAGAATTGTGGAAAACAGATACCGTAAATGGACATTGTAATCAGCATATGTTTAAATCATAATGCAGTGCATATTATTCATTATGTAAATATTCATACCTTGTTGTGATGGTAAAGGGTTTTTCTCTACTGGTTGAACATGTTTCAAATCAGCTCCTTTACTAATATCACCCATTAATTTCACATGTTCTGGGGCCACTGGTGTTGTTGTTGCCATAATGTCTATTTTAACACTTCAAGGATACCTTTATATCTGAAATTATATAAAGATCTATCACCTACATGTATGGAATTATTATAAATTCTAACATTAGTAACAAGTGAGATATGATTTAAAGAGGGTATAGCTCTATTCTTTGGAGCCTTAAAATTACACGACTAGCTTAGTGATTTTAAAATGTTCAATGTGTTGTAATAGTTGTAATCAATACCATATTCTCACGGTTAAATAACAACATCAATATTGATTGCAATGGAACAAAATTGAATTCTAATTCGAGTTTTTGATTTCGAATATTATGGACAACATTGAGTATAGCTCCTTTAACAACAGTATATAATCAACAATGAAATGTCGAGGCCATACATCACATTTTATAAATATCACAGTATTTAGCCTCAGGCAATATCCATGAAATTATGAATGAGTGACAGTTATTTTTAATATTAGATAAATTGATTATAGAATGTTATCAGTCCTACACAACACAGACTTATTTCTCTTAAAGGAGATGGTCTGCATTCAGATCACCTATTTCTGTATTTTAACAACAAGCCAACTGTGAGGCTGATGTCCCCCGAAATGCCAAAATAAATTGATGACACATTAATTAATCGCACATTTTTTTTTTCAAAATTATCGAGCAATCAAACTGATTATCAACTATACACTAAGTTTCATCACTCTCTATCAGATAGAATCACTCTCACTTCATTATAACCAAAGTTATCGTGCCCCAAAGCATCAACCAATCAGATTGCTTATCTCTGCTTACCCTAAGCAGACAATGCTCATCATCGAACTCCATCAAGGCATTCACCTAATGAACGCCTCGGGCAAGTTTGAACATTCGCCCTCAATTAGAAGCAGAGTTATTGTGTTCCAAATTCTTGACCAATCAAATTGATTGTCGCTCTGCTTACCCTCATCAGGAAATGCTCTTTATCGAACTTAGTCAAGGTATTGATGTAATGAAACTATACACCAAGTTTCATCACTTTCACTTAATTAGAACTAAAGTGTCCCAAAGCATCAACCGATCAAATTGCTAATCTCTGCTTACCCTAAGCAGAAAATGCTCATCTTCGAACTCCATCAAGGCATTGACCTAATAAACACCTACACCAAGTTTAAACATTCTAGCTTAATTAGAAAGAGAGTTATTGTGTCCCAAAAAGTGTGAGGGACTGTCGGACAGACGGACGAACCCATTTTAATATTCCCCTGCTTTCTTCAAAAGGCGGGGGACAATCGATTGCCTCAATCTATTGGCTGATCAAATTAAAACCAACCATTGTCATCTGACAAATCTTAAGGATGATATTGTCATCTGATCCAAAATTATGGAATTCGTTAGTAAAAACAGAAGGCTTTATATAATATTCTATAAATTCTATATCATAAAAAAATAATCCATTCCAACATCCTACAACATTCATTATAAATATTAGCCAGCCTGGTGATATATTTTGGTTCAACTGACTCTTATCTAGGTCAGTGAATTATTTACTTTCTATTATCACATTATAGTCCATTATCTATCAATCTTCTTTATTTCTAATTAATATATGTACAGTGTATTTACAATGTGTCAAACATGTTGTTATTATATTTTATCTCTTGATGGCAGTTGTGGTGGGATGGTTAAGTGGTCTACACTGATTGTTGAACTAGACAAACTCTCTGGGACCCATCCTCGTTCCCTTCTACTCATGGGTTCATCCATGGAGTATCTGCCCTTGATCGCAGCTTGAGTCAGTCTGCGAACCAATCAAAAATGAGTTTACAAACCAAGTTTAGTCGTTCCTGTTCACAACATTATGCTGAGTTCAACCGGGAACACTGTAACTAAACCAGCACACTATATGGATTTTCCACACATAAGCAGAAATCAAGCTGGCACGCTACATAAGAAATGAAATCACGCTATTGGTATGGTTAATCCGAGCCTTCGACTAATCAGATAAAATGAAAGTATAGTTTATTTTTAGTTATTAGGTTACTGTTGGACAGCGACATATTTCTTTCGACAAAACAACAAGGATTTTTCTCTTCTAGAGAGTAGGCTAAATTTATTATGTAATCATGAATGTGCCAGGAAATAACTTACTAATAATAAATAATGATATAATCTTATTCACATCTAAGAAAAATTACACGCATGTGATTATTATGTTCTTGGTGGTTGATTTACACAATGTAATTATTATGTTCTAGGTGTTTGAATTACATGCAGGTAATTATTATGTGCTTGGTGGTTGAATAACATGCATGAAATTATTATGTTCTTGGTGGTTGAATTACACGCATGAAATTATCATGTCCTTGGTGGTTGAATTACATGCATGTAATTATAATATTATGTTCTTGGTGGTTGAATTACATGCATGTAATTATTATGTTCTAGGTGTTTGAATTACATAATTATTATGCTCTTGGTGTGTGAATTATAAGTATGTAATTAAGTTATGTTTTTATATCTAACTAAGGGAACATACATGTACAGGATAAGCTGTTATATAATGTTTATATGAACTTTGTTATGTCTATTACATGTACAAGTTGAGCTAAAATTAAGTGGTTCAATTGTTGACACAACTTATCAGTCTCACCCATTGTTTGCTCTGTATCCTTGGTTCATATAAATAATCTACCCATAGTGGGCGTAGTTTGAAAAATCTTTTCTGAACATTTTCAGTTTGTCCCTAAAGTTTGTTACAAAATTCTCTGTTTAAGTCATTGACATAAAGTTACTACATATATAACAATGAGTTTACGAAAAGTCGAAAATGTAAGCAAATCAAATGCTAAAATGTTTCAAATTAAAATATTGAGCTCTTTGGATAGGATCATTAGATTTGCTTGATAGGGTTAAATACATGTACATGTACCTCATTCGTAGTACTTCATTTTGATACAATTATTTACCACAACCTTGGTTATCCAGGAACTTAGTGTGTAATTTGGGCATTCACCTGTGGTAATAAAAACCTGTACCAAGTTGGAATCCCAAAATGTTGGACGGACAGACAGACCAATTAAAAACATTCTACAGTCAGTAATGCAAATTCAAGAAGTGAATCTCACAATGTATATTGCTAAGAGATAAAAAATACTGTCACACTATTTTAAAAGAAATGACCATAACTTTTAAGTTTCACACAGTTTCTACACATGATTTTAGCGCTGTAGATTCTCTTACAAACTACAATATTGTGAAAGTTGAATCTCTAATAGGAATATCAGCCCAAAACTGGTTCAATTCTGGTCAGTATTTACACAGACTTGACCAATTGAATTTAATTGAAATTTCCATTGATGTAAATTAACAAGACAGCAGCCATCATTATTTGCTGTGAAGATTTAAAACAGACATATCAATTTGGATCACACTGTGAACAGATATATATCTAGTTTAAATCCATCTGAATCTAAATCTGACCTCGTGGGTTTTCTCCGGTTTCCTTCCACTACTAAAGACCCCTACGCGCAAGCGAAGTATTGAAATAAAATTAAACCATATGTTAGTCCCGAAATGACCTAGTTTGTGTCGAGTGGACGTTAAACCCCATTTCTTTCTCTCTCTCTCTCTCTCTCTGAATCTAAAACAGGACATTATCTAACATTGGTATTTTGGTATTGTTTTCTTGATTAAATTGAATATTAAATAATCAATTTGGGTACAATAATGTACATATTAGGGTGGATGATGCCGTGAGAAAATTAATATTTTCCAAATAAAGCAAATCACACCTCATTTTATGAAAACGGCTGCCTGTCCCTCCAGTTGGTCAAATCATGGAAAAAGGGAATATTTTTTTTAATGTCATCTGACAAGCTCTTATCTGATGAGGAAATGAGTCACCTTACCCACTAACAAACTAACTTATGTCTAGGAATACCTTTCTCAGTCAGTCATGAACTGTGACTATAAATAGACTATTGCCCAAATTTAGTGTTAGGGACAAGCTGTGAGCCAAGAAAAGGCCACACATTTCATACCAAGCAAACAATTGAGTTGTAAATTGTATGTCAAGTTCAACCTGATATTCACAAGAACACAACAAAACTTGTTTACCTCATGTTAATGTAAATAATAAATATCAATTAAAGGCTAACCAAAGCTGCATAAAGTTCATTGATAAGTTGTTTACCATATTTCTAATGGTAAATAAATATCATTCAAAAGTTAAAATATCTTTCATATTTCTATATTCCTTGGACATGTGACCCATATTAATAAACATTAATTTGAATATTTTTCATTTGTCTTAAAACAAAAAATGACAATGCCATTGCACTACCGGTATAGTACAATACATATAATGTAAAGAAAGAGGTACTTTTAAACCAAGTCAGAAAAATTACATCTTGTTAAACGTCCAGTTGCCACAAACCGGGTTATTTTAGGACTAACATGGTTATGGTACAATTTTATTTCAATAATTTGCTTGTGTGTAGGGGGTCTTTAGCAGGCGCGAGATAAAACCTACATACATGTATGAGCTGGTTCTATTTCAGGAACATACCTCTACCAGTTCCCGTGATCATAGGGTATGTTAGGGAGGGGCAAGCCATGACCTCACATCAAATTTTAGCCAAATCGGTCAATAACTTTTTATTTCACCGAGAGATATCTTTATCCGATATTGTTTGTTGACTATTTAGTTAGACTCGAATAATAGGACACTAAGACAGATTTCGAAACACTGCCCTTCCTGCCTAACGCTGCAGTTCATAATAATAATAATGATTTTCATATATTTCAATTTTTGAGCTAAGTCACAATTTTCAACAAATGACTATTTGGCATTGACCACTTGGATTAGCCTTTATCTGTGAATATCGCCATGCCCTTGACTGACTTCAAATTCCCCATTGAGCTAGGGGTCTTTGTGCTTATGTGTGCTATGTCCCCATTTCTTGCTGTATTAGCAAGGTTAATGTACGGGGGGAAAGCAGAGAAGATGCCCTTCAGAAAAGGTGATTGGGATCGAAACCATGTCACTTAACTCGATGACAAATCTTAGGATCTAAAGCGCACAAGAGGACTCAACCACCTAAACCCCACTTGTTCTTTGGACTGTGAAACATCAATTGAAAGACTTTTGATATATAATATCAATATGGCAAAGATGATGTTTTGTACTGACAGATCTTCCCAAAAAAAATGGGAGGCACGAATCTGGAGGTAACGAAGATGTTCACATGTACCGTACCGTACATTGTCTATCAATGTAATGGCTAGCTGAGAGAGGTGGACTGATTCCAAAGCTTTCCCAAGCAAAATCATTCAGCACTCTAAATGGTAGGCCTATGCTGGTTTATTTATTTGATACCCAAAATATTTGTTTTTCTAACAATCCGAGACTGGAGATAAAGTCGGAATGATTCCTATCATGTGGCAGGAGGGTCTCGTGGTTATGAATGTATAGGCCAAAAAAGGCAGGTAGTATGAGAAGAGGATTCTGCTCTAGCTACAAAGACTTGCTATATCCTTTGATCTATTATTGGGTAGGCCTAGTATTACCATTTCTACCTCCACCTTACACGTACATGTTGATAAAAGAAACCTCATCTCTTAGACCTGTGTGTCTCAAAATACATGTAAAGAGATGGTACTATATTATATAGTTATTTCTGGAAGATGCTGATCATACGTATTACTTCGGAACAACAAATAACGACTGATTATTGTTATTTAATACATTTGTGCCACACCCATCTCAGGCCCTTAACTGTGGGGGGGGGGGGGCGCTAAAAGTTTCGCCCTCCAGTGAAAAAATTTTGGACCATAAAAACAATAGATATATACATTGTCAGTCAATTTTACAGCACCCTTAATAAAAAACTTCTTGAGAACGGTCAGTCTTTATCTAAATTTTACCTAATAAAGAAATTAAGTTTGACAGGTGTAACTAATATAAGGTCAAAGGCATTAAATCAGAGTCATAAAAACAAACACATTAGTACAAACATGAGTGGGCTACGGTATCTCAAGGTTTTTATCTAAGTTTTCGTAGTAGCCAGCACAACCACCCCCTCCCATCACCTCTTTATTGGTCAAGTCAGCTTCTATGTGTAGGGGCTGATTTTCGTTCCGTTTCTAAAACTTCGACTCACTACTCAGTTCCAATAATAAAAGCAGTCAAATGAGCAAACATACAAGGAAAGCGTTAAGAAATGCACAGCCAACAAGCAACCTACTTTTTCATACTACCCACTCGCACTAGACTACAGTACAAATAGAACTTTCGAACTTGGTAAAAGCACTGAATTGTTTTACTTTTATAGGCTTAATATTCCTATAAATCACAAGCTATTACAATAACAGTTAAAGTGGAGATAACATACGAAATAAAACTTGAAAACATACCTCAAAAATTGTACAAATTAATGAAAATTCCACACAGTCCACCCAAATACTTAGTCCCGCTGTCGCTTTACTTGGTTCAGTCCACTACAAAAGTAGATAAATATCCCGCTAGTTCGCAAGAGGTGTGTCGCATATGTACCATATAAGGCAGTTGTATTATTTAAGTTTTAAATCTGGCGAATATCAATCCTGTGCAATATAATCTATTTACACTCGAATGTGTATTTGCATTAGCCTGAAAGTTAACTTATATTGATCAAAATAAAATGGGTTTTGAAACTTATGGGTCACGTGGTACACAACTTGGCGACCTAATATTATGAAAATGAGCTGGCCCATCCGCTAACAGAAATGATTCAGGGACAACATAATCTACTGACTACTCATCTATTATTTCCATTAGCAAATGATTTTCGTTTGAATATATATATATAAAAATCAAGCGTTGTTTTTTGTTTTCTTTTTCGTTAATTATAGGCTTATTTGGACTACTTTTAAATAAAATAAAAATGTGGATAGAATGCGGGTTGGCGAGATGATCTCTCACCCGTATTCCAGCACCCAGATTTAAATTGAATTTAGCAAACATGTTCCTAGCGCCAATAAAAACCTATATATTAAATCATGAAAATAATTGTTACCTTTATATTAGAAAATAACATTTTAAGACATATTAATGCAAAGTATATATAATAGTAATTCCTAAAGAAACTAATATAATAGACAAAAAAAAAACAACCCAAAAAACCCACACTTTACGTCCACTTTGCATCAAAAAGTATTCAAACCAGCTTTGTTGGCAAAATGTTTTTTATTTCACAGAATATAGGGATGACTAAACTACTAGACTGCAAGATTCCAGCAACCGGACGGAACAAAAAGATCGAGGTCACGTTAATACATTGGTGTGCTTGAAAAAGATCTCTTAGCAGTTGGAATTCGATATAAGAGTAGGCCTAGGCCATAGAGCCGCTGCCCGGGCAAAATGTCCCTCATAGCACACTGTATGGCGTATGCCCATCTTCATTAGCCCAGTTAGATCAGAACAGTATAAGGACGTTAAACCCCATTTCATTTCATTTCATTACCATAAACATACTAAAAATGTGGGAGAATCGGGTTAGATATAGGCTCACTGCGAACACAATAACTTCTAAACTAGCTTTACTAAATCGACAGATGCATAGGGTATGAACATGCCAAATTTCATTAACTTTATAAGTAAAATTGTTGAGTTATATCATCGCAAAGTTCCTCATGCACCCGGATTCGAGGCGAGGTTCGTGGGTTCAATAAGACAAGGGTACGCCCACACTGAATTAAAAAGCACACAAACCAGAAGGAATGAATAAACTAATAGTTTGGGCGTTCGTTTTTTTTCTTTTTTTGTCTATTATTGCATTATCATGCCCTAACCCTAACCCTATCTTATTTTCTAATATAAAGGTAACCCTAGCTTGTTTTCGTGACAAATAGCTTTTTATTGGCGCTAGGAAAATGTTTGCTAATTTCATTTCGAATCCGGGTGCTGGAATCTTATTTATAACATGTTTATGTGAACTTGAATAAAACTGTTTTCCGGCGAGATAACGATCGGCGAACAACTTTAGGCAATACGATCTATGTTTTTTGAACTAACTTATGCATTTTATTACGTATTTTGTTGATATTCATTGTCGAGTGGGATTGCGGGTGGTGCCCTTATAGAGTTCGACTCTGCGCCACAATTTGTATCCGATTTACATGAAACTTAAAATATATGTTACGGGTCAAAAGATCTCGGCTGAGTTGGATATTGGATATTGGTGCGCACCGGACTGTATCTTCCTGGACATGGCCCCTTTGCCTTTTACGCAAAATGTGTAACAAGGTTTGTGGGTGTGATAAATTGGGAGCATGAATTCCAAACAACCAATCAATCGTTTAGTTGACGGAGCCGGCGTCGCCATATATAGGTATGGGGGCCTCACCCTCACTGAAAGAAATTTGAGAAAATTTAACCGCCGAAAATGCGTTTTTTAATGTCGCATAAAGCAGAGTTGCTCCAGACAAAATGTTTTAATCCATAGTCAATTCAGTACAAATTCGCGGTATTCAATTAAAAGAAAACTAAAATTATATAGCGATTTATTGAATTTCAGGTAGTTGATATGTTATTTTTTTTTCACTTTATCCTTCTTACTTCTGCTTGACTATATTAATAAGAGATATTTTGTGTTTATATGTGTCTTATTCTCACCCAACACTAAATGTTATTAACTGGATTGTTTTTCCTGGAAACCTACATTGAAGGGATCTTAGTTTCTAAACAGGAGAAGTCCTTTAAAATATGTCTTCGACATAGAGAATACAAGGCAAATGCCCGACTGGACATCTGAGTTTTGAAAAAAACTGCCAAAATATTGAAACGAAGCATAAAATCAACTTGAGCACACGTTACAAATTTCATTGAGCCTTAGAGGCGCTTTCACGGGCTTGAACCAGCGCCCGTTAAAAGAGGAGACCGATAATCACACTTTTTGGCCGATTTTGATGAAACTTTAAATGAAACCCAAAGATCTCAATTCCTTTCGATATTCGCACATATCGGACCGTATATTATAGCTTCGTGGGTTGTACGAAAAATCGCGTTTTTAGCTAGTGGTGCCTCTATAGAGGTCACACTTTTTATCCGATTTTAAAACCCTTGAAATATATCACTGTTACACCCATCTTCAATAGAAGGCTTGAACTCGCCTTGACTCCGTATACGTCTTATCGGGAACATGCGTTACACACTATAATGACGGTTGAGTTCGAATTTGCCCGACAATGTCTATGTTTGTCGCGGCACAACCCCCAGATTCGTGTCTATTCCTCGGGGATCAAAGATTGGCGATGGTTTGTGACAGAATAAGGGCCCTCCTTTCGAAGATATTTAATTGTAGTCTGCAACTTACTTAAAACTAAAGGCTAACTTCAGGAGAGCTGAAATCCAGGATGGCAGCCAAAAGTGGTCTGCATTTGAGCTTGGCAAGCATTGTTAGCGAAATGACTCGTGTATAATATTATGTCATTTAAAAGGTTTTGTTAGTCATCAGATTCAGTTAAGACAGTTTTCGGCCAAAGTCCAAAATGGCGATAAAAATTGACTCAAAAGTAGCCCAGTCTTTCAAATCAATACCAATAAGAACATACAGGTGTGATACGTCGTTTCAGGGGTTGTGGTCGGCGAGAAACACGAATATATATGCCATTTTTTGAGTTATCTGTCGGACTTTCGCACTCAGAAATTCTTGAAATAAAATTCCACCTCTAAATTATAACGGTAAATCTAGCAAAACTGTAACCTATAATGTATTTCTTTTTGAAGCGCCTGTTCTTATTTCTTTGTGATAAAGGATAAATGAAACAAGACTAGTGAGTGAAATGTGGTAGAGGAATTTAAGTGTGCAAAAATCAGATAGTCACGATATAATAAATAAATCTGTTGCTCGACACTGGTGCCTTTTTACATTCAAATTTATCATTATCAGCAGTTAAGACTTTTTATATTGGCAATTTGGCAGTCATGTCCTTCCACACTGCGCCAGTGAAATGAGGTTTAACGGCCTACTGTGTGCTCCGGGTGGGCTAATGAAGACGGGCAAACGCCATACAGTGAGTGTGCTATGAGGGAAATTTTGCCCGGACAGAGGCCGCGCTCTGGTCTACTCTTATATCGAACTCCAACTAAGAGATCTTATACGTGCACGCCAATGTGTACACTGAAATTTGGGGTATAGGAATAGCTCGGACCGGGGAATAACATAGGCCAGGTGGCGTTAGTCTACCACTTCCGGTTTCGGAGTTATGACCCCCGAGCGAAGTCTGTCTGTTCGGGATTGGCGGCTACACTAGGTCTGCCCCGAGTCTGAAATTTGGGGTATAGGGGTAGCTCCGACCGGGGAGTAACATAGGCCAGGTGGCGTTAGTCTACCACTTCCGGTTTCGGAGTTATGTCATAATACTAGGGATGAAAAATCCATAAAAATTGGTAGCGGCGTATGTTTTGTGGCTGCAGGTAAGACGGAAAACATCAGTATTGGGCCCATAAATCGGATGATATACATTAAGAATGTACAGTACAAAATATATAAACAAAAATTAGCCTAGATATGAATTATGTTTTATATGATTATAATTGGTTTTATATGTTTACTAGCAGGATACCCGGCTTCGCTCGGGGGTCATAACTCCGAAACCGGAAGTGGTAGACTAACGCCACCTGGCCTATGTTACTCCCCGGTCCGAGCTACCCCTATACCCCAAATTTCAGACTCGGGGCAGATGTAGCCGCCAACCCCGAACAGACAGACTTCGCTCGGGGGTCATAACTCCGAAACCGGAAGTGGTAGACTAACGCCACCTGGCCTATGTTACTCCTCGGTCCGAGCTACCCCTATACCCCAAATTTCAGACTCGGGGCAGACCTAGTGTAGCCGCCAACCCCGAACAGACCGGCTTCGCTCGGGGGTCATAACTTCGAAACCGAAAGTGGTAGACTAACGCCACCTGGCCTATGTTACTCCCCAGTACGAGCTACCCCTATACCCCAAATTTCAGACTCGGGGCAGACCTAGTGTAGCCGCCAACCCCGAACAGACAGACAGAAAGACAGACAGACAAACGACAGTCACAAATATATATATAGATATCTCTTCTACCATATAAAGATCAACTCTGCGCGTAGTCCAGTCGTGAATAGATAATATCAGCGATGAAAAATTATTAAATTGATTTAATTCCTATATTAGCGTACCGAGGATAAAGCCAAAATATTTGATTCTGCCTTTCTGGAATGAACCAATCCCCCATGACGACCATGACCCCCAAACTAAACATAGAACAGTCCAAACTATTTTAAATTATAACCTAACTCTGATAATATGGAATTATCTATGTCACTACGCTATAGGCTGACGTCATGAAATAGGCCCATAGTAAGTGTTTGCGTTATCTGAAAATTATTGGTATAAATCATTTCCAATAGAACAATTTAATATACTGGATGGTTATTAAAAAAAATGATAATTGTGACCTTTTAGTGTTAAAATGATTTGGCATGTAAATAATTCTCCTGCCCAGGTGGGACACGACTTCCAGTCGGAAATACCGAGTAAATAAATGTTTCGCTTTAGTTGGTGTAGTAATATCATTGAAGTAAATCTCCCAAAAGTTGCGCTAAAGATCAATATTAAGTAGTTTTGTCCGATATGCCAGCTGTTGTACAACACCTTTTATGAAAAAATTGACTAAATAAATTGAATTATGGGCTTGATTATTACCAGCAATTTGAGTCTATTTTCTATTAAATAAAACCTACCACTATTTAACAAGATGTGGACATCGGCAGGTAGACTAATAGGCGCACAATAAAAAAATAAATAAAAAAATAAAAAAAATAAACAAATAAAAATGTTGAAACGTAAAGATAAGTTAAATCTCTATTCTTTGGAACCGAAAATGGACGAAAATGGCACATAAGTACCTGCAAGTTGTCAAAAATCATAAAAAGAATACCGCAATTTCCCGCCTTAGGCTATGAGCACACATTCCCTTGAAATAGAGAAAGGGCTGTACAAGAATATATCTTACGCACAAGGGAATTATTGAAATAAAATTGAACTATATGTTAGCCCCGAAATGACCTAGTTGTGTTGAGTGGACTTTATCCCCCCCCCTCTCTCTCTCTCTCTCTCTCTCTCTCTCTCTTAATATTCTTTACTTTTTATGTATTTTTCATGCATAATGTATAATTTTCATGCTGTCGGAAAGGGGTGGTTTATGTAATTAATATATATCTTATGCAATATGAGTGAATTACATTCATGTTTTAAAACTTTAATTATAATATCTAATCGGTATTGTTCCTAGAAATACGCGAGCAGTCCAACAAGCACGGATAGATATCATTACGACATTGATAGAAATCTTTTATACATAGAAATGACCATAGATATCATTGACGTCAATACGATATCTATGGAATTGACATTTCACTGACGTTTATAAAGCATTACAAATGGCGTTCGAGAGCACAGAGTATACGCACTAGCGTTTACTGGTTTTAAAATTGTTCACTGTGTCTTAAATGCTTTTCACAAGAAGATAACAATGGCCACTATTGATTGGAATGACCAATAATTCATGTTTGTAATGTCGAAGACTCTAGAAACTAGTTTAAAGGGACAATAACACTCTTGCTGGCTTGAAAGCTCCAGAAAATAAATAATATCTCTATCTATGTACTAGATGTTTAAGTGTCCTACCTGGTGTGTAAATTATCCATTACATCCTATTTTACTTGTCCAGAGGGTTCGAAAATATTTTTAAATCGAAGTTTCATTTGAAAAGGTTTACGTTAGACGTTTCAAACCATTATGTTGAATTTTTCAAAATTTTTAAATAAGGTGTGTTAAGATGAAATTTGTATCATCAATTAATTGAAATATTCTAAAATAGTACAATTTGTTGATCAGAATAAAGATTGGGACATATTATTCAGTTACAACAAGAGTGGTATTGAGCCTTTAAGGTAAGACGATTGTCGGCTATATCACTTAAGTGGAAACGGGCGTTAAATAAAGCTATTTCATATACAGTTAAAACTAAAAGGCGAAATATAATCAGATTGGACAGCAGGGGAGATAATTGGCTTCTTCTTGACTCGTTAAAAAGTAGTGCCGACGAAATGAAAATACCACGTGGGTTGTCCGAATGCAAACTTTGCTCTCAACGAGGACGAAGGCGATGATGTAGAATATTTTGCGTATCGTCGGATTTCGGTTTTAGTTTGCAAGGGATTTGACAATATCGCATTTATAGCTATATGTTGTATTTTTAAAAAGGAATATCCAGAGGAAGTGTTCTACGAAATTTCAATTATATCGATATAAACTATTATTAATTTGCAAGTGGTAGATTTCCGTGTGTGTAGATGAAGGACCCGCCATCTTGGACTTTGTCGACGAACAAAGAAATGCCAATGGCCCACATAGACGTCACGGGTGAGTATCTATAACAGTGCCCCATCTCTATATTAAATAATGTCCGAATCAGCGCTGTGACCCCTGTAGTTAAAAACCTAGACAGATTACTGTAGCAGAAGAGACTAGATAATAATAAACCTATCTAAAAAAAAAGGTCTCCTAAAAATTTGGGTCATTAGGCCTAATATTGGGCCTACCCAAACTGGGACGTTAATACTGCAGTCAATACCATGCATTTTGTCATTGTCCTTAAGTTAATTGTATACTAATATAGACAGTTCATAACATTAACAACTTTGGGGGACCCGCAACTTTAGTGCTCCGTATGAGTATCGTCAGACACGGCAAGACGATTAAATCCCCAATCAATGATTGAATGAATGACAATCACATTCAGTTTCACAATGTCACTCAATACTAACTACGAAATACCACCACATAGAATAGATCTATCATTACTCTAGGCCTACTATAGTACTAGCCTACTTGATATTGATTAAAAATATAAATGATTTCAATATATCAAAGACTTATTTCCCCAAGTACTGTAAACGGGAATGTTGATTATTTATTCATGTAATCCGTCAATTACTGATTTAGAGACGGATTGATATATTTATAAGCTTTATAGCCTAACTATATAATAGTTAGCTTGTTTCCGAATCTATTATTATAATTTATTATGCAGTGTGTGTAATTATGTATTAAATAAATGCTCTTTAACCAATTACAGTATCATCAGATCGAGCATCTGAAACAGTAACAAATACATTCCAATTCCATCCCAATACAACAAAATACTACCTTATTATTATCTCCATATTCCTGAAACAATGGCTGGTCTAATCAAACGAAACACTTTTAATAAATACTTTTTCCGTAAACTAAACTAACTTTTACGATGGGTACTGTACTGCTCTCTGAGTAGTTAGTTTGATTGGATAGTAAATACATGGACTGTAGTCTACAGCAGGTTTCTTCATTTGAAAATGTCCCATTTATAACAGGACTGGACATTTATTATTAGGTTACTTGTACTTTATCTTTAGCCTTCAACCTTGGTCCCTGGGGTCGCGATGCACTTGTCATGGCATAGTGGACTGCTACTCTGAAACTTTTGAAAAATTGCTATTTTGTTCATGAAAAGTATATAAATCTCTGATCTCTACATCCCCTTACCAATACTACCTTGCCAGCCGTTTTTCTTCTCCACGTCCACAATTTGTTTGCTCAGTCTCTCATTACAACATTTTGATCTGGAAAGTGAAATTAGTTTTAGGGGATTCCCACTTTATCTGTATCGAGATGTGGATGATTTACCTGAGTGACTTTGTTCTTAGAGGGGTCAGGATCAGATGCTGGTTTCTGGAATGGGGTCGCAACCAACAAAGGGTTGGGATTGGGAACCACTGGCCTACAGTGTAGTTTATTTGATTTGTTTTTTTTTTTTACAGGACTTGCTGAATTAGCGCACAGAGAATATCAGGCAGGGGATTATGAAAATTCTGAACAGCATTGTATGCAGTTATGGAGACAAGAACCCGAAAATACTGGAGTTTTATTACTTCTCAGTTCTATTCACTTCCAATGTCGACGTTTAGATAGGTTATTACACAATATCTGTTAATTTGATTGAACTTTATTTTATTCCATTTACATCAATATGTTCAATCCTTTTCAAATGAATAAAATATTGTTTGAACTATCATTAGGTTATAAATATTCAGCATTGTTTATTTATATTTATTAATAATATAAACACTACAGGTGCATCAATTTATGTGTAATATGTGCAACCTGATGCAATTACTTTGAACTTTTTGGTCAATGCTAACAGGATATTAAAATATCTAAATGCTATGTTTTTTATTATTTTTTTAGGTCTGCCTATTTCAGTCAATTGGCAATAAAACAGAATCCTATGTTAGCTGAGGCCTATTCTAATTTAGGCAATGTTTATAAAGAAAGAGGTCAACTTCAGGAAGCATTAGATAATTATAGACATGCTGTGCGTTTGAAGCCAGATTTTATAGATGGATACATCAACTTAGCTGCTGCCTTGGTAGCTGCAGGAGATATGGAACATGCCGTCCAAGCTTATGTGACAGCATTGCAGTATAACCCTGTAAGTAAAACAGTTTAAACCATTTTAATGTTAGGGATAAAGTATAGGAAAATTGGGACTCAGATTAAAAGGAAAACAGAAGTGGTTTGAATGTTACAATGAATAAGGGTAAAAATTGCATGAAAAATTTAAAAGTAAATACTATTTTCTAGTCTTTAAATGAATTGTGGACAATTAAATCAAATCATGTTTTGTATAAAAAAAAAACCTTAAAAAGAATCTGGCATATTTTACAGTTGTATACGACTAATGATAAACAAAAAGGCCTAGTACACCAAAATTAATCCTATTGATCATTCCAAGCATGGTAAGTGCAGGACAACCACATCACACAAAACAGAAACCAATAAATTTATGGACATGAAAGTCTGTTGCATCCCCCCTTCCGTCTACACTCTATAAACTACATTTTTACATCTTATCCGACTGTGAATAATTGTAATTTTAACATCTTTCTAAGATTTCTCTCTCTTAATGCTGTATTTACACGTATCTTTTAATGCTGTAATTACAGGATTTGTATTGTGTGCGAAGTGATCTTGGTAATTTATTGAAAGCATTGGGAAGATTGGATGAAGCTAAGGTATTTGGGGTATTACGGTGGAAATTGTTTTATATATAAGCAGCTGCTTTCCCTTATTTTATTTGCACAATTTCTGTTAAAAAAAAAAAAGATCTTAAAATTACTTTAGTTTTTGTTTTGGACCTAATAGAAAGTTTTTTGATAACTTTTATGTCAAAAAATGATTAATGAATATTTTCTTGCCCACAACACCTGAAACATTTCCAGTATTTAAACCTTCCGGGTTTTATAAAAAATATTAAATGTAAGAAAGTTGGCTTGTTAATTGAAATTAAAGAGAAAATTATATTTAAAGATAATAGATTTTACTAAGAAAAAATTGCAAATTTGCTTCTAAAAATTTTTTGTTCTGGCTAAAGGTTTAGTTGGTAATTTAAACTATTGTCAAATTGATAAATATATTTGATAAAATATTTTCTCTTTACTGAGAAATCAAGCCAATTTTTGTACGATTCTTGCATCGACAGAAAGAAGCAATGCAGCTTGTGAGAAGTGGTATGTGATAATCCCATCTTTGTTGTCATATTTGATTTTATAAGATTAAACTTTCTTGACCCATTGATCTTCACATAAATATAAAGTTAATATAAATCAAGTTTTTTGAAAAAATTTAAGTTAACCAACAGGATGGGATTGTAACAATGGCCTAACGAATTCCCCTCTATTTGCAGATTGTGAAACAATTTTTATCTCAACTAAAAGGAATAAATTCAACAAATTTCTTAAAATGAGTGTTTACGTGCAATTCTGATATCATTGTTAAATGAAAATTGAATGATTGATTGATTACACCATAGTGCCTTATGTGAATGTATTGATCCAGGCTATTCTATTTTAGATATCTTGATATGTATCGGTAGTTGTTTTTTTTTTCTAATATAAAGAAGTTTGAAATTTGTTGCCTTTTAGTTGTGAAACCAAGATCGTGTTAAAAGAAACACAAAAAACAATTTAAAATGCAGGAAATGTTTCAGTGAGCAGCAAAAATAAATTTGAAATTGTTATATGTCTTGTTTGTTCTATTTGACTTTTTTTCCAACCATACTAATTGTTTCTTCTTTATGATTTCTGCACTATCTTTAGAGTGGGAGTGTGGTAAAATCCAGGGCTGTTATAAGACTACAAGAGACTTGGCCCGTGTAAAACTTGACGGTATGACCTAGTATTATTATTGCCATATTACATCTGGCAGGTATTGTATGTAAGTCAAACACAAGTAGAATCAATGAAGTAATAATTTTTGGGCAATTGGCCATAAGTGAAAAAAGATTAAATTTAAAAACTTAAAAATAAAGTAGGAATTTTCTTTATAATGGAACACAGCAAATGGTACGCAGCACTGTTCTTTTTTCAACGCTGGCGGTCGCAAGCGGTCGCGCGCTACTGTTCTACTAGTGGGATGAGATTCAAGATAATGAAAATATTAATGTTAAAAATATTTAATGAAGAATAAGAAAAGAAGTAGCGGTATGTGATTGGGTTGTAAATAAGTTTTCTTATATAGAATAATCTAACGCCACTAGTAGAACTAGTAAATACAGATGAGTGGGTTTAAAGTTTATAGATCTTCACATGAAATAAGATGAAAACTTTCAGCCCTCTTTGATATGTCTGTTGCAGGATAGGGCGGACGCTTAGGGCAGCATGGTTTGGAGCAGCGGCGCATAGGGCAAGCGTGCGCATTACAGCAAAGTTAAAGAAGCGCAAGGTAAAGCAGCAGCACAACAGCAGTGAGCGATTTAGATTTATGTTCTAAATTATTAATAATCTTTTTTTTTCTCCCCCTCCCCCTTTTTTGAACCCCATTTCAGGCATGTTATTTAAAGTCAATTGAAACTTGTCCAAACTTTGCTGTGGCATGGAGTAACCTTGGCTGTGTCTTCAATGCACAAGGAGAGATATGGTTGGCAATTCACCACTTTGAAAAGGTTTGTTTTTTCATTTTAACTGTATTAAAATGATCCACAGATTATTTACTGACCATCAGATATTTACCTACTATCAAATATTTACTTTGTATTTACTTACTTTTAAAGATGGGTTCCCGCATACAAACTGGGTGATTTAATGGTATATATGGACTAAAAACATATTTAAACTAATTAATTTGTCATAACTTTGCTTCAAATCCTTCTCAAACATTGTAATTGCGAAGGAATGTTCTGCTATAAAAATTCGATCAAATTAGGTCAGGTTTACGTCACGTGACTCACCTCTCTTGGAAGTCAGAGGAGAATTCATTGCATACATAAGACAATGTTGTCTTTAATCACTTACTATTTATTATCCACTACCCGCGTCTTTTTTATCTCAGAAAGTGTTGTACGTCTAACTCTTCATAAAGTTTATCAACTTGTACATCAAGCGCTTAATGTTCGCGTGTGACCCTTGACATCACACGTTCAGAAATTCCTAATCGTCGGGCTGTTGATTAGGGGACCCCTTACATTTTTGTCCTGTATACGCTCCATGAGTGTTTTTCGGGGAATTCAGTATTTTTCTAGTAAGATTGGATATCTCTACTTTCCATATATACCAAAACTACCATACTTATATTGGAAATAACCACCCGATAAATACTTTTCTAGGAACCCATCTTTAAATATTTACTTAATTTCAAATATTTTTTATATTTTCACAGGCTGTAGCTCTAGATCCTAATTTTCTAGATGCGTATATCAATTTAGGCAATGTACTGAAAGAAGCCAGAATATTTGACAGGTAAGAAAACAATATGGTTTGGACATTCTTTAATACAGGGTTGTTTTGAATTGAGGGGATCATGTGGCTAAGTGGGTAAGACGCTGGCTTGCTAGCCTGGAGGTCGGGTGTTCGATCCCTGCATTGGCCGGGAAAGTTCATCCAGATTTTCCGTCGTGGTTCCCCCTTGTCAGTGATGCAGGTTGGAGGGCCTGACAAGGACAGCTGTCTAGTCCTTCGGATGAGATGAAAACCAGAGGTCCCGTGTATATATTGGAATGCACGTAAAAGATCCCCTGGCAGTTGGAATTCGATATAAGAGTATGCGATGGTGCCGCTGCCCGGGCAAAATTTCCCTCATAACACACTATGGCGTATGCCCGTCTTCATTAGCCCAGTATAGGAGCAGAACAGTAGGATGTTAAACCCCATTTCATTTCATTTGTTTTGAATTGAAATAAAGTATAATAAGGAGACAAGTATGCTATTACTTTCTGGTGTAAATATGATGTCGACACTACTGTCCATAACAAAATGAATCAAGATAATCAATTTGAATGCTTTGATTCTAAGTGAGGGATAACTATGAAAATTGGTGTATTGACAAAGTCAATCATGAGCATTTTCTTTCTAGGCTAAGTATATATAAACTGTGTTATTTATTATTCAATGCTTTATATAAATATACAATGTGTCATCTATTTGTATTGGTTTCGAGGTATCAGTCTCACTAGATTGTATTAATCTGAATATAATAACATTATTTACAGGGCAGTTGCTGCTTACCTTAGAGCATTGAATCTCAGTCCTAATCATGCTGTGGTGCATGGTAATTTAGCATGTGTTTACTATGAACAAGGGTAAGTATGTATTATATATCAAAAGATGATGCTCATTACCACATGGTGTATTAATATTGTACATTTAATACCCATAAAGATTATTTATTAGCCATGTTAGCCATAAAGATTATTAATTTCATTTACAAATTTTGTTGCTAAACCACATTTCTTTCTTTCATTTACAATAATTGGGTTTGTCACTCTGTATGTCAAATAAGCAATTTTTGGGGTCAAGACTTTTGAACACTACAACCATGTTTCTTATTGAGGTAGAATGTTTAAACTTGGTGAATGTGTTTACAGTGTTCAATGATCAGCATTTCTGGCTTAGGTTGGACAGGGAGATGCAATTTGATTTGTTGATGCATTGGAACACAATATGACTAACTCCAATTGAGTGAGAATGATGAAATGGGTTGTATAGCTTCATTACATGTAATACCATGTCTAAGTTCAATGATGAGCATTTTCTGCTGATGTTAAAATCAGATTGGTAAGCAATTTGATTGCTTACAAAAAGACCAATGAGTAAGTAATGAATACCAGCTATTTATTTTAGTATTGAGGCTGGGGACACGAGCTTCGCTACTGGCTTGTTATATTGGCAATTGATTTTTGATTTACATTACTTATAAATTGAAATATTTTCTTAATGTATTTTCAGGTTAATCGATCTTGCTATTGATACATATAAAAGAGCTATAGAATTACAACCAAATTTTCCTGATGCCTATTGTAACCTAGCTAATGCCTTGAAAGAGAAAGGACAGGTGAAAGAAGCTGAAGAGTGCTATAATAAAGCGTTATTATTGAGTCCAACTCATGCTGACTCTCTAAATAACTTGGCCAATATAAAACGAGAACAGGGTCATACAGAATTGGCAGTAGAATTATATTTAAAAGCACTGGAGGTAAGAGAATCACTATATATAGTTGAGTTGGCTAGAGTAGATATTTTTGACAGGACAATTACTAACTTATTTGGAGTCTTGGACTTGTTTTCAAAAAGAGAATAGGTTGTAAGAATACTCTTAGAAATTTCACACAAATAAATTATTAATTGGTTTTACCCAATTAAGTATGTGTTATAGTTTATTACGCTATCACCTTATGGGTTTTCTCCTGGTCCTCCATTATTGAAATAAAATTGAACCATATGTTAGTCCCAAAATGACCTAGTTTGTGTCGAGTGGACGTTAAACCCCATTTCTCTCTCTCTTTTTATTACTCTATCCTGTTACTAAATACATCTAATGACATATGATAAGTTGAACAGTTATCTAATTCCTAATGTATAAATTTGATCTTTTTCCAGGTGTATCCAGAATTTGCTGTCGCCCATTCAAATCTTGCCAGTGTATTACAACAACAGGGAAAGCTTCATGAAGCCTTACGCCATTATAAAGAAGCTATTAGGTAAATAGTATTGACTTAAGGATGCTGAAACATCCTATCAAAACCTTGACTGCTATCAAAACCTTGACTAAGTTAAATTATGAGCATTTTCTAATCAGGCATAGCTAGTTTGCTTGATGATTTACAAAGAGTAAATGTGGAATTAAAATATGTGTGATCTATTTATTTTGGGAATTGAGAGGGGGTTGAGGGACTGTTGTTTGGTAATGATAAATAATCATGTATGTATTATGCTATCTTTTCCTCTAATAAATTACTTCACCAAATGTATAGTACATTAATGGATTGTTTCAGGATATCTCCTACATTTGCTGATGCTTATTCTAATATGGGAAATACTTTGAAAGAGATGCAAGATATAAAAGGAGCATTACAATGTTATACTAGAGCTATAAAGATTAATCCTGCTTTTGCTGATGCCCACAGTAATTTAGCTTCTATACACAAGGTACAGTGTTTATTGTTGATAATCTTATTCTTATTTATGGTATTGGTGATATATATATATATATAGAGTTGAAGTGACATATCATCTATGGCTATTCAGGATCACAGATCGTCACGTTATTTTTTTTTTGCCCAACATGTAATATTTAGTTAAATATCCGTTATTTTACAAGCAATAAACGTAGAGACGTTGGCTCGCTAACTTGGAGGTCCTGTGTTCGATCCCTGCGTTGGATGAGAAAGTTCATCAAGATTTTCCGGCATTGTTCCCCCTTGTCAGTGGTGCAGGACAGAGGGTCTGGAAAAGGACAATGTATGGCCGTTTGCATGGGAAGAAAAAACAATGTTCCATGTACACATTGGTGTGTGCGTAAAAGATCCCTCGGCAGTTGGAATTCGATATAAGTGTAGGCCATAGCGCCGATGTCAGGGTAAAATTTCCCTCATAGCACACTGTATGGCATATGCCTGTCTTCATTAGCCCAGTTAAAGCAAAACAGTAGGATGTTAAACCCCATTTCATTTAATATTTTTGAGCTGTAATTATTATTATTGGATTGTAGGATTCTGGTAATATACCTGAAGCTATTGCATCATACAGAACAGCATTAAAACTGAAACCTGATTTCCCTGATGCATATTGTAATCTAGCCCATTGTTTACAGGTTAGTACTTATATATATACATTTATATTGGAAGAGGTGTAATTAAACAAAAATATTTCTACCATTATTTTTGAGGGGAAATGAATATGTATCGTACTGATATTTTAGATTGTATGTGATTGGAATGATTATAATAAAAGAATGAAGAGATTGGTACAGATTGTACAAGATCAACTAGAGAAAAACCGTCTACCATCAGTACATCCACATCATAGTATGTTATATCCTCTAACACATAGTATGAGAAAAGCAATAGCTGCTAGACATGCTAGTCTCTGTCTCGAAAAGGTTAGTTTTTTGTTCTGTCTTATCTGTTTAAAGTTACTTATATGGAGGAGTGATAATTAACATGAACCTAGATTGATTTGTGATTCTCATCAATAGCCATCAATATAGATTTAAATAACACCTAGACTTGAATTTTTATTTATTCTACTTACCTACAGATTAATGTATTGCACAAACCAACCTATCAGCATCGAAATGTATTAGAGGGTCAAAGATTAAAGATTGGCTATGTGAGTTCGGATTTTGGTAATCATCCCACATCTCACTTGATGCAAAGTATACCTGGTCAACATGATACAGAGAGAGTAGAAGTAAGTTGAAATAAGGCAACACTAAAAAATATATATATTTTCCTGGTAATCAGACAAACCTTCAAGAAAAGGAGGGAGGTTTTTTATTTTGTTAAAAGATCTTTGGGTGGGTGGGGGGGTGTTAAATGACAGATCACAAACATGTGGCCTGACATGTCTGATCGCGATTTAAAGGACTTTTTAATCCCTTGCCATTTATAATATTATGAAACTTGAATTTCTATTAGGATTATTAGTGCAAAAATAGTTCAGTTCCATTTCAAATAATGGCAAATAGAAAAGATGAAAATCTATACGAAATTGTGCCAGACAAAAACTTGAAGTTGGACTGAACACTGTTGGGTTTATTTCTAGAATCACACGTCATAATAGAATTTGATTGACCATGATTATGTTTAAATCATGTATTTATGTTTTTACAGGTATTCTGTTATTCTCTAAGTCCTGATGATGGTACTACATTCAGAGCTAAATTAGCTAGAGAAGTTGAACATTTCATAGATTTATCACAGGTGAGAATATTGACATATTGTTTATATATTTCTACACATCCCACATTATAAACCCATTCCAATGGTTTGTTTATATCATATCTACAGTATAAATTACCTGGAGGTGTTGTCGAATTCCAATTTCCAAGTATTCTTTTACGTGCATGCATAAATGGAGAGACCTCAGGTTATTCGTCTTATCATTTCAACTTTGACATGTGTTATTTCTCAGAAAAATGACTAGAGATAGTCAAAAACTTTTTTCTCGCTAGGCTCATCAATATTTTAGTTTGTAGCATTATGACTTTACTATTGTTAAATATTGAGATGAATTATCTAGCCTATTTGTAATATTTGTTTTTTAGATACCATGTAATGGTAAAGCAGCTGATAAGATATATTCTGATGGTATTGATATACTTATTAACATGAATGGTTATACAAAAGGTGCTAGAAATGAACTGTTTGCACTAAGACCAGCTCCAATTCAGGTATAGTATTTTTCAGAGTATTGATAAGATATTAGAACTAACTGGCGACTTTCTCTTGTTTGTTTACTTCCTGTTTGACATTTTGACAGTTAAAAATGGTACTGTTTCTTCTTGAAAAATAAAATGAGATATGTCTAGGCCTATACAACTGTGTTCTCCTAACAACAGATTACGATCCTTATTGAATGACAGTGATTCAGATTTTATCGGTGGTGTAGAATTTGATAGTTTTGTGTTAGAACATGATAGAAGTAGGCTTACATAATTACTTGCATAATTAAGATTCACAATGAATGATTTTTAGTTCACAACAGTCAAACAAAACAGAAACAACTATAATATACATGAATTTTGCATGAAATATCTAAATTAAGAGTATTTGACATTGTAATTTTTGGTATAAAATTCATATTTATGAAAATGGCATTAGATTTAGATTATTTCATCTATTTACATGAAGGTTCTATCTACAGTTGTTTTTTAATCATATGGCTTTAAAAATGCACATCTATATTTTAACACTATGGACCATTATGATATGGGTTTTTATGAGGTCAATCCACAGGGTCATTTAATAAACTTTAGCAAAAACAACTAGGTTTCATTTCTGATAATTATCAATAATGTTAAAAGTCTGATTGTTATGTGAGGGATGAAATACTCCTTACATCTATTCAGTATTTACTGTCAGTTGAACTGTCAAGAATTAGATATATGATAATTGGCCACATTAACTAGTAAATGTTAGTATTCACCTACCAGTGAGTCTGGACAAGGTATTGTAGGTTTTCTCTCCACCTGTCTGGCATTTTTGTTTTCTCCATTTCTGGAATTTTTTTAAATTAAATTTAATGATCCTGTATTGACTTAAAATCAGTGAAACTTCAGTTTTCCGGAAATAGTTTAAGTTAAACTTTTAGGTATTTGATAGAAATGTTGTACACTGCTTAATAGTGTTGGAGACTAATTCAGTGAAAATACAGTTTTACAGAATTTATTCCATATTTGGATTGTATATCGACAGTATTGGCCTCCTATAGATGGCAATAGATGTAATGAACAATTACACAAATTGAATTTTCTGCTTCTATATATATTTCAGGTAATGTGGTTAGGTTATCCAGGTAGTAGTGGAGCATCTTTCATGGATTATCTTATAACTGACAGAATTACATCACCATTAGCTCTTTGTGACCAGAACTCGGAGAAACAAGCATTTATGAAAGATACTTTCTTTATTGGTGATCATAAAAACATGTTTCCACATATGATAAAGAAACTGATTGTAAAATCTACTGATGGTATTATAAGAGATAATAATATGTTATTAAATGGTGTTGATCTTGAACCTATTAGAAAATTGGCTGTAAATATTGAGGTTAGTTGGAGTAAAAATATTTCATTATTTTAAATTAATATATGCACAATGTTTACATTTTAATAAAATAGTATGATTGCTGAAAAATGAAGTTTTAACTGTAGTATTTGACGAATTATGAAAGAAATTTTATGGTGGAATTTGTATGTTAATTTATAAATTGTGTGTAATGATTATAAAATTTGAATTTTAGACGATAAAAGTAACATGTCTACATGGTAGAACAATTGATGGACCGAATGGTGAACAAGCTGAAGTAACAACAGAAATTGTAGAATTACCACCAGAAGTTCTCCTGGCTTTTGAGAGTTTAGTACAAGAAAATCTAGCTGTTACAACAGTACAAGATGTTACGATACAGAATGGTCTTACTACCAGTAAGGTAAGTTACTTCTCAAAAAATAGTCTTTAGTAAGTAAAAGCTACGTCTATTTTACACAAATTCCAATTATATTTATATTAATTAATAATTTGTAGAGGATTAAATTGTCCTTTGCATGCACGTCACTGAAGATATGAAACATCTGTTGTATGATTGTTAACATTATTATAATTTGTTTTTATTTACAGACTGATAATAAAACAGCTACCGGTGAAGAAGTACCTCAGAATATTATATTATCTTGTAGAAGTCAGTATAAATTACCAGAGAATGCAGTCATCTATTGTAACTTTAATCAATTATATAAAATAGATCCATCTACACTTGAGATGTGGTTGGAAGTTTTAAAACATGTTCCTGACAGTTACCTCTGGCTTCTTCGTTTCCCTGCTGTAGGTGAACCCAATATAATTAGATGGGCTCAAAATCAGGGCATAGCTGCTAACCGTTTTATCTTCTCTAATGTAGCACCTAAAGTAAGTTTTTTTTCTTTAATTTTATATACTTTCAATGTCTGTGTTCATTGATAATTATAGTCAAAATAGGCCAATAAACATAGTTTGGAATATGTTTTCTTCTTAAAGGAGCTAAATCTATAACTCAATATTTTCCATAATATTCAAAATTGAAAACACAAGTTATAATTCAATATATTTGTCAATTTCAATGAATATTGATGTTATCTTGCTGTGAGAATATAGGATTCTAATATCCAATAGTTAAGACACAATTAACATTTTATAATCAGTACACGAATTGTGTATTCTATGGTTTCGGGTGCCATTTTGTAATGACCAAATAAAAACACAGTAAAAAAAAAACCATGTAGAATGGATTAAACAGGCATGTACTGACTGCCATTTAATTTGAACTGTTCATGTATTTCACTAAACATAATTGATAAAATTACAATAATTGAAAAAAAATAGAGCCATACGCCCCTTAAATAATTACGGCCACACAAAAAAGATATTTTGGTTCTCAGACGACCCTTCCCAAAAATTAATGTGGGTTGGTGCCATCATTACAGAATAACAAATTAACAGTGTCAATAGTGTTCCCCATGGTTCAGTTCCTCTTTTCAAGAAACGTATACTAGAGTTTTTTCCCTTGATCGCAGGAAATTATGAATGGGCGTAAAATAGTAACTTTCTGTTTGTTATTATTAAATTTTTTTTTGTTAATAAAAACGGGTGACACGGTTTATATTGAGAACCAGAATATTTGTTTTGTGTGGCATAGTAGATCTGTTTAATACATTGATGGTTTTAATCCAGTGAGATATTTGAGAAGAGAGTAATTATTTTATTATATTATTAGGAGGAACATGTACGACGTGGACAATTAGCTGATATATGTTTAGATACACCTCTATGTAATGGACATACAACGGGTATGGATATATTATGGGCAGGAACACCAATGGTTACACTACCAGGTAATATTTCATTTCCTCACAAATATTTTCAATGTGAAGATTTAAAAGGCTAGTCTGCGTTGATTTACGTGTGGCTCAGTGAGTAAGAAGTCGACTTGCTAACCGTTAGATCCTGTGTTCACTGTACAATCCCTGCATTGGCCGAGAGAGTTCATAGTTTAAGGTCATAATACGAAGAAGCCTATTGATTTTCCAATAATTACTGCCAGAGTTATGGCCTTGATATTAAATGTTTTGTAAGGAAGAACTGAAGCCAAACAAATTCTAATGATTTCTGATAATTTCTTAATGGGTTGTTACTCGTAATCAGATTTTAGTATGTCATAAATGTTTTCATTTCTGACAAAAGAAAGAAATCCGCGACAACCCTTGTTGACTGTCAGGGTATGTTTCATTTCCTGTCTTTAAATTAAATCATTAACTGGCAATCATATTTAAATCTGTTGAAAATCAAAACCATTCCAAGTTCTAGTGAATTTATTATTGGCCTGATATAAATAAATGTCTAATTAATGATTTATATAAAATTCGAGACATAATGAAAGATCCTCATTGGGCAGATTCAACTTTTATCCATTATTTATTAAAGAGAATACATGTATTAGATATAGATATTTTATTTCATTTATAGGAGAAACTTTAGCATCAAGAGTTGCTTCATCGCAGTTATTGGCATTGGGTTGTCCAGAACTAGTAGCCAAATCAAGAGAAGATTATGTTAAAATTGCTGCACATATGGGAAATAACCCAGAATAGTAAGTAATAATATTCTCAATTTTAAATTTTATGTCAGGGATTTTAAAGCTTGTAGAGAACCAACTGTCTATTGAATTCAGTGTTTTAGGAATGTTAGGTGAGATTTAGAGTGAAGATAGAATCAATGAATTTGTTGATTCTATAATCCACATGTTTAGTATTTATAAAATCAATAACAAACATGATTTTCTCTTGTTTTTCAGTTTACAAGCTATGAGAGCTAAAGTCTTTGTTGCTAGAACAATGAGTCCATTGTTTAACACCAAGATATATGCCTCAAATCTCGAGAATTTATTTGATAAAATGTGGACAAGCTTTGAAAAAGGACAATCGCCTGATCATATTGTAGGTGATGATGATAGTTCCTCTGGCAATAATGAAGACTACGATTTGTAATATATTACCCCGATTTGAGCATTTATTACCTAGTTAAATGGATAATTTAACTGACATGTTATAACTATTTTATCACAATATCTATATCAATGGATTTGTTCATTTATATTTGCGGCTTTGCAAACTTTTATGCTTCTATATAATAGAAAGGAAATTATTAATCATGCTTTGTTTGTGATTGGATTAAAAAGATTGGATTTTTTTTTGAGCATTGTAAAAATAAATACACTGCTTTATCACAGTTCATTGTTATTCACCTATTATTTTTTTTGTCATTGCTGCAAGTTTTAGTGGTGGAATTGTTATTTATTCTGTGGAAATACACTTCCTGTTTATTTATTTTTCTTTCAGAATTTTTAGATATGCACATGTACTGTCATTTAATCACATTCTGATGGACAATTTAAAATTTGAAAACCGATTATTTTTTTAGTGTTCATGTACATATTAACTGAAAGATTTGATTTGAATTTGTACATGTATTTGAAAACTTGTAGTACAAATGATTTTATCTGTGTTGAGAAAGTTAGTATATATTGTACATGTTGTTAATTATTATCTTAATGTGGTTATTAATTATAAATATGTTTGAAAGTACATGTGCATAGGGTCAAAATATTTTAATGTTGATCTGACCTTTGTAATCTGATTTCTGGTAGTTAACCTTCAAATAAATTATAATGAATGTTTTAACCCATCAGTTTTATTTTTTTGCTAATTATGTGTCTTAATGACCTGGGCTTACAACACCTGTAAAAACAGTTGCCATGATAAGAGCACATTAGTCTTGTTAACCAGTATGCAGGATTAAATTGACACTTGTACAGTAGTACACAGATCATTACCTACAACCACAAACAACAGAATTGAGGCCTTTTACATAAGTTTGAGAAGCTGAAGCCACTGGCCCGTTCCCAGTGGGCTAAATACTAAGGTGATTTTCCATTGGGTTCCTTTAATATGTTTAGTACCTTGACCGTCTTCTATAACAGTAACATCAATCTTAAAATGTATTATGCACATCCTGAATTCAGTGTTTTTTTAAGACAATATTTAATTTATCAAAAGTTGGCTTTAAATCTCCCCCCCCCCCCCCCCCGAGATCGGAAGCAAACTACCCCAGGCTTAAAATTTATTGTTAGCAGCCTTGGCATGACTTGAGTATGGAAAGGGTCCATTTGTACATGTATATGACCACATTTCCAGAGTTACTTCTAGAGTTATTTTCCTTGCTTCACTTTCTGTTTATAAATTCTAGAGTTGTGGCACTTGTTTGACTTTAATCTCGTAAACCATCTATCAATCAACCTGTATGAAATTTATATGCATAATTCAGGTTTGTAAATTGAAGGAACCTATTGAATGTCGGCAATTTCTGTTGATTACTTCTAGAGTTATGGCTCTAACGACAAAAGTTATCATTCTATGTCTATGAAATTGATATTAGTGTCTTGCAAAACCTCCCATTCCCTAGAAAAGAACATATATGTGACCGCTTGGACGATTTAGCTGCTGTAGGCGTATGCTTCATTGCCTGGCAATTTGTCGTTGGTTGCCGTTCATTTAGCCTACCATAAATATCGAAGCCTTTACTGACCAATTGAGTGTGAGAAGGGGGAAGTAACTTGCATTTTATTGCAACTAAGATTATTGTGGTGAACGTAAACAATGACACTAAGGCTGGTTTGTAGAATCAAGGGCAGATAATTGGAATTCGTAAAAACCATGTGGGTGGACCCAGAAGTTAGTGGAATAGTACGAGAATGAAAAGGGAAAAACAAATGAAATTAGGGTTTGTTGTTCTGCTCTGACTGGGCTAACTGAGACAGGCATACAGTGTGCTATGAGGGAAATTTTGCGGGGCACTACGCAGATACCCAGATGTTGAGTTAACAAATATTACACAATGTAATACAGTAATAATGGTATGTAGTTTATTATGATCAAGAAGAAACTTAACACTATTCAACAAGTAAATATCAACAAAATGGAGGATGAATTCAAAATTTATTGATCTTATTTTTGACTTTATGGTGTGCAGTAGTAATGTGTGCTTACTAATATGTTGTATATTCTGTCTGTATTTATAAATGCAGTACCATAATACAATGCTATACATATATCCACTATACAAATTTCAAAGAAAATTTACAATAAATAGTTCTTGATATATTCTCTGCAAATGATAATACCATGAAATACTGATTTCAATGTTCAAGATATATATCCTTTGAGGATAATTAAATCGTCCTTTGGCTCGCCCCCATCCCCCCCCAAAAAAGTTTTTTCTATGCTTAATTCATGCCACTGATCAACAATTTGAGGGACATGAATCCCTTGCAAACTGCAATATTATCAAAACTCCGTTCAGTATTAACAAAGACATGATGAATTGAAATTTTTGTAACGTTTCATATCCTCTGGTATACCACCATGATGGGTAGAATCTTTTGCTGGAACCCCTTGTTAATTTGACTTATACAAGCTAGGAAATAATCTATGGCTTATATTTTGATTAACCCGTGGTAAATGACAATCAATGTCTGGGAACAGGAAATGTATCGATTGAAATTCCTTCTTAAAAACGTGGCTAGGCATTAAATTGTAATTGATGTGCAGCTGGGTTGTGTTATAGTTATTCACATTCTTATTACAATCGTTGGTTTGTATACAATGGAATAAGTACCTTGGCTGTCATAGGAATACATCTTAAACAACATGTAACCATTATTAAACACAAATTTTATCAAATAAATAGATGAAAAGAATGATTTATATTTATTTATGAAAGAAATGAAATATCATTTGAATAATGACAGTACATTACAAAACTTGGGTATATGCTTCATTATAATTACTTATATATTTAATTCATTACAATTTTTTTTTATAGTATTGTTTGAACAGCATTACATGGACAACATTTAATCTGGTCAGCTGAATATTGTTGTAAATAATATTAACAGGATCTTGTAACCACAACTGACCAATAAACTCTTCTAAATATTTACATACAAGAAAGATTTATATCCTTTCTAGTTTATCAACCAGAGATTTATAGCACTTCTAGTTTCTCAACAGTTTCTACAGTCTTTCTATATAGTACTCAATATGGTGATTAAATTATAACAAGTTGTATGTTTAACTATATCGTAATATATCAGATCTTTACCGTTGTGGTGACCTTTAGTAGCCACTCCCTTAACACTGAGATAAACTAAGGGCGGTACAGAAAAAAAGATGTTGACTAAATTATAACTAATTTAACTGTGACTTCAAATTTTAGATTCTCTTGGTAGTATGAACTTGAGAGCAGAAAAATCATTTTTTTTATTGGTGGTTAGGATACCACCCCCACCCAAAACAAAAAAAAAGCTGTCCGCAAGGAAGGCATCTTTTATTCTGCATTGACCCTAAACACAGATTAATTCAATGTTATGATAACTATACATAAGATAATTATTACAAGAAATAGTGCTAATGGGCTATAAATTTTGTTTTTACTGACTAGCAGAACAAAATAGTGATGCAATTCAGACATAGCAAGGACAAGCTCGAGGAAATTCTTAACCAAATTAAAAACAAATATGATAGTACTAGAATAAAGACAATCATGATATGTTAATCTATATCCATATCTGGTGTGTTATTAGTTTCTGGTTTAACATCTGATGTACCGTCTACAGGAGTCTCTTTAATATCACCACCAGCTTTACCCTCCTCCTTCTTCTCTTCTTTCTTTTCTTCTTTTGGTGGTTCTACTTTCGGTTTAGATTTATTTACAATTGATTTACATACAGCATCAAGTCCCTGTTTATAATAAAAATATTCATAAAAATAATTGTAACCTAAGTCTGTAATCTACAGTGCCCTTATAATTTGTTTGTTTCTGAAATATCATAATTAGATGTTAAGTCATAATTTCAATTTCTGAGTTAAATTGTTTGTTGGGATATTTAATGGTGTGAAAACATTAATACTCGTTTGCTTGGCTTTCTATATAAAACAAAACAATAAATTTTAATTCTTTTACATTGAAATAAAGATCAACGAATGTCATGATGGGACAATCAACAGAATGGCTAATGAAATGAAATGGAATGGGGGTTTAAAATCCTACTCCGACTGGGCTAATGAAGACGGGCATACGCCATACAGTGTGCTGTGAGGGAAATGTTGCCCGGGCAGCGGCACCATGGCCTACTCATATTAAATTCCAACTGCCAAGGGATCTTTTACGTGCACGCCAATGTATACACGGGTCCTCGGTTCATCATCCCATTCGAAGGACTAGACAGCTGTTCTTGTCAGGCCCTCCATCCTGCACCACTAACAAGGGGAAACCACGCCGGACAATCCCAATGAACTTTCTCACGCGACCTCCAGGCTAGCGAGCCAGCATCTTACCCACTTAGCCATCCCACTTAGCGACCGTGGCTCCTGAATGCCTAATAATTCAGTGTTTAAAGTAAGTATATAAAGTAATATACCCACCTTTCTTTGATCATTTATCTCACTAGAAAGTATCGGAGGATCTTCATGTAAAGCTTTTTGATTTTGTAGATTCAAATGTTTTTCATACCACTCCATCTTCTCTTTACAACATTTATCAACTTTATCAGCGTCCACCTTTTCTATATGATTATATTTTTCATCCTGCAAAATCATTTTAAAGAGAGTATAAATGAAAGGGTCAAACTTGAATGACCGTAATAAGCTAATAATAATGTATAACAATACACAGGAGACTGGATTGTTGATTGTTTATAATATATACTATTCAAAAAAAGTAGGGGATATTTGATTTTTGGGGCATAATACTAAAATATGCAAATGACTACGAAAAAAGTCACTATAGAACCTAACAGAAGAAACATTTCCAGTTACATGTGATGCCCAAACGCACCAATAGCTACCGCATGGAATGCAGGTGATGCTTGGGATCATCATGGGGGTCCAACCCAAGATTTGCACGACTCTGACTTTGAATGTTACAGTCATTGTGGCATTGAATTCCAGGGTGGAAACATCAGTTTAATTGTTTTAGTGACCAGAAAACAAATTTTGATATGCATCGGCTTACCCAAAATGAAAGGTTACGTGCCCTTGGCATGCTACAGATCGGCACAACACAGGCGGTTGTGGCGCGGACGATGAATGTTTCTCAGTCTGTCATAAGCAGGCTATGGTCCAGATACCGTGATACACAATCTGTACAGGACAGACCACGCTCAGGTCGACCAAGGGCGACAACTCAAGCCCAGGATCGATTTATCCGTACCTTGGCCTTGAGAAATCGTGTCATCACAGCAAATCAGATCAGCGCTCGTCTTCAGACACTGGTGTGAGAGTGAGTGGCCAGACGATTCGGAATCGACTGCATAGGGGTCACCTTAGCGCCCGACGTCCTCGCGTGATCCCTTGTTTGAGAGATCATCACATTCAGGCAAGACGTCGTTGGTGTAGGGATCGTCAACACTGGGATAATCGACGCTGGAGCAATGTGATGTTTTCAGATGAGTCAAGGTTCACTGTTGATTTTTTTGACAGACGTAGGAGGGTGTGGCGTCGTCGAAACGAGCGTTTCCAAGACGTTAACGTCATCAGACATGATCGATTTGGGGGTGGTTCTGTTATGGTGTGGGGAGGCATCACTGTTGCTGGAAGAACGGCTTTACATGTTGTTGCAGGGCGTGTTACAGGCCAGTACTACCGGGACAACATCTTGGCAGTCCATGTTGTGCCGTTCGCACAACGTCATGGCCACCGTTTCATCTTCCAGGATGACAACGCAAGATGTCACAGGGCCAGGATCGTTACGGGTTACCTCCAACAACAGAACATCACCACATTACCTTGGCCAGCACTGAGTCCCGACCTCTCCCCCATCGAGCATGTCTGGGACATGCTTGGACAGAGGTTACGTCAACGTCAACAATGTCCTGCCAATGTCCAATAACTTGCTGCTGCGTTGCAACAGGAATGGGACCATCTGGACCAAAATGACCTTAGACGTCTCATTAGGAGTATGCCACGTGGGATCAATGCTTGTTTGGCAAACAGAGGAGGATTTACCCGTTACTGACTTGGTTGTGATGCTGTGGTAACTTTGCTGTTTGACCCCGGGTATCATTTTACCCTTATAATGGTCAGTCTGTGCCTTACTTAGTCTAACGATCATTTGGAATAAATCGATGAATGTGAACTTCATTTCATTTTGTCATTTGTTTCTTCGTCAGTTTCATTAGGTGACTTTAATAACACTTAAAAATCAAATATCCCCTACTTTTTTTGAATAGTATATATTCAGTGAACGTCTGGAAGCTATTGATATCTACACTAAGGCCACACAAAATAAATATCTTGGTTCTCACACAATCCTTCCAAAAATAATCATAAGTAGGGGGGAGGGATTTATGTTTTTTGTGTTTTACTTGGTCGTAGGATCACAACTGGGCTAAATAACATTCTAATAAACATTGTTGAATGTAGGATTATCCAGTATAATTTACAATTGTCAATAACATTTACCAGGGTTGCATATACTATTCAAAAAAAGTAGGGGATATTTGATTTTGGGGGCATAATACTAAAATATGCAAATGACTACGAAAAAAGTCACTATAGAACCTAACAGAAGAAACATTTCCAGTTACATGTGACGCCCAAACGCACCAATAGCTACCGCATGGAATGCAGGTGATGCTTGGGATCATCATGGGGGTCCAACCCAAGATTTGCACGACTCTGACTTTGAATGTTACAGTCATTGTGGCATTGAATTCCAGGGTGGAAACATCAGTTTAATTGTTTTAGTGACCAGAAAACAAATTTTGATATGCGTCGGCTTACCCAAAATGAAAGGTTACGTGCCCTTGGCATGCTACAGATCGGCACAACACAGGCGGTTGTGGCGCGGACGATGAATGTTTCTCAGTCTGTCATAAGCAGGCTATGGTCCAGATACCGTGATACACAATCTGTACAGGACAGACCACGCTCAGGTCGACCAAGGGCGACAACTCAAGCCCAGGATCGATTTATCCGTACCTTGGCCTTGAGAAATCGTGTCATCACAGCAAATCAGATCAGCGCTCGTCTTCAAACAGACACTGGTGTGAGAGTGAATGGCCAGACGATTCGGAATCGACTGCATAGGGGTCACCTTCGCGCCCGACGTCCTCGCGTGATCCCTTGTTTGAGAGATCATCACATTCAGGCAAGACGTTGTTGGTGTAGGGATCGTCAACACTGGGATAATCGACGCTGGAGCAATGTGATGTTTTCAGATGAGTCAAGGTTCACTGTTGATTTTTTGGACAGACGTAGGAGGGTGTGGCGACGTCATAACGAGCGCTTCCAAGACGTTAACGTCATCAGACATGATCGATTTGGGGGTGGTTCTGTTATGGTGTGGGGAGGCATCACTGTTGCTGGAAGAACGGCTTTACATGTTGTTGCAGGGCGTGTTACAGGCCAGTACTACCGGGACAACATCTTGGCAGTCCATGTTGTGCCGTTCGCACGACGTCATGGCCGCCGTTTCATCTTCCAGGATGACAACGCAAGAGGTCACAGGGCCAGGTTCGTTACAGGTTACCTCCAACAACAGAACATCACCACATTACCTTGGCCAGCACTGAGTCCCGACCTCTCCCCCATCGAGCATGTCTGGGACATGCTTGGACAGAGGTTACGTCAACGTCAACAACATCCTGCCAATGTCCAAGAACTTGCTGCTGCGTTGCAACAGGAATGGGACAATCTGGACCAAAATGACCTTAGACGTCTCATTAGGAGTATGCCACGTGGGATCAATGCTTGTTTGGCAAACAGAGGAGGATTTACCCGTTACTGACTTGGTTGTGATGCTGTGGTAACTTTGCTGTTTGACCCCGGGTATCATTTTACCCTTATAATGGTCAGTCTGTGCCTTACTTAGTCTAACGATCATTTGGAATAAATCGATGAATGTGAACTTCATTTCATTTTGTCATTTGTTTCTTCGTCAGTTTCATTAGGTGACTTTAATAACACTTAAAAATCAAATATCCCCTACTTTTTTTGAATAGTATATTTGATAACAGCCTATTTCATTCATTCAAATATTTTGAAAAGTTCCTGTAACCCAGGGAAACAATTACATCAGTAATTAATGAGACCCTTTTTATTGTATTGAAATAAAAACAGGCCATGGAGCTCATTTTAGTGACGCAGGAGCGTCTTTAGTTTAACATTAGGAAATCATATTAGGTCTTATTTTTACATCTATAGAAGTGTTTGAACAATCCTCTTCCATAACCCACCCAAAAGATATTACCATTCTGGTTGGGTTTGGTACCGGTAATCATTCAGTTGAAGAGACAATTTGACCATGTTTGTGAACTGTCATCTTAATATATATATAAATATATAGTGTTCAGTACTTATTGTGTTACACTAAAACAGATTTTACTAGCTCTTTAGGAAGGTCATAGATTTTACTAGGTCTTTAGAAAGGTCACAGTGGGTAGTAATATAACTATTGATACAGCTTGTTGATTGAAAGACATATTTTACTACACTCAGATTATAAAATAATTTATTTACCTTGTTAGCCCAAGCATCAAGGAATTTTCTGTAATGAAATATAGTTTTTGCTAGTTCTTCAAATACAGCTGGTCGTACCTGTGCTTCTTGATAACGATGTACAATAGGATCACCAAGATTCTGTAAATATTAATAAACAACTATACTTATTGTATAATAAATCAAATAAAATGGGGTTTAACGTCCTACTTTTCTGCACTGACCGAAATGAAGACAGTCGAATGCCATGCAGTGTTTTTGAAATGAGGGAAATTTTGCTCAGACAGCAGCAATACAACCTTCTCTTATATTGAATTCCAGTCGTCAAGGGTTCTTTTCCGTCCCACCCGACTGACTAGACAACTGTCCTTGTTGGGTCCTCAGTCGTGCACCACTTACAAGACGAATCCTGATGAATTTGCGTGGTAAACACCAGGAGCTAACCTGAGACTAGCATGCTAGCGAGCCAATGTCTTACTCACTGAGCCACCACAGTCCCCTACCCCTTTAATATGTCAACTTTTCTTCCCTATTCCATAACAGTCTAAATGTCTATAAAGGTACAGATAACTGTAATACTAAATCTGGTTTTGAAAGCTGTCAATGAAGGGGAAAAGGGTCATTCTGTCTATTGAACATTATTTGTAAAATGAAGAATACAGGCTATGTTAAATATAGTAGATAATTTCAATTAGCTCTTCAATTAGACTATTTTATCTAATAATTTACAGAAATGAAACAAAGTCAACTACCTATCAATATTTTTTTTTTTTCCAAAAGAAATTTTCAAATTTAAAATACTAAGTTTGTAGTAAATACCTTGATTTCCTTTAATTTATCAATATATACTTGTTTATTGACATCTTCACCATCTTCATATAACCAATTCTCTGTATCTTCTAATCTTAGGGTCAATGCATTACGATCCTGTAACCAACAATACAATAACTTAATCATCAATTTAAAAGGGGAAATCCCACACTTACTTTGGTAGATAAAATTCTGTATGAAAGATTTTTAACAATTTTTTTGTACCACACAACTATGGGATAACTTTTTGAAGAAATGGAGTCAGTTTTATTATTAATTAATCAGGGATATAAGTTCTGTATTTTGTTTTATTAGTCACTCATTATACATCAGACATGGAGGACATAGAACCAATTCTGACAATCAGTTTCAAAATGGCTCAATATTTTCATTCAAATTCCTCAAAGTTTAACCCAATATAATTCAGGAAAACAGAATTTTAACTGATTTTAAGTCAACAAATGACCATATTTAGTTAAATAAATCCAACAAACGAAATTTATCTGTAACTCTGCTATATATCATATTTTAATCAAACATCTCAAAAACAAATTAAAATATTTTCTGGGGACTAATAATCATATATTAGCATAATATTAAAATTTAATAATTTACTTACATCTTCCTTAGCATATTGTTCATATTGTCCACTTATTTTATCTCTCATATCATATACATATTCTTCTACTGCATTTTTCGAATCTAATCTTTCTTTCTCTAATTTATCCTGCATTATCAGCTGATTCTATTATATAATAAAACATACATCAATTATTCAAGTAGTTAGGAATCACTCAATGTCTAGTGAATGGTGATAATTCAGATATCAGATATAATTTTACAAATATTGATACTTGCATTAATATATCAGTAAATTTCCATTCACCATAATGTAAACAGTGTCCAGAAACAACAAAATTCACCGGAAAAATGGAGACAAACAGAAGGTATCAAAATATCTCTAAGGAGGATCCTGAATAAGTTGGCCTAATCACATGTCAAACCAAAAACTAACAAGACAAGCCAACAGTAAGGCTGATGTCCCCCGCCGAAATTGCAAAATAAATAGATGACACATATTAATTAATCGCACATTTATTTTTTTCACTAAGTTTCATCACTCTCTATCAGATAGAATCAAGATTATGTTGTCCCAAACCATCGACAAATGAAATCGATTAGCTCTGCTTAGCTTCAGCTCGAAATGTTAATTATTGAACTCAGTCAAGACATTCACCTAATGAACATCTACATATACATCAAGTTTAAACATTCACCTAATAGACACCTATGCCAAGTTTGAACATTCTACCTCAATTAGAAGGAGAGTTATTGTGTTCCAAAGTTTCTACCAATCAAATTGCTTATCACTCTGCTTACCCTCAGCAAAAAATGTTCATTATCGAACTTAGTTAAGGTATTCATATAATAAATCTATACACCAAGTTTCATCAATCTCACTTAATTAGAACTAAAGTTATCGTGTCCCAAAGCATCAACCAATCAAATTGCTTATCTCTGCTTACCCTAAGCGGAAAATGCTCATCTTCGAACTCCATCAAGGCATTGACCTAATCAACACATACACCAAGTTTGAACATTCTAGCTCAATTAGGAAGAGAGTTATCGTGCCCCAAAGTATCAACCAATCAAATTGCTTATCTCTGCTTACCCTAAGCGGAAAATGCTCATCTTCGAACTCCATCAAGGCATTGACCTAATAAACACATACACCAAGTTTGAACATTCTAGCTCAATTAAAAGTTATCGTGTCCCAAAGCATCAACCAATCAAATTGCTTATCTCTGCTTACCCTAAGCGGAAAATGCTCATCTTCGAACTCCATCAAGGCATTGACCTAATCAACACATACACCAAGTTTGAACATTCTAGCCCAATTAGGAAGAGAGTTATCGTGTCCCAAAGCATCAACCAATCAAATTGCTTATCTCTGCTTACCCTAAGCGGAAAATGCTCATCTTCGAACTCCATCAAGGCATTGACCTAATAAACACATACACCAAGTTTGAACATTCTAGCTCAATTAGGAAGAGAGTTATTGTGTCCCAAAAAGTGTGACGGACAGACAGACGGACGGACAGACGGACGGACGGACGGACGGACGGACGGACGGACGGACGGACGGACGGACGGACGGACGGACAGACAGACAGACAGACAGACAGACAGACAGACAGACAGACAGACAGACAGACAGACAGACAGACAGACAGACAGACAGACAGACAGACAGACAGACAGACAGACGGACGAACCCATTTTAATAGTCCCCTGCTTTCTTCGAAAGGCGGGGGACAAAAATCATGTTAACCCATTGAACAAGTGGCAAAGGATTGGGTATACCTTGTGTCTTGCATTCAAGCTTTCTGAGTCAGCCATTGGAGCAGAACCAAAGAAAAGATGGGTTGCCAGGCAACAAAATATACGCCCACAGCAGCTAAATCGTCATGGCACTCAACAAGAGTTATCACATATTTTTACTTTTGTTGGTAATGAAACATTTATAACACACTAAAATCGAGTAACAATGCATTAAAGATACATTATGGGAAATTAGATAAAGAGCTGGCAGTTTTCACTATAATAGTTAAAAACTAGATAATGTAAAGGTGAATTTGCTGAAAATTTCAGTCAAATTGATCCACCCTGAACCAAGATTTTAGCGAAAGTTTTCGAGGGCCTAACTCTGGCAGTAATTATCAGAAATCATTGAAAATCAGCAGGCTTCTCCATCTAAAGAACTTAAACACCGTGTATAACTTTAAAGTCAATCAGATATTAACTTCAGCCCCTAGAGCGTTCACAACCAATTGTGAATTCCGGATGGGGCGACGACAATATACAACATTTTGATATTGTATTCTATTAATTATTGTATATCATCTGATCTGAATATCAAATGCATCATTCTGACAGTCAAAACTGATCCCATCAAACCTTCTGTAATTGGTTTGTATTACCTGTTTCTATTGATTGGAAGTTTCTCATTTCAATGTGGGCGTATAAAATTACCTCTAATTGGTAGTAAAGATAATTTTTTTCTGGTTATATATTTCTCTTAATGACTTGATCTATCATAGAATACTTACCTCTTTTTCTATAAGATGATTGAGTTGTTGTTTAGGAATTTGGTTAAATCTAGATTCTATAGGTAGATCAATACTTCTCGTTGTCTTTTTAGCTTTCTTATTACTTTTCTTGTCTTCTTCCTATCAATTATATAACAAGGTTATTAAATATAGTATATTTAACTGGGTATAAGTTAATGTAGAGTATAATGTGGAGTTCAAGTCTAATCATCTTATTTTACAATCTTCACCTACAGATCAGTTGAAGTATTGTGTAAGACGAATGATTAACAATCTTGTATCCGGTTTTATTCTAGTCTATTACTGTGCAGATGCAAGTCAACAAAAAAAAAGCCCATAATATAAATTAATGTCAGAGACTAATTTGAATAATCTCCAATTTTTGCTCTTGGTCCATTTGAACCAAATTTTATTTATATATTAGGCCTCAACCACCATTTTTTATTCGTACAGAGCAACAGTTTAAGAGAGAAAACAATTCCTAGATGTCAATTTTTTTTTTTTTTTTTTTTTTTAAAACCTTGATCCATGCACATGTCTTTGTTGAATTTAAGATGACTATCAGACAACAAAACATAGTCAGTCGTCCATGATGTCCAAGCAGCCCTGAAACAATATCTCGTATCTTTTTGTTGATAATTTAGAAGACACTAGAATATGATCTATTACACAGAGAAAAGTTTCAACTTATACCCCAAATAATACGATACTATTGATATATTTTACAAATACAAGTACCATAATCAACTTAAAAAGACATCTGTAAAATATTCATTATCATTATAATATTATATCTGAACCTTTTTCTCTTCATTTCCATTAACTGTATTTGATTCAGTTTCTTTAGTAGTGGCTTCATCTTTAGGTGGCACTTCATTTTCACTTTGACTACTGTCAGTCTGCATGGGTGTCTACAAATAAATAGAATGTCTAACTTTAACATCCTTTCAACTTTATTTATGACACTTTGAGACTAACAAAAAAAACAGAATCAAACAAGCCAACAGTGATGCTGATGTCCTCCGCCAAAAAAAAAAAGTAATTAGATACATTTTTTAATATAGGAAATGCACATTATCAGACTTAGTTATGGTGTTGATGTAATGATACATGCCAAATTTCACCATTATTACTCAATTAGAATCAAAGTTGTCGAGCTCAAAAGAAATGAAAGATGGGCAAACGCCATACAGTGTGCTATGAGGGAAATTATGCCCGGACAGTGGCACTACGGCCTACTCTTATATCGAATTCCAACTGTCAAGGGATCTTTTACGTACATGCCAATGTGTACAAGGGACATTGGTTTTCCATCCCATCCCATCCTAACAACTAGACAGCTGTCCTTGTCAGGCACTCTGTCCTTCATCACCGACAAGGGGGGAACAACGCCGGAAAATCTGGATTAACTGTCTCGGCCAATGCAAGGATCAACACCCAAACTCCCGGCTAGCGAACCAGAAATATAAAGAGTTTTCCTAAGACAATGTTCTATTAGCGGTTGCCATGCAAGGGGCCATAATCCAGGATCTTTGGGAGATCAACCCATATTTCAAATTTCGTCAAAATCAGATATAAATTGTGACCTGTAGAGTGTCCACAAACAAATGTTAACGGATGGACAGACACACGGACAGACAGGGGTGGCGACAATATACATCCACATGAAAATGTGGGTGTATAAAAACTTCCTCTTTTACAGAAGATATATAAACCTAACTCCTACCTCTCCATCAAAAGCAGATTCACTCTTCATAGATTGATCACTATTACTTTCTTCTACTTTCTTATCAACATCAACATCCATAGATTCTTTTGTATCATCTTCACTTTCACATTTTTCATACATACTGGCCGAGGGTATGACAAATGTACCATGGTTGTTAATTCGAACCTTCAACTTAACTTTACAACTGTCACCATTAGCCTGAGGTACAATGTTATTCACTTTGAAAGTACCTGAAATTTAAATAAGAATGTGTAAAAAAAACCCATCTTGCCAAATTCTCCAGTGATTTTTAGGGAATATAACTCTTGTGTACTACTAGTATAAGTAATTTTAGAGGATGGCCAAAGGCTGAAAAGTATTCTTTGTCTATTCCACATATCAGTTGATGTAGAGTATAAGGGCATGCCTAAACTTCCACGGAAAAATGCATCTATTTATACCCAGAAAAATACACTGGTTACTGGTTAGAATTTCCTCACATGCAAATTTACTGACAGCTAGATTTCTCAAAGACTGAACACCAGCCAGACATAGACTAATAAAATGTGGCTGAAAAAAATAGAGCATGGTCTCATACCTATTTCAGGAGAAGGATAAGGTACATCATTGATGTGAGTATATCTGGCCGTTAATTCAAATGGCTCTTTACGATAAAATGTCAACATCTTAGAGAATGGTATGGCGTGGAATCTAGAGAATACTTCTAATGAACTGAAAAGAAAAACCAAAAAAACAATTAGAACATACAACTGACATTGAATGAAACATTTCTTAAGACAAAACAACAACATAGTAAACAAGTTAACAGTGAAGAATGAAGACATTTAATGTGATATTTACTGAAGGGAGATGATTCATCTGATTAAACACAGTGACTAGTTTATATAATTACATACTTCTCGTCTTCTATACATCCAGTATAATGTAGTGTAATTGAGTAGGGCTGACAATCTGTGATACTAAAATCTCGTACACGGAAAGTTGGTGACAATATAGCACACTGAAATGAAGATTATAAAATCATGAATCAGTATTTTAATACATGTACAATTACATAGTATTAATCGTCAACATAATTTATAGTTATGATAACCACGTACGATCTAGACTCAAACTGTGTGACACCCAAGTCAGAAAATCAGTGATGATCTGACACACAAGTCAGAAAACCAGTGATGATCTGACATCAAAGTCAGAAAACCAGTGATGATATGACACCCAAGTCAGAAAACCAGTGATGATCTGACACCCACGTTAGAAAACCATGAGTTAAGGGCATATCTGCAATAGCCTAACTTAGGATAAAAGCATAAGTAAACGTAAGAGAAAGAATTTTAATCCTACCTGTAATGCACATCCTCTAGCAACAGCTTCATCAGCATTTAATGTAGTACTTGCATCCATACCAAATATTTGTGTAACTAAAGCTTTAATACAGGGTAAACGACTAGAACCACCAACTATCTCCACTGAATGTATATCACCTAATTTCACATCTATAAACAAAAATAAAGATATTGTCACACTCACTTAGAAATTATATGCAATTAATGTTATATTCAATATATGCAATTACATCAATGTTAAATAAGGCTAAAACCACTGCAGACAATATAAAGGATATTGTCAACACAACCCAGCGTCACTTATGATATTCACTGAAATCTTTTGATGGGCCTCTTTTAAAATCTGACAGAATCTAAGTCGGTAGATGTTGATACTTACTAGAATAATCTAGAATCGCTCGCATGGTAGTCTCTGCTCTTGTCAACAGACCAGCATTACTAGCCAATTCTTCAAATGTAGCTCTAAAAAAAAAATATACAAGAACATAATTATCAATTGATAATTCATTATATTCAATATGTACTCATTAATTTGAAACCATTTTAGACTTCATTATGGTTAACCAACATTTTAAGACAATGTATGGAGGAAAACTAATTATTTTGTGTGAAATATAACTGATTCTCATCCATACAATATTTGGGTCAATTTGAGACTATATGTGTCAATCTTTATTCTCTATGATGGCAACATCGACAAACATAGTTTTGTGCATACATCAGTGCTTTCACCTATTCTCCTTTAAATTCTAACTTTATAAGATTGTTATCAGTATTAACCGGAACAATCGGGTTACAAGTACCATGTTCTAACTTGTTGACAAGCCCATACACAGCCGATAAACTTTTGCCACTAGAGTGTCCAGAAGTAATTGTAGATGCGAGACAGATGGAATAACCATGGATATCACAACATTTTACGACCACATTTAAATGTTGGAGAATATAAATGAAAAAATGTTTAAAGAGTTGATATTTTGTAGCACATGTCGGTTTAAAATGAACTTCCATAATTCAGTCAAGTGTCAATAATATTTGAATTTTCATTCACAGTTACTCACCTATCCATGCCAGATGAAACATCTTTATCATCCATCAAACATTCTATATTGAGAGGAATTTTCTGTGTATTGGCACTCATTAATTTCTTCAGTTTTTCACATTCTTGTGCAAGTCTTATATAAGCCTTTGGACGCGACATCACATCAATTTTGTACTTAACCTTGAATTCCTCTGCAAACTGTTTAAGTAATAAATGATCAAAGTTCCTGCCACCCAAATCAGGATCATTTGAAGTTGCCAAAACCTGTTAATGCAAATGTAGTCAGTATTAAAAAATTGATTGGATCCCAATAGAAAGGTTAACAATGCAATTTATCAATGATAACCTGTGTATCTTGGGATTCTTACAACACAATATTTTTTTCACTGAATGATCCTTCTTACCTTTAACTTTCCCTTTTGGAATGAACAAATAGAAACTTGCAGTGATGAATATCCCATATCAACTATTACCACATTACGAGCTTTCTCATTTTCTGCTGGCAAGTCTTGTTTATAAATACCATAAGATAGGGCAACTAGAAAAAAAAAAAACAAAAAAAAATAAACGATGATATACAAAACATAACATTTAATTAAAAATGTGATGTTTGAAAATTAAAATTAATTAAAATAGTCAATTTCATTTTATTTTTAAATTGCCCTGATTTTATGAACGGCATAGCAAACATATTTCGGTCACTGTTAGAAGAAAGATGACCATATAGCAGACAATCCAAACCAATTCAGTCATTTTATGAACAATACTATACATGTCACATATACTGAAATTAAATTACAATTTTCAAAGAATCATTTATTTTAAATGTTAGATAACTTACTGGCTGTGGTATCGTTAAACAAACGTAAACAATTTAAACCAGCCATCTGACAAGAATCTAGGAAGGCTCTTCTTTCAACATCAGTACAATATGATGGTACCTTTAAAACAAAAATTTAATATTGATACAAATTGTCAATGACTGTAATCAATATGGCCTTGTTCCTAATAGTAAGTGCAGAGGGACTGCACCACACACAATTACACTAAACAACTATACAAACAAGACACAATACGCGGAAATCACAAACAAACGTACATATCAGATTAAGTGAATGGATCGCAGGCCTAACCGTAAGGCCATGTTAAATTAATTCTGTATTTCGGGTTTTAGGGTCTCCAGAATTCAATGAGGGAGGGAGGTCAACACAACACACCTCCCAATTTTTAACACAACACACATTTTTTCAACACAAAGCCTCTTTAAGATCACTAAGTGTAATCATATGGAGTTTCTACAACGGTCCACTGCAGTGCCTTTATTTTCTCTGGCAGCACCGATATTTGTAGATTTAGGAGGGTGTTTTCACCAGTGTCTACCGCCACCGAATCTGCCATGATGGAAGTTGTAGGCAAGTTGAAATAAGTCGCGCTGTACCGGAAATAATAGTAAATGAAATAAAAATTGTCCAGTCCGTTAAACTGTTATTAGAAGTCGGCGCGTGTCAGGACAAACAAGTCTATGTACACATGTAACCAAGGACAGCGTGGCAGCGAGAGTTCGCGTGCTGACACATGGAGTAATGTAATAACGTTTTAAATTTATGACCGTGATTTGTTTTCAAATCTTTCTGTATACAAATTACGATATTATTTTATTTTTTTAAACCAATATTTATGCGTGTAAATTAAAAATGTGCGTTATGTCGCCTAAAATAGACAGGCGTGTGTTCGATAGTGAAGAATGTTCTGTGTGGATAGGTACGCGCGCAGAGCTGCCGAAATCAAAACACAACACAAAGTACCGCGTAGAAAATCAACACAACCATTTGACGATGTGAGAGCTACGTGCGCGGTTGATCCGAAACGCAGAATTAATTTAACACAGCCTAAGCGTCAACTGTGCGGTAGATTTAGTGTTAAAACACAGCTATTCATATCTAATAAGCTTATATTACAATTATAAACATGAGAACAGATGTACTTACTGATATAACAACATCAACAACTTTGGTTTTTAAAGCAGCTTCAGCAGTTAATTTCAATTTAGTAAACAACATGGTTGTTAATTGTTCTGGACTGAACTTTTGATTTTCACCCAAATAATCCACCTGAAATATTTCAATATTTGGTTAAGATTTATATTGTATCATGGGTACATTTGGTAATTACAAATGGGTCCTACTAGTACAAAATCAAACATAATTTTTATTATATTATGTAGATCAAACCAGGACTGCAAAATCCATTACTGAATGAAATGGAATTTTATTTATGGTAAAACATAAACAGCAAGAATATCTATGTCAATTATAAAATCCGGTGATTGAATGAATTTAATAAATATTACTATTTCTCCATGTATTAATACTAAACTTTGATTTCGGCCATACTGTACCTTAATAAGTATATTTCCATTTGAGTCTTCCACTATTTCATTTTGGGGAAACTGTATCTTTAATTCGGACTGAACAAGTTTGTCAGAAAACTTTCTACCCATTAGACGTTTTATTCCAGATATTGTGTTTTTGAATTTCATCACACTTTGCTGCTTAGCAGCCACACCCATGCATCGACTTTTTTCGTTGAAAGATATGTAAGATCTGAAAACAAAATAAACTTGATCAAACAAAATATACTTATACATGTAAATCCTTATGACCAATACCATGCACAAACATATTATATTATACATTTGTATCTAACTGTAAATGATGTAATTTTCGTCTGTATAACAAACCGGTATGAAAAATTCATTCATATATTATATATTCATTATCATACTACAATTGTAAAACTATATTATAAATTTATATTCTTCAAGTTCAAGATACAAAATAAAGCAGTGCGTACATTTTTCAAAACCTACAGCAGGGAACGCTTTAGCCCAGTCCCCAGTAGCCTATTACAAGAATTACATAGGTTGCCTATTGAGTATTGTAAACAGTTAAAAATATTTTTCATTGTTAAACATTTTGTTTATCAAATTGTGGTATGTTTTAATGTGTGTCTTGGACGCATTCTTCACCCTTCGAACAGATTGCAATCTCCGCTGCCGTGTTGAGTCCACTTCGTCCGCGCAGAAGGTAATCAACTGTGCGATCATACTTTTCTTTCTGTATTGCCTTGCTCGTACTTGTATAAGTAACCTGACGGTGACAAAATTCATTAAAACGATTCCGACAATGGCGACAAATACAGTGATTCATGGTGAATACCGAGTAGGAGTAGGCGGATTATCATCGTGGTAATCCATTATAACTCTGTGCGCGTAGATTAATCAACGGAAATTTGACAAATTCATGCATGCGTAATCTGTCCGCGAGGTGAAATCTGCACTCAACATATGCAAGAAACCAGTTTTAATTCCTGATGAACTGAATGCTGATTTTGTATCAGAGTGATATCTATAAAAATATAATCAAGAAAAGGCAACCAACAATGATTATAATTAATTTTCAGTCTAGAATAGCTGAATTTAAATCTAAAGCTGAGAAATGTATCTGACCTAATTCATTTACTAATTTTACTAATACCAGTACTTCATACAGACACTTTATATTTTCAAATAAATAATGATATTTCTGTGCTATATATCACCTACAAAATACATTGTATGGGTCTTTTAAATCACCTACATGTACATGTATACAGTATATACACACTTGACATGTACGACGTGGTAGATTACCAAACTACAAATCAAGTTCAACAAGTTTCTCTGGTTTTTCAGCAGAAAATATGTGACTCATAGTAAATATTTAAAATAAATCTTGTCTACATATCGTGCCTCTCATTTAAAGAAGTTGTGATTAAGATTTGTTAATTATTTTACATGAAGCAGTTGCTGCTTTTGTTGCTGCTTGCTTGTGAATGCGATACTAAGCACAGTTTTAAAAAGATGTCAGATGTTGTTTACAAAATTAGTTTTTAGACATTGAAAATTATATCCATTACGCAATTACTTACGGGGTGCATCTGTCACTATATTCATTTGCAATCGTTTCTATTCCACCAGCCCGTGCAGCTCCAATATAACAGGAATATGTACCAAAATCTATTCCCACAACTGACATGATGATACTTTTTTAGTAACCACGCCGGCACAAATATTAAATAATAAATCAACAAATTATAATAAATATGTTATGTATAGATCTAATAAATCCCTTTCAGTTTCAAAATATTGAGATTATACTGAATCCTTAATGTCTTTCAAATCTTCTTCCTAAATTAGCTTGGCTTCAGTGAATAGTGACTTGTGTAATTTGATGTTGCCGATAACCGATAAGTGATGAATGATGGCTTCTCAGTCTGAGAATAAAACTAAAATCACAAATCCGGTGCTTCTTTTCAAACTGCGAAATTTATAAAATTGATAGCTTCAAACTTCGGACATGCAAATAAACAGCGCGTGTGTTATTATTTTCTTGTACAAATTAGACGTTACGAGAAATTTCTCGAAACACGTGAATCACACCGCCTCTATTTCCAGTCTTTTACCGTCATAGTCTCGATTATAAGTCTCTATATTCTATGGTCGCATACGTGCACCACTGTGAAGTCGAAATGAGAATACTCGAGTAACTCACTTAACGATACATTCCCGTGTACAAACTGGGTGATTTGATGATATATTTGGCCTAAAAGCATATTCAAACTAATTAATTTATCATAAATTTGCTTCAAATTTTTCTCAAAGCATTGTAATTGTCAAGTAATACTCTCGCTATAAAAAAAATCGATCAAAAGAGGTCATGTTTGTGTCACGTAACTTACGGGTACGAAGTCCGAGGAGAATTCATTGCATACACAAGACGATGTTGTCTTTAATCGCTGACTATTTATTACAAATATCGAATCCTAATTAAATTCTAGGATTATCAACTTCCCGCGTCTTTTTCCATGATTTTTATCTCAGAAAGTGTTGTACGTCTAACTCTTCATAAAGTTTATCAACATGTACATCAATCTCTGCGTGCAACCTTTGACGTCACGCGTGCAGATATTCCTAATCGTCGGGCTTTGGATTTGGGGAACCCTGGCATCTTTGTCCAGTATACGCTCTATGGGTGTTTTTCAGGGAATCCAGTATTTTTCTAGTAAGATTGGATATCTGTACTTTCCATATATACCAAAATTGCCATACTTTTATTGGAAATAACCACCCGATAAATACTTTTCTCGGAACCTATCTTTAAATCAACTTTCTTGGTAGAATGACGTTTCGCAAACTTGGACGCTAATTGGGGCGATTTAATTAGTCTTCGATATTAACTTTTTTTGCCTCCTAATATTTTTATTCTAATCTAAAACAATTTTTTAAATTATTAAGAAAAAGAGTTAAGGTGCTTGAATTATATCTGGATATAAAATGTGTCATATTTGGTGTAAATGGGTACATAAAATAGTACGCGGAGCCGTAAAATGAGTAAAAGGCGCCAGTTTGTATTACTACGTCCACAGGGATCGACGTCATATTTTGGGATTGGATGGCCGAATGGTTAATGCGTGCACGTTGCATCATAAGGCCTGTCATTGAGTCAACTGGTGTGGTTTCAATTCCCCGGCTGTATGTGACAACCTCGTGGGTTTTCTCCAGGTCCTGCGCCCCCTGCCCCCTTCCACTGCTAAAGACCCCTATAATACGCGCAAGCGATTAATTGAAATAAAATTGAACCATATGTTAGTCTTTAAATGACCTAGTTTGTGTCGGGTGGATGTTACCCCCCCCCCCCCCTCTCTATCTCTCTCTCTCTCTCTTGCCATTTATTCAATCCCCTCAACACCTGACCACAATTAAGCATTATCCTACATGTACCTCTCTATTGAAGACAAAATGAAAATGTCAAAATTGGCACACGAATCGCGTGACAGAATGCGTTCAAGTCAGAAGTGCCATTTGTAATGAAACGACTCGATGAACGAGACTAAACATACCCGACGGAGGGAGGACAAGATCTATTTGTTAAGGCCAACTCAGTTTTTATCAAGGTCGCTGAGATGTAAATAAGGTTAGGGCACGTGGTTGTTGGTGAGATTGTAGGTTAGGGTTAGGATAAGCGTTAGGGCTAGGTCCAGTGTCGGGGTTAGGATTGGGATTAACGCTAGCCCTGTTTACATCTCGTGACCTTTGACCAAACTTGGAGTTGACCTTATCAAATAGATCTAACCCCGACAGGAGAATACTACCGCTGAAGACGCCAAAGACTGCCATAGCTGATTAGAAATTACAGTAAAAACAGTAATGATTGAATGAAAATTAGTTAATATACATTCATATTACATTATTATATGCGTTGCCACCCATTTGTGTCCATTTGTAGGTGCCAGTGAATAGCGATTGTGCTCCTAAATTTTAAAGGTTGGTCACCTTGCACAGTGGTAAAATAATGCTTTCGCATTACCGCTATGAGACAGTTTGGCCATATCGATCCCCCTCTCCTCTTCAATTTTTATCCGATTTTGATGAAACTTGAAGTGTATGTTTAGTGAAGGTTGGATTCGAATTTCGGGAAAATCGAAACGAAACTGCCCGACAAAATGGCAGCTCTTTATACGCAAATTGTGTAAAAGTATGTAATACGAAGGTTGTGGACCCTCTAGAGGTCACAATTTTTATCCGATTTTGATGGAACTTAAAATATATCTTTATATCCCAAAGATCTCAGTCCCTTTCAATATTTGCGCATTACAGACCATAACTGCCTGGATTATGGTCCCTCACTGTACGAAAAATCGCTTTTGTTTTTAGCTTGTTCTCTATCCATCTCTTGCAAAATGTTGACGTATCTTGCCTGGCAACCGCTGGTTTTATCTTAGTGTTCCGGTTTACTCCCACAGATAGAGATGCCTACGTGCAAGCAAATTGTTGAAATAGAATTGTAAAATGACCCTGTTATGCGTGAAATTAGTCGGGTGGTTTTGTTTTTACCCCGATATGAGTGATGTTTCTCATGCGAAGAAAAATGAGAGACTGGTACTTAAGGACAATTATTGAAATAGAATTGTAAAATGATCTAGTTTATGCGTGAATTACTCGGGTGGTTTTGTTTTTACTCCAATATGAGCGATGTTTTCTCGTGCAAAGAAAATGAGAGACTGGTATTTGAGGCTACAAGAACCGCAGCAAATATTAAAAATTAATATTAACAAGAATTTATATTTTTATACAAAGCATTATTAATGTGATAATAGGTATTTTTTGTGAACAAAGATATCAATTGATATAATTTACTATTTCGATAACAATCGTATATTTTTTGGTGCGGGATTGCTTCCGTTTGGATTTCGAGGCGCGCTCTATGAACGGTTTTTTCTCAAAAAGAAAACAAATCGATTATAATTTTATAGCTTCATTTGTACCATTATTTATGCAACCATGATAACATAATTGTGTAGAAGACAAAAAGTTCAAAGCATTAACATGGGGGAAGGAATTGAGGTAGCGTATTTTTAAATTACTGCTCAATATTTTGTGTTTTTTTTTCTTCTTTACCGGTGACGTCCAGAAATGGGGCAATCGGCATGCCTGTTCATGTTTGTAAACAAAATGGAGATTCAAGTGCATATCTTGGAAATCTGCTAGTAGCATATTTTCCCAATATTTTATGTGTGCCCATTACAACAGTACTATTGATAGGTCTCTTTTGTGTAGATTGTCATTGAGATTGTCGTTCGGGATTTTACAGAATCGTAAATGTCAGATAATTGTCTGAGATAAGTCGATGGAAAATAGGACTCAATCACGTTAATAATATATTAATTCACCTGCTGCAGTCATGCAAACTATTGAGTTCAGCAAACTGAATGATGGTCCTGTAGACATTGTAGTGTAACATTAATGGAATCAGATCATATTTTATCTGAAAATAGTGTAAAGTAAAACTAGAAAAGTAACACAAGTTTATATGAATTGTACTGTGTAGCCTATCGGTACTATAATTATGTCAAGCCTTGTGGTATGTATTATTTATCTTTACTATATATTATGTAAATCTATGTCTAGATGTAAAGTTGCATTTTGAAAATCAATTAATGTTAAAGAAGATTTAATTGATAATAACTATCAGTAACCTGTATTCAAACTGCTTTTTCTTTTGCAGGATTATCAAGTTTTAAACTTGCTTGGTAAAGGAGCATTTGCTTGTGTGTATAGGGCAAGATCGAACAAAACTGGTGTGGAAGTAGCTATTAAAATGGTAAATTTACAGTGTTTTGTTGCATTGATCAGAACTACATGTATATATATCATAATGGGTGTAAGTCAGTTAAGTCGTCCACATGCAAACTCATCCACAGTTAAGTCGTCCACAATTATTGGTTAAGTTGTGCACAAGGTATTGGTTATGTCATCCACAACTAATAGTTGACTCGTGGTCGTACACATTAATTGTATAAAATGAATAAGTTGTGATAAGATTGGTTTGATGTCTAACATTGTTTATCTTATAATATTTATAAACAGGTATTTTACAATTACATGGACAGATTAATCACTCGGAAAAATGCATCACAGGTTACACATATTATCAACTGTTTTTGTTATTCATTTCCATGAAGCCCATGCAATTTTCGCACCAGAATAAACCTTAGTTACTACGTTCATAGCAATGCCTTAAATGGCATGGAACCGTGTGGTAATAGTATTCACAAACGTTGATGTTTGCCGTGAATTTCAATTGGAGGCCTGACAAAAGTTGTTCTATGTGTATAAATATGGTGATTATTATTAATATATTACTATTTATGAATACATCAACAAGTGAATGGCACCATTCGTATTTCTATGTGGATGACTTAACTAGTGTATTTTGATATTTGTAGACGCTTAACTAGACTTTCCCTGTTGACCAGTTAACTGGCATTAATCATCTGAGTTGTTTCGTGTTGACCAGTTAACTGGCATTAATCATCTAAGTCATTTCTCTATTCTAAAAAAAAAACCCAACCAAAACATTAATCATGTATACATATAGAAATGTGTTGTTTTACTTGTTTTATTCAAAATACGGGTTGTTTTGGGTAATTAAAGTTTGTTTGGGTAAATCTATTTGGACCCTTACAAACTGATTACATGAATGTTCTCAAATTTTCATGTTACATCATAGGAATACTTCCATAATTCTTTCATTATTGTAACTGTAAGTGACAATACTTGTTAGTGATCTCATGTATTATGCTATAGGTGTGCAGATGCTTAAAAGATACACATTAGAATACGATAGTTAAACTTGATTAAAAACGCATGCGATCTTTAAACCTGTTTAACTTTGAATGCAAAGATGGCGTACATCAATTAGTTTACCTAATATGACATGAATGTACATTGTTTACTAAATTTACAGATTGATAAAAAGTTGATGAAAGCAGCTGGTATGGTGACAAGAGTGAAAAAAGAAGTAGAAATTCATTCAAGATTAAAACATCCATCAATACTTGAGGTAATTTATTATTATATGGAAATGATGACATTTATTGATTGAACATATGAAGGGATGTATGAGAAAGGGTTCTTACACGGTAGAAATAGGGTACCAGTAAGTATAGCCCCCATTCCCTTTAATATAACCAGACTTTAAATGTGAAATGTCATATTCTGAATAGGTTAATATAGGATTTAGATTAGCACAAAAAAGCAAATAAAAGACATGTACACTTGCTCGAAATGGTAACCCTCATTGGTAAAATCTAAAGCAAATTATTTTATTATACCAAACATAAATTATTAGACTGAATCTTCACTTTTGTTAAAGTGGGTTTTGATACATAATTAGCTCTTTTATAATTTCAGCTTTACAATTATTTTGAAGACAGTAATTATGTGTACCTCGTAATAGAAATGTGTCATAATGGAGAATTACAGCGATTTCTTAAATCAAACTGTAAAGTTTTAACGGAAGATGAAGGTACTCTATATAACTACATTCATAAGTGTATTCATACATGAACATACTATAATGTTCTTGATGGTAATCAGTCTATTTTTGCATAGAATTGGTGAAAATGATCTAGATACATGTAGATCAGAAGATAAAGCAGCAGAAACTAGATTATGAAGAAGTTCATACTACTCATTTACATCCTAGTGAATATTTATGACAAGCTAAAGCTAAGCCTGATATTCTGTGATTAAAATTTTAATTGTATTTTGTAAGATTTTATATGCTCACCACATTGAAAGACGAAGAAGTCTGTTGAATTTTAAGGAATTCTGATAATTACTAATCAATTTTAAAAATTGTTGGGATGCTCAAATGCTAAAATGTTTATCTTAATGAGACAAAGAAGTCTTTTAACTTTGAACGATTTTCAGAGTTATCGCCATTGATCAATTTAAATCTTCTTGTGGATGCTCTAGAGTCTAATGTTATCATATGTTTTAATATCTGGCAACCTATGTTTTTTTAATTTTAGCACGTCAGTTCATGAAACAGATAGTAGAAGGAATGTTTTATCTTCATTCACATGGTATATTACATCGTGATTTAACACTGTCCAATCTTCTCTTGAGTAAAGACAATAATGTGGTAGGTAGATTGGAAGTCTAGGTTAAAATAAATTAGTATTGGTTTTATCTGATGTTTTACCTTAATTTGTGATGGGACAAGCTCTGTACAATTGACTGTTAAAGGCTCAATACCACTCTTGTTGTAACTGAATAATATGTCCCAATCTTTATTCTGGTCAACAAATTGTACTATTTTACAATATTCCAATTAATTGGTGATATAAATTTCATCTGAATACACACCTAATTTAAAAAATTGGAAAAATTCAACTAAATGATTTGAAAAGCCTGACGTAAAGCTTTTCAAATGTGACTTGGATTTAAAAATATTTTTGAACCCTCTGGACTAGTAAAATATGATTTAATGGATAATTTACAAAACAGGTAAGACACTAACACATCTAGTACTTAGAATAAGGCTATTTTTTTATTTTCTGGAGCTGTCAAGCCAGGCAGAGTGTTATTGTCCCTTTAAGAAAGATAAAGTAGTAGTCGGATTGTTTTACTAATTTAGCTTTTGTTATATTGCTGTAAAAGATTAGAATGCTTAATGACAACTGTAAACTTTGAAGTTTTCATGAACTAGTACAATTACTTCAGTGTTGCTTTGACATTGTTTAACAAGAAATACAAATGAAAATATCCTTACATTCCGAAATATTTATTGGTGATTGTTTTTTTTTTGTTTTTTTTTTTTTTTAGAAAATTGCTGATTTTGGGTTAGCTACTCAACTGACTGTACCAGATGAAAAACATTTTACAATGTGTGGTACACCAAACTATATATCACCGTAAGTTTATATCCATCTGTTCTAGCTCAAATATGTTAATTTTTTCTTATTTTAATTTATAAGGATTGTGAGAATATATGAGCTGGTGTTACAGTTGATATTCATTTTATCAGTGATTTGTGCTGCACAACAATACTGTCAGGAATAAATCTTCACATCATGATTAATTTAATCCAAGGTGTTTACCTGGTCATATAAATATTATATTAGTTAATTATGACAAATTATTAATGATGTGTCATGTCAGTTTCATCAATCAAAGGATGTGACTTTTATTTGTAATGTTTTCGTTTTATTAGTGAAGTGGCTATGAGAAGTGCCCATGGTTTAGAAGCTGATGTTTGGTCGTTAGGGTGTATGCTGTATACATTTTTAGTGGGGAAACCCCCGTTTGATACAGATGCTGTAAAGAGTACTTTAAATCGTGTTATTTTAGCAGACTATGAAATACCAGTTAATCTATCACCAGAAGCTAAGGATCTCATACAATGTTTATTACGTAAAAATCCTAAAGACAGAATATCTTTAAAAGGTAGCTATATATAGTACATGTTCTAGTCTTAATGATGTTAAATATATAAATGAGATAGAAGTTCTTATTGATGTTAAATATATTAATGGATGGGGTTTAGTATCCTACTTTAATGAATAAAAGTGCATGTATGAAGAAAATGACAATCAGTATAGGAGTCACCTATTATGTTAACAAGTCCATCAATCAATGTGTAATTGTCCAAGGCACAAGTATGCCTTCAAAAAACAACAAGATGAGTTCCTGATCCCAAAATCTGGCATTAATCAAGTCCATTATATCAATTTTATTTACATTTTAGATCTGGTGAAACATCCTTTTATGACTAAAGCCAGCATACAAACATCAAGGAAAATTTCAAAAAAGGTTTGTATGTGTATCCAAACAGAATTTAGTCAGTGGCCTTTCCATTCTTCTTGATATTTTAAATGTAATAAAGCTTGATATTGTAAATAAAGATTTAATTTTGAAATGTTTATTTCAGTCAGCTGAGATGTCAATGGATAGTGGACAAGGTACTATGTCATCTCGTACAACATCTAGTAGCAGTAGATCTAAACCATTTCCAGCATTTCCTATCACCGAAATTTCAGAAATAGAAGAAAATTTTCAAAAATTTACACATCAAGTGTCTAAAAACTCTAAAGGTGGTTTTAGACATCCTCCATCCCCTCCAGTAAGATTACGTGACAGGTTAGTTTTCTTTTTGTCTGTCTGTCTGATGCTTTGGGACACAATAACTTTAGTTCTGATTTAACTTGGTGTATAGTTTCGTTATATCAATACCTCATGAGTATTTTTTGCTCAGGGTAAACAGAGCGATAAGTAATTTAATGGGTTGAGACTTCGGAGCTGGATACCTTTGATTCTGATTTAGTGAGAGTGTTGAAATTTGGAACATAACAACTCTGCTTTTAATTGAGGTAGAATGTTTAAACAACTCTGCTTTTAATTGAAGTAGAATGTTTAAACTTGATGTTGATTTTCATTAGGTCAATGTCTTGACCGAGTTCAATGATTAACATTTCCTGCTAAAGCTAAGCAGAGCTAAGCAATGTCATTGGTTGATGTTTTGGGACAAGCAAGATAACTTTGATTCTAACTTACGGAGAGTGATGAAACTTAGTGCATAGTTTCCCTACCAGGTACATCAAAACTTTGATTAAGTTTGATCGTGAACATTTTCTGCTTAGAATAGGTATAGATAATCAGTTTGATTGCTCAATACTTTTGAAAAAGATAAATGTGCAATTGATTAATATGTGCCATCAAATTATTCTGGCTTGTTGCTTTGATTAGATGGTTTAAAGTTTTCACCAATTGACAGACTAGCATAGTACTAGAAAATAAATATAGTACCATTAATCCTACTAGATTATTAGAATGCAACTTTTAAATATACTATTCAAAAAAAGTAGGGGATATTTGATTTTGGGGGCATAATACTAAAATATGCAAATGACTACGAAAAAAGTCACTATAGAACCTAACAGAAGAAACATTTCCAGTTACATGTGATGCCCAAACGCACCAATAGCTACCGCATGGAATGCAGGTGATGCTTGGGATCATCATGGGGGTCCAACCCAAGATTTGCACGACTCTGACTTTGAATGTTACAGTCATTGTGGCATTGAATTCCAGGGTGGAAACATCAGTTTAATTGTTTTAGTGACCAGAAAACAAATTTTGATATGCGTCGGCTTACCCAAAATGAAAGGTTACGTGTCCTTGGCATGCTACAGATCGGCACAACACAGGCGGTTGTGGCGCGGACGATGAATGTTTCTCAGTCTGTCATAAGCAGGCTATGGTCCAGATACCGTGATACACAATCTGTACAGGACAGACCAAGCTCAGGTCGACCAAGGGTGACAACTCAAGCCCAGGATCGATTTATCCGTACCTTGGCCTTGAGAAACCGTGTCATCACAGCAAATCAGATCAGCGCTCGTCTTCAAACAGACACTGGTGTGAGAGTGAGTGGCCATACGATTCGGAATCGACTGCATAGGGGTCACCTTCGCGCCCGACGTCCTCGCGTGATCCCTTGTTTGAGAGATCATCACATTCAGGCAAGACGTCGTTGGTGTAGGGATCGTCAACACTGGGATAATCGACGCTGGAGCAATGTGATGTTTTCAGATGAGTCAAGGTTCACTGTTGATTTTTTGGACTGACGTAGGAGGGTGTGGCGTCGTCGAAACGAGCGCTTCCAAGACGTTAACGTCATCAGACATGATCGATTTGGCGGTGGTTCTGTTATGGTGTGGGGAGGCATCACTGTTGCTGGAAGAACGGCTTTACATGTTGTTGCAGGGCGTGTTACAGGCCAGTACTACCGGGACAACATCTTGGCAGTCCATGTTGTGCCGTTCGCACGACGTCATGGCCGCCGTTTCATCTTCCAGGATGACAACGCAAGATGTCACAGGGCCAGGATCGTTACAGGTTACCTCCAACAACAGAACATCACCACATTACCTTGGCCAGCACTGAGTCCCGACCTCTCCCCCATCGAGCATGTCTGGGACATGCTTGGACAGAGGTTACGTCAACGTCAACAACGTCCTGCCAATGTCCAAGAACTTGCTGCTGCGTTGCAACAGGAATGGGACAATCTGGACCAAAATGACCTTAGACGTCTCATTAGGAGTATGCCACGTCGGATCAATGCTTGTTTGGCAAACAGAGGAGGATTTACCCGTTACTGACTTGGTTGTGATGCTGTGGTAACTTTGCTGTTTGACCCCGGGTATCATTTTACCCTTATAATGGTCAGTCTGTGCCTTACTTAGTCTAACGATCATTTGGAATAAATCGATGAATGTGAACTTCATTTCATTTTGTCATTTGTTTCTTCGTCAGTTTCATTAGGTGACTTTAATAACACTTAAAAATCAAATATCCCCTACTTTTTTTGAATAGTATATCTCATCACAGTTCTTTGGTAGTCAGTATTATTCCCAAAGCTAATTGTATATTTACTATTTCACTATATAATAATTCACATTTGTTTAACTTTTAAAATCCACCATTATCTCAGTCATTTACATGATGGAAATTATGTTACAAGATTTTATTGTTTATTTTATTTTGTTTTTCAGTGACAGGGAATCGGAGATGCTTCGTATGAAAATGAACCATTTTTATGGTCAGGTTATGTCATCAGATTATCATACGTTTGCAGAAAATGGTTCTAAATTCACAAATCATCAGTTTGATCCATCAAGATATACCGAAAATTCACAAGCATCGAGTTCTTCTAGTTGGTCATGTGGTGGTACATCTGTACATAGTAGTGTTAATAATAGTAAAACACAGCCTAGTTTAAACACATTATCAGACACAAATAGTTCTCATGGACAGATAAACCCAACTAAAAACTATCTTAGTCATAGTTCAGATTTATCATCTGAAGGTGATAGTGAATTTAGTCTGCAAAATACTAAACGTGTGCTAAGTTTTAACTCTGACTCAAAACCTAATAGTTTACATGACAAATATAAAACTGATAGTGAGATGTGTCGTACACAGACAATTGAAGAAAAGTTTCCTCATTTAAAAGGTCTTTCAGGATCAATTGAATTTAATTCTACAGCAAAGTCAACGGATAGTAAAAGTGTTACACAAAATATTAAAAGTGCTTGTTGGGATGTGCAAAGTGTATCCGAAAAAACTGTTTCTAAAGGTGGCAGTATTGAAACATTTGTTAATCCTGTCCAAGTGGAAAGACTTAGACCCATACGACAAAAAACAAAGAATGCTGTGGTAAGTTTCATAGTCTCTTAGTTTTATTAAATAGTCCTGACAAATATTTTTGAAGTGCACAAATTTATTAAAAGATAAAAAGTGAGAAGTGGTCTGGTAAGTGATATTGACTGTTTAAAGAATTGACAAGAAATAACGTAAATAGTTTTGATTGTCAAGTACCTTTGCTATGATAATAAACATAGTTTAGATTTTTCATTTAAACGTTTAACAATGATATGGCAAACGTTTTGTAATCAACTGCCATCTGAGGTTCTAGAGAGTTGATTTTTGGTTTGTCATGTAAATAAATGTCTAAATAATGATTTATATTTGAAGCCCAAAAAAGACATGAAATCGACCGATTTAGCTCTTGTATAATGCATCTTTAATAAACTATACTTTCAGGTAAATATATTAGAATCTAATGAAGTTTGTTTAGAATTTTTTAAACTGAAAGGAAAGGAAGAGAGAGTGGTAGAAGTATTTCTTATATCCTCAGATGGACAACAGGTATGGTCATCGCGCTTATTTACCTTGCATTCTATCAAATGATAATTTAATGATTTATAAGAGTAATAAGAGTTTTATGTACTGAAATTTGTTGTTTTTTTGTATTAGATATGATTGTTTATTATTTGTTGTGTTTATAGATATCAATATGGCAGCCATATTCTGGACATAGTATTGATATGTCAAACCAGTTTGATACAGATGTTCTGTTAGATCCACCAGTAAAAACATTCACATATAAATTATTACCTGAAAAATATTGGAAAAAATACCAGTATGCTGCAAGGTATGTTTACAATTTGATAGTTTATTTTATAGTATTGTTTCTTCAATGTAACATATTTGGGAAACAGACCATTATGTGATTTTCTTACATTCCATAAGAGATCATTTCCCTACAAATCCTATTTTCGCTACAAAATTATTATGCTACATGAATTTATTGTAAAATATCAAAAATACAGATGGGAAGGCCGGGATAAAGTGTCTTATTCCAGGTCCATGTGGATTTGACATCTAGCTATAGTGAGAATCATATATGATATAAATTGATTGATTTTTGTATTTACAGATTTGTAGATTTAGTTCGTTCAAAAACACCTAAAGTAACATTATACACTCATCGATCTAAATGTATGTTGATGGAAAATTCTCCTGATCCAGATTTTGAGGCTATATTTTATGATGGTAAGTAAAAGTAGTAAAATCGTCTTGTAGACTGTAAACTGTACTGAAGAAACAAAGCTGTCAACAATAAACTCTGATGGATTCAAACTAAACAAGATCAGGGAGATGTATGGTGTTCGCTTCAGATCACAAGGTCTGTCATTGAGACATGTGGCATGGTTTGGAGTCCCATATTGTACATGGCAAGGGATAGGGTCGCCTGTCCAACCTCATGGTTTTTTTTCTGGGTCCTTCAGCTTCTTTCCACTGATAAAGTATTGAAATAAAATTGAACCATATGTAACCTGAAACAACCTAGTTTATGTTGAGTGAACATTAAATCCCATTTCTCGCCCTCTCTCTCTCTCTCTCTCTCTCTCTCTCTCTCTCTTTTGAACAACAGCAGTTAGTATAGGTCAAATTGTCTAGTGTGTTTGAAGTCCGTATTGTGACGCATGATGATTTGTGTATTTTTTATTTCAAGGAGCAAAATTTACAGCCAATACAAAAGGTATGAAGATTATAGAAACTAATGGTACTAGTTTAAGTTTGGAATCTACAGAAGCTGAATTAAGATTATCTTCTGAAACACAAAGTTGTTTAGAATTTGTTAAACAGGTCAGTAATATTCTAAAATTAGTCAATATTGTGCACAGGTAATCAAAATAATTCAGAAATAAAAGTTCACAAATCTTTCTTATGTAAAAAAAATCCTTGTAATAATAGCTTGATTTGTATCTACACATTTGTTAATTGATTTATTTATAATTACCAGTGTCGTCAGCAGTGTTTAGAGTTAGAATCAGCTATAACAAGTGTACAAAAAACTGGTATATTAAAAGATCAACTCTTCCCTGTTATTGTAGGAAGGTAAGATATTAATCACTGCAGAATTACCATAATTAAAACATCAATAGCAGAATATTAAATTGATAATTTTTGATTGAGATCTGAGACATCATCACTAAATAAAAGGTAATTTGATTTTAAAGTGATATTATTTGTGATGTCTGGATAATATTATTTTGTTTGTAGACGCCCCAATTCATCTGATGGTAGTGAAAGTAGTAGAACACCATCAACACCTAGTGATACTAAAAATACACCTACTCCAAGTGAACCAGATGCTTCTAAATTTAACATTAAATCAATGGTGAGTAATAACTGTACATTATTAAACAGATCTAGTCAAGAGTTTGTAGAAATCAACATATTCAACATTCTTAAACAAGTATTGTGGAAAAGATGTATATCATAACATCTCACAAAATTAAAAGCTGGATATAGATTTGTTGAAAAAAGAAGTTTACTATCTTTGTGACAATTGATCCCCAAATTTTTATGTTAATTTTATTTTCCAAAAATATTTTAAGTGATTATTAATGTTAATTTGATGTGATTATATTTGCAGCCCATGCCATCATTTAATGGAACTGTTATGTCTTCTATGAGTGAAACTAGTAGTATATCACATAATCTACATAATGATACAATATCTACACAAGCTAGTTCACCTGATAGTACTAGTAATAATAATCATATTAAATCACAAGTTATTAGACAGATGTTTGTACCTCATGTTGGTTGGGCAGCTCAGGTATGATTTTATATTGTTTTTATGATGAATGTCCTAGGTCTGTTCATATACATTCAATTACCATGGATCCAGAGCCAGGGACACAATAACTCTCCTTATAATTGAGGTAGAATGTTCAAATGCTGAATGCCTTGATGTAGTTCAAAGATGTATAGTTTCATTACATCAATACCTTAAAATTCGATGCTGAGCAATTTCTGCATAGGCAAAGTAGAGACTTCAATCTGATCGATTGAAACTTTAAATCATAATCACTCTCCTTCTAATTGATGTAGAATGTTTGAAACACAAAAACTATGGTTCTAATTGGGTGGGAGCGATGAAACTGAGTATCAATACCTTGACTAAGTTCAATGATGCAAATTTTCTGCTTAGGCTAAGTAGCGATAAGCAATTTGATTGGCCAAGACTTTGGTGTCTGTGGCATTGTAACTAATATATTAGTCTCTGAATTCCTCAGTAATTGTTCAACCTCTTTCCTTTCCATTCTTGTCTCCATTAAAGAGGTTTTAGATTAAACTATTTTATTTATTAATTCAATGTCAATTAATTTCATAAAGTATGGCTTGTTTTACAGCATGCAAGTGGAGAAATCTGGGTAAAATTTAATGATGGATCCCAACTAAGTGTGAAATCTTCTGCTACTACTGTAACCTATTTTGATATTCATGGAAAACTTTACAAGTAAGTTCAATTTTTATAGGCCACATGGAAATATGGTCCGATGTCATCTCTTCTGTCATCTCTTGACTGACTACATTTAAAATGTATGTTGTTAACAGTAAAACTAAGAAGGCTATTGAATTTGAACAATGTTATTACTTCTAGAGTTATGGGTAGTTATAGTCGATGTTTCATTTTGTAGAATTATGTGAATGCTATGACAACAAAACTTACCTTCTAATCTGTATTAAATATGCATTATTAGAATTAGTGAAAGGAAGAATTTCTGTTAATTTTTTCCGGAGTTAGGACTCTTGTTTTACTTTGTAGAATCTTGTGATTGCTCTAAAAGCCAAAGTTATCATAAAGGCTATTGAATTTCAACCATTTCCATTAATTATTGGAGTTATGGCCCTTGTTCCACTTTGTAGAATTTATTTTGCGAACTCTCTAATTACAAATTTTATCATCTGTTAATTATTTCTGACCTTCGTTTCACTTTGTAAAAACTGGTAAAAACAAAAGTTATAATCTGTTTGCTTCTATTTCTGTTAATAATTACTTCAAGAGTTATGGCTCTTGTTCCACTTTGTAGAATATGAACTCTCTAATGACCAAAGTTATCTGATTAGTTTGAAATTTATAAGCATTATTCAAACTAGCGAAATAATCAATGAAATTATTTAAAGTATTTTGATTTACTTTGTTTTAGATATCAGAAAACAGACCTGCTTCCAGAAACAGTTAAATCCAAACTGGAGAAAGTTCCAATAGTGTTAGAATATCTTCGTACTAAATTTACTCACAATAGTCACAATACTCGCCCATTGAAATAAATGTTGTACATGATGTATCTCTCTCTCTTCATGTAATATACATCCTTCTTGTCTATCAAATACTGCCTTATACCATGTAAATATGGACAACTGTGTGTATGATACAACTGGTTATTTTAGCAATGAGCAATATATTTTCATATAAATATGTGTATGTATTCATTTAATGTTATGCTATTCTGTCAAATGTGTAAATGTGCCTTTTGTGTATGTAGATATGTACTAGATTACATAGAATTATATATATTTTTTTTTGTTTTTATACATTAGTTTTGATTAGTTTGTACATATATATAATTATGTATTTATATAATATTCATCTCATTGTGCTAATATCTTCATTCGTTCATTCATTCATTCTCATGATCTGTTTATATTTTTAAAATAGAAGTACAGTATAGTATTTATGTTTATTATTTATGTTCATTTATGTGTCTATCATTTTTACGTCACTGATATTATATAAGTCTGCACTTCATGAAATAGCGAAAAAATAAAACAAAAAGTTTTTATCCATTTTATTTATGTATTTATAGAAAATTAAATATGCTCAATACCATCCTTACACAACTCATATTAATCATCATTTACCTTGCCAAAATCATTGTTTTAAAAAAATAATAAAACAAACTACATTATGGCACTTTTTTTTACTACAAAATGAAATATTGTGATAAGAAAAATGAAAGAAGAATTCTGATCTTAGTATATTTTTAAAACATTAATCAAATATTTGTAATACTAGCACAGTAGAACATAGTGTAATATAAGCATGTTTAATCAAATATTCTTTAATTGTTAATTATTTTTTATTACGATAAATTGTTGATTTACGTATATATTTTTATTTCATTATTTTAGAAATAAAGTCAATGTTGATGAAAAAAAAGGTTTCTTTTATTATTATTGTGAGACCCTACTCACAGAATGTTAATACATATTTTGTTGGTAGATGGGTTCCCTTCCAGTAATTTTAAATTTATAATTCAAGATTGTTTATCTGTAAATTGACCATTTGTGGTAGCAGTCAGCTGACTTAGACTGTTGCAGATATTTGTTTACTGTGAAGCATAATGGTACACTATATTAAGAAGAGGTTTGTGAAATACATAAAGGTGGGATGGTTTTTGTTGGGGGGGGGGATTTTATTTAAAGATGTATTATGTCCGGAGCTAAATCTGCCTATTGCAGGTCTTTATTATGACTTCAAAAGCTATATAAATTATTATTTAGACATTTATTGACATGACAAGCATATAATCAACTAAGACCAGATTAAAAGATGTTGTCATTAATGATTTAATTTAAAAATGGCGAATCGAGGCCAAGTCTCGAATAAAAAGTAGAGTTATGATAATAACAAGTCTTTTCAAAACCTCAAACAGTGAAACTTTGCTCGGAATAAAGTAATTTGAATGAAATTTTTATACGCCCACATGGAAATGTGAGAAACTTCCAATCAATAGAAACAGGTAACACAAACCAATTATAGACAGTTTAATGGGATCAATTTTGATGAAGTCAAAATGATGCATTTGATATTCAGATAAGTTGATATCAGGGCCCGTGAGAGGGGGAGACAAATGGGACACTTGCCCAGAGCCTAGAGAGGCACAGAGGTATGCCGAGAAATGTTTTGGTAGAAATTTGTTAGTAGAAGAAAACCGGTGACTTTTCTGAATGTGGGTAGGGGAGAGCGGGGATGGTTCGGACACTTTTGTGCTTTTTCACATTATTTTGTGCAACCACTAATGAACTTCTCTGAAATTACGAATGGAAAATAGACTTTACCATATTAGCTATATTCAGTCAGTGATACAGCTGTGTATTTATAAAATTCTTTGTTATGGACCATTTTTTTTTTTTTTTTTTTGTGGGCTGGGGTGGGGGGCGTAGTTTAATGTCCGGATTTAGCCCATTACGAGGGAGACACCTAGCTACAATATTTTGCGCGCTATACTATCATACTGCACGCAGCGACCCATCTACGTCATACTTCCCAGAATGAGGGTTAGGGGGTAGATAGGCAGCCTAAGTTTGGGATGCTATACTATGGAACTATTTCTAGGAGACACCGGGCACTGCTGGGGGATGCTTTGGACAAGTGGAGGAGGAATGGACAAAAGCAAATAGAACAGATTTCTTTCACAGTTAGCTGTATTTATTCAAACAATTCCGTTAACAATAATGTTAACACAGTTGTGATGAATTTAAAGCTGAGTGTCATCTAATAGAGATGATATTTTTAACATAGCTGGATGGAAATAAATGAACGGATTCCAAAATGAATTAACTGATAATTCTAAAGGTTTAAAGCTTCATGCTATTGTCTAGGTATGACATCAAACCATAATTTACATCTAAAATGCTAACGAATGTTTATTCCAGCAAATGACAAATCAAATTTTTATTAAGTATTCATCCCCTTGTTGCTACTGGATAAGGGTTTCGGAAGAATTGACAGAATTTGAAATAAAACAGCACCCGTAATTTCAGTAAGCCTATAAAAGACCCGTAACTGCCAGTCATCATTTTTTTTTTTTTTTTTTTTTTTATCAAAAAATACTTACGGGTTTGATCCGGACGCTTGTGGGTAATTCCGGACACGTGTCTGGATGTACCCCAAACCCATAATTATGATGTAAGACGAAGAATCCTGTTGATTTTCAACGATTTCTGATAATTACTTCCAGAGTTATTGCCCTTAATCACTTTGAAATTTTTTTTGGCCGCTCTAGAGGCCAAAGTTAATGTCCGATTGACTTTAAATTTATAAAGAGTTTTTAAAACCTATTGCTTTTCAACGATTTCCGATAATTACTGCCAAAGTTATGACCCTTGGTCACTGTGAAATCTTTCGGATGCAATAGATTTTATACGGTGTTTAAGGTAATGAGACAAACAATCAAAACAAATTCCAATGATCTATTCAGATTTTAGTGTGTTGTATATGTTTTCATTAATGACAGAAGAAAAAATATGCGACAGCCCTTGTTGACTGCCGGACGACTTGGCATGTTGTGCCTGGCACCCATCTTCTAACTTCAATATCTGCAAACCCTAAAGCTTACCCTAACCCTGATTATTTAACCTTAAATCAAATCATCTGTTCTGGGAATGACATCAAAAAGGATTTCCAAATATTTTAGAGGTTGCTGTTAAATACCTTTTATACCAGACATTTTTTTTTTCAATCGCTAAAATCTAAATGCATTATTCGTCACATCAAAGCAATCAATTACTAGTAGGCCTATACCATTCTGTCAAACATGTAAAACCATTTTGTCTTTAAATTCTTTAATTGGCCATTAAAAAGGAGTTTAAAATAAGTCCCTTTAACGAAAACGCGATAATAGATTCTCCAGTTTTGACTTTTCAATAGTAGTAGCGAAACGTCCTCCCCAGTGTATGCGAAATGTCTCGTTCGTTAAGTTGCAGGATTGTCGCACGAGTCAAAGCAACTACAACCCTAAACGAAGGACAAACTAACACGTTTTTCTTCCAACCAATTATTGACCTTTCTAAATACTATCAAAAATGCTGCGTTTTCCATATCGTGCCCGGCCCCGGAAAATGTCACGACAAAGGCTACCTGAAGAAGGTATTATTGTAGGCCCCGAGGGAAGGTTACAGCGTTTACGTCAACTGGTAACAGGCTTGGTACGGTATGAAAGAATAGAAACTGTTCACCAACATTGTGATGAAACTCGGGGATATGCAGAAAGGGTATGTTTTCTGTGACAAGATGCTCAACAAAGATGGATTTGTCAACCATAAATGTAAATCATTGATTAGGCCCGTAGCTAGCCCAAAAATGATGGGGGTGGGTGCAAGGGTTTCTAGGGCCGCCGATGGGCTTCTGGGGGGCTGATGACAGTGATGTACCTACTGACTTGACAGACCACAGCGAATGGCACTGTGGACGCGCCTCCCTTCAGAGAAGGATCTAGGGTGCTCTCCCCCCAGAATATTTTTGAAAATAGGGTTTTGCACCCCAGGAGGCAGGAGAGGAACTATGAAAATGACGGAAATTTTCAATTTTGAGGCTGAATTTGCGATATTGTCATATTATATTTTGATATCAAATTTGAAGGAAGGAATATGACTTTACGGTACCTATAATAATTTATGAGAAAAACACGTTAGAGTGTGACTTGATTGAATTTTGAAGATTATCATGCCTGGTGCAGGCTTGAATCAATCTAATCCCTATCGTGAATTTGACCTAGAAAATCTCCTAGCTACAATCTCCAGTTAGCTTTCTTATGGTAGATTTCTTCGGGCGTCGGTATCCACCCGTGATCTCGTCGTGGGCGACCCACCAATGCCGTTTTGGGCGCCCCATAGATGAAGTCATTATGGGTGCCCTTCCAAGATAAGACACCGCACAGATCACGCCATTTTGAGCACCCCATCAATCAAGTTGGGGTGTTAATCATATGATTCATTTTGTGGTACCTCATATATAACGACATGATTGGCGAGGCGCCCATAAAACCAAGCGACATTGGTTGGGGACCGGCCAATCTCGTCGTGGGCGCAAAACCAATGTCACTCGGCTTTATTTGGCACCCATACTGATATGAGCACATTGGTCATTGGCTTCCTATTGCGTCCAATGGAAAGGGCTAGCTACTGGCCTATGATTGATCTTGGAGGCAGGGAGTTTTATAAGTAGCCATTATGTTTAAACAAGTTCTAGTTTAGACAAGGTTACTAAAGTAACTAGACAAGCTCATAATGTTGAGTGGTCTTAATTAATAATGGTAGAATTTGTGCATGACTGTAATCACTTTTGATCAAAGTCTTTTGTGGTGAATTTTGCACATGGAACACTAGAAATCTGAATATACAGTGATTGATTATTGCCATTTATTATGAGTGAAGGTTAAACTCTCTCTGTCTTTCTCTCCTTGCCATTTATTCAATCTCAACACCTGACCACAATTAAGCATTATCCTGCCTGACAATGCTGGAAATGACCTAAATTCATTCAAAGCAATTACTAGGCCATACTCCTGGCAGTGTTTGGTTTGATAAGACCCAATCCCTCTTACACTGCTAGACTCACTGCTAATGTCTGTCCCAAATTATGACAGATCAACAACCAATACATTACAGTTACAAATTTTGTTTCAACATACTGGATAGAAATACAACTTCCAACAATGGTACTTGGGTGAGATTTGATTAAATGATAAAAATAGACACACTCCATCAAAAACCCAAGTTTTTGCTCTCAGTAGGCCTACAACAATGGCCATTGCTTCAGGAATATCTTACTAGCCAGACATTTTCATTTCAAGTCTAATAATATACAAAGTAATACATCCCAGACACCTATTTAAGGAATTATCTGGTAATGCTAAAATGGCCGTCCCTCTTTAATTTGGATCACAATAATATTGTTAATCTCACTGGATTTTATATGTTGATTTGCTTTGTAAGATGACAATATCCCTTGTTGTAAAATTGACATAGTTACTATAGATTTAGCTCTTTGACTTTAAAACACAATCAGACTACAATCTAAAAGATTAAGGGAGTCAATATAAAAATAATAATTCCACTTTCAGTTAATTCATACAGCTATAAGATATGGAGATCAGCATCAACACACCATGGAAATGGCAGATTACTGGTTAAATGTAAGATTGACAGATTAAATTTTATTATTTTTTAAAAAAATTGGCTACTATGTAATTTGTCTTTGAAGTTTTAATTTTTATTAATTTTATCAATTGAAGTTTTAGAAATCATTTCTTCAAGTTTGCTTTAAAATTATCACACGCTTGAATGGGCCCTCATTAAAATATGTGCTTGTTAAAAACTATGCTCCTGACAAACAGTTTGCTAAATCAAGATGAATATAGAGTCCATTTTTATACGTCCACATTCATAATGTGAACGTATTATGCCGTCGCCCCTGTCTGTGTGTGTGTGTGTGTGTGTATGTGTGTATGTGTGTGTGTGTGTGTGTGTGTGTGTGTCTGTGGTTCGCCTACAGGGCGCAATTCTTCATGGATTTTCTTCAAACTTGGTATACTTATTCCTTATACCCCAAGGAAGATCCCTATTGTTTTTGGTGCATGCCCGACCCCCCGGGGCAGAGCCACGCCCATTTCTAGTATTTGTTTGTTTGTCGTCTACAGGCCACATTTCTTAACTAATAATCTTGAAACTTTGCATACACATTCTTTGTACCCTAAGGAACATCCCTATCGTTTGGGGTGCATGCCCAACCCCCAGGGGCAGAGCCACGCCCATTTTCTTTTCGTGTGTCTTTGTGTCGCCTACAGGGCGCAATTCTTACTGGATTTTCTTCAAACTTGGTATACTTATTCCTTATACCCCAAGGAAGATCCCTATTGTTTTTGGTGCATGCCCGACCCCCAGGGGCAGAGCCACGCCAATTCCTTATATTTATTTATTTGTTGGTCATCTACAGACCGCATTTCTTAACGTATCATCTTGAAACTATGTATACTTATTCTTTGTACCCCAAGGAACATCCCTATCGTTTGGGGTGCATGCCCGACCCCAGGGGCAGACCCACGTCCATTTTCTTTTCTTTTTATGTCTGTGTGTCGCCTATAGGCCACAATTCTTAATCAATCGTCTTGAAAAATTTTCATATGAATTGCTTATACCCTAAGTATGATCCCTATTGTTTTTGGTGCATGCCCGACCCCCAGAGGCAGAACCACGCCCATTCCTTATATTTATTTATTTGTTTGTCATCTACAGACCGCATTTCTTAACGTATCAACTTTACATACTTATTCCTTATACCCTAAGGATGATCCCTATTGTTTTTGGTGCATGCAAGCCTCCCCGGGGCAGAGCCACGCCCATTTTTTGTATTTGTTTGTTTGTCGTCTACAGGCCACATTTCTTAACGTATCATCTTGAAACTTTGCATACTTATTCTTTGTACCCTAAGGAACATCCCTATCGTTTTGGGTGCATGCCCAACCCCCAGGGGCAAAGCCACGCCCATTTTCTTTTTTATGTCTGTGTGTCGCCTACAGGCCACAATTCTTAATCAATCGTCTTGAAATTTTTTCATATGAATTGCTTATACCCTAACGATCATCCCTATTGTTTTTTTACCCCCAGGGGCAGAGCCACGCCCATTTTCTTTTCTTTTTATGTCTGTGTGTCACCTACAGGCCACAATTCTTAATCAATCGTCTTGAAAAAATTTCATATGAATTGCTTATACCCTAACGATGATCCCTATTGTTTTTGGTGCATGCCCGACCGCCAGGGGCAGAGCCACGCCCATCCCTTATATTTATTTATTTGTTTGTCATCTACAGATCGCATTTCTTATCGTATCACCTTGAAACCTAGCATACATATTCCTTCTATCCTAAGGAACATCCCTATTATTAGTGGTGAATACCCAACACCCAGGGGCAGAGCTACGCCCATTTTCTTTTTTTATGTCTGTGTGTCACTTGCAGACCGCATTTCTTAATCGATCATCTTGAAAACTTTTTTATACTTATTCCTTATAGCCTAAGGCTACTTTTTATACTTATTCCTTAATCCTAAGGCCGACCTCTATTATTATTTTTGGTGCATGCTCGACCCCTTGGGACAGAGCCACGCCTAACGTTTGTGTGTCCTGTGTTTTGCCTACAGACCGCAATTCTTAACAGATCCTTTTGAAACTTTGCATACCTATTCGAAACGTCATGCTTTTAGAATAAAGACATCGATTGTTTTAAAATAAAAATTGTGTTCTGTTAATGTGAACGAAGTGTTAAACTGATAGCAGTCCTACAACCCAGTTTTATTTCACAGACCCTCAATGCAAACTGGACCATATCAAACAAAACAGGAATGTGGACGTATATTGCTGCGTTAGCGATGCTCTTGTAATTTCTGTTGTGCCCTGAAAATGTGAGATTTATTTGTTATATTGTAGGATAAAGATCTTATATACAAATTATTTGATGTACTAGTGCCAAGGTATCAAAATTATTCATCAGCATTCACCAATATTTATAGAACACCAATAGTTTATCCTGGAAGGGGAACAGAAATGGGTATTCTCGAATTAAAAGGTAAATCTTTTGTCAACATAGATATATCTAAGGTAAAAATTCAGTAATTATGACATCCTAATTTGAAAAATATCTTTCGATTGAAATAAAGGGTTAAAATTATATTCTGTCTATAGGTTAACATTTGATTTTTGAGGCTGCCAGAGTTGGTTTATGAAAATTTAAAATGTCAAAGATGTTGAAATTCTATAACTGTAATTTTTAAATGGAATACAAATTAATATTATGTTAACCTTTTTATTTTCAGGAAATCCCTGGCCGGATGTTCTTCCTAAACAACGAGATAATAGATATATCATATCAAATGTATTATTACATGCAGCTAAAAAAGATTATAACATTTCTAAAGAAAGTAAAAAAACTAATAACGAGTGTAATTCTTCTAGTGAAAACAATGAAACATAATTATTTATATGAGTGATAATCAAAGATATGTGTATATATAGATAGACAATACTGAAATGTGGAGTTCTAATAGACTGAATGGCAATATCAGATTTATCAATGCTGCAGTTACATAATCAGGCCTGGAAATAACGGTTTTAGATGTACCTGACAAAATGTCAGGCACTAATGAAATAGTACCTGACATTTTCAACTTAGTGCCGGACATGTACATTATTAATAATTTCAATAAAAAAGACAAATCAGCGCTGGACAAAATTACAGGCACCAGAGGTTTAGTGCCTGACAAAGCCTGAATCTATGCCTGACATTGTGTGTGACAGGTGTCTTATTTTCTGGCTTGTATAAGTTAGTGTTTGTTATAGTAACAATCTATACTTTGTGCCAGACCTTAAGTACAGTTAATTCCTGTGAGCCACAATAGCTCAATATCAATCGGTGCGTGAGGAACTGGCCCACTAACTAGCAGATCCTGGTCTCGGTGTTGATTGAGAAGTTTTTAGTGTGGTATGACCGTGTCACTTGTCAGTGGTGCAGAACAGAGGGCCTGACAAGGAACAGTGTTTATTTGTTTGGATAGGTTGATAAACTGAGGGCTGTTGAACATGTTGGCATGTGCATAAAAAAAAAACCCCACTGACAGTTGGAATTCAATAAGTCAATAGTTGGGAACATTGCTGTCTAGTCAATACTTCCCTCATAGCACACTGCTGTCTAGTCAATACTTCCCTCATAGCACACTGCATGTCAATCTGATTAAAACATGGATTCTATTTCTTTTCCTTTTTTATAGTTCAAAATTTCATTTTACTTGTCTAAACAACACTAGGATCTGTACGAGTTGTTATAATAACACATGTTCTGCTTGATGTGAGGAATTAGCCAATGAAACAGTCTGTTACGGCAAGTTCTTGGAGTGCAATGCACGGAACTGTGGGTAAACTACCAGAAACATCAACGCTGATTGATTAATCAGCACATCATGTAGGTGGCCATCGAAAGTATAAAAAAATGAAACGAAATATAGATCTGTATTTTATTCAGACTGCATGGCATATTCCTATCTTTTTGTTAGTAAAAAATAAATAGTAATATGATTACATAAATATTATTCTCACTGAAAGTAGTGTAATTAAATGTATATCTGATTGAAGTCATACACAGTCATTGTTCTTGAATTATTTATTACAGAGTTATATAAAAGTTTCATATTTCAATGAAGGCATCATTATCCTTCAAATTGGAAAAGATCTGAAAGCAAGGATAGTTGAGTTTGAACATGTTGGCTTTAGGTAAACTATTCTACTGCAAAAGAACACTTTTCAAAATTCGCGGACCTTATGGTATGCCAACACCAGGCTAGAGATGCAGTTCTTAATTTAAGAGCGTGTCCGCGAGAGCACCAATACTCCAATCCTAAATGTAAATACGTCGGCTTAGAAATCATGGAATCAGCTTTATTTTGAAGGTTTTGATGTTTAATGACAAAAAAAACATGTTGACATTTTTTCTGAGTAGGTCGTCATGGTATCGGATTCCATTATCTGAGGGTAGCCATTTTGAATATTCCAACTTTTTTTTTTTTCACCTTATTTATAATGTTATTGACATATCAACTGTGATTTGGCACTGTATTAGTATTGACAGGGGTCATGGCTATATTTCAGATTTTTCCCCATCACTTCATGATGATATTTCCAAGATGGCGGCCATTTTTGGTGGGAAAATGAGAGATGTTAAGATTTTGTTAAAGTAGTAGTGTTTGGTGTCAATATATATGTTTTCGGGGTTGCAGATTCCATTTCTGACATTTACAACGTTGTAAAATGATCACATGTTCACATATTAGAATATTTCCAAGATGGCGGCCATTTTTGGCGGGAAAATGGGACTATGTGAAGATTTTGATTATGTAGTAGTGTTTGGTGTCAATACATGTATATATGTTTTCGGGGTCGTAGATTACATTTCTGACATTTACAATCTTGCAAATTGATCACATGTTCACATACATAGCATATTTCCAAGATGGCAGCCAAGATGGCGGGAAATGGGACACGTGCGGATTTTGATTAAGTAGTAGTGTTTGGTGTCAATATACATGTATATGGTTACGGGGGCGCAGAATTCATTTCTGACATTTACAACTTCGTAAAATGATCATATGTTCACATATTTAGCATATTTACATTATTGCTGCCACTTGTGTCGGAAAAATCGGACGATTTGCTGATTTTGTCTAAGTAGTCGTCTTTGGTGTCAATATATATGTTTTCGGTGGCCCAGATTCGATTTCTGCCATATACAACTGCGTACAAAAGTCATATGTTCACCAATTTAGCATATTTTCAAGACGGCGGAACGTTTTCTAAATGCATTATTATATATTTAATAGTTATTTACAGGATTCTGCGTTCAATTCTGCTACGTAGGCTATTAGCTTGTAGCCCATTCCGGAAAACCGGTACCGTGTCGTACCCATTTGGTATATTATACAACGATGAAAATTACTGATCCGAGATGACCAAAGAAAGAAAGGCTATTCACGTGGTCTCATGGCATGAAGGCAAAGAGAGCGTAATGGCAGTGTGGGGCTTGTGCCACATTGACACGCGCCCATCGTGCTCCTGCCACGACCACACTCAAGATCTTACTACGCTTATGGCCAAGCTCTGGCTACGCGCACCGTGTTCCCGCCATGCTCTCGCGGTTAGCAGTCAGACCGGGATACGTACTCACCACACTCCCGTGACGTGCCTATCAGGTGTAAGCCGCGTCTATAAGGACTGCGCCATGGTTACCCCGTCCTCATTCACTTTCAAAGCAGAGAGCACCCAAATGTTAAGCAATCAAGAACTGATGGACGAGGCTCAGACCCTTCCCTATATATACTCGTCAAAAAAAGCAGGGGATATTGAAATGCAAATACCTATGCAGGATGTGATATGATAATTAGGCATGGACACTGAACATGCTTTGAGAGTATGTTCACAGATGAAGAACTTATCGCCCCAACAGAACCAATGAGCTGCACATGCGACACGCAATAGCGCCATACACGTTGGGTGGGGGGTCGGGTCATTGTCAAATTTGACACTTCAAGGAAGGGTTGATGAAAACTGCCGCCTCCTGGTTTATCTATCTATGTTTGCTTTCCTATCGGTTCTTGCATAAGTTTTACTGTTTAGTGTATCTTTGCTTTAGTGTGTTACGTTTAATTTGATCAGGGGGGTTGGATGGCTGAATGGTTAGCGTGCGCGCGCTGTATCATAAAGTCTGTCATTGAGTCAACTGGCGTGGTTTCGAATCCCCGGTTGTACGTGACAAGGAGTAGGGTCGCCTGTCCAACCTCGTGGGTTTCCTCCGGGTCCTCCGGTTTCCTCCCACAGCTAAAGATCCCTACGCGCAAGCGAATTATGGAAATAAAATTGAACCATACGTTAGTCCCGAAATGACCTAGTTTGTGTCGAGTGGACGTTAAACCCCATTTCTCTCTCTCTCTTAATTTGATCAGGAGACGTATTCGTCAACGTCGACCGACAACATTGCAAGAATTGGCCGTGGCACTGCAAGAGGAGTGGGTTAGATTGATTAGGAGCATGCCACGACGAATTGCTGAATGTCTGAGGATTGGTGGAGCAATTACTCATTATTAAGACAAAAATCAAAAACTTCCATTTTCACTTTTGACGGTGTATTTCTTTGCGAGTGAAATGGGGCCGTCAGATAAGCCGCCCATATGAACTGTTTATGTTCATGTGTAGGCAAATGGCCTGTTATTAACATACACTGGTTACCTCTAATAAAAACAACAGTGTATTTGCGCAGTTTTGTATTGTTTCTGAATATCCCGTACTATTTTTGAAGAGTATATACAATGTATACAAAAAGGTCGTAACAGCATGTGGCTAGGAGCTTCGTTCCTGTCTGGTGCTGGTGGCAGCGTGGCTGTAAATGAAATACTTACTAAGAAGCCCTCGTGACATAGATTATGTTGTCAACTGACTTCCAAGCCGAATGTGGAACGAGCACGTGGAATGCTGTTGCGTTGGAAACATAAAGTATGTCACCACTTACACAATGACGTGCCGCCTACTTATCACTGCCAACAGTTCTTTCAATGGTGATGGCAGTGGTGTCATAGATGACTGGTCACGTCGTCGTTTAAGTGGTGATATAGTTTGTTTTTCCAACGCAACATCATTCCTGTGGACGCCCCCTTCAACACGCAGCTTTGGGTCATAATATTATTATGATCTATGCCACGAAGGTTTTTTTTTATAGCAAGTATTACTATTTCATTTGCAGTCTTTGTTTTTATTTCTTTGTATACCGCTTTATATTTAACATCATAGATTTCTGTTAATTTTTATTCATTTATTACCTTTTCAAAAGTTGTAAGTCTCACATTTTTAACCATCGTTAATTTTGTATCTATAACTGACAGACGACATAAACTGAAAGTCTCGATGGCGCCACCAAGTTTTTAAAAACTCAGACTGATCGACCAAGTAGATATTAGCTCAGTTTTCAACTCAGATGAGGAATTTTCATCGTTGGACAAATGGGTAAGCAATGGCTTGTAGGAAGATGCTACAGGCTTATACATAGCAGAAGCAGATTCACTTCAACCGGACAACCGAACCTCGATAATTTTCGAGTGGTAGAAAACCATATCAGCTAAGTCCGTGATCACAAACGTTTATTCGCCTGTGGCTTGAAGACTTGAAGTGTTTCTGACGCAGGGATTGTAGATGATCCAGTGACATTAAGTCTACTCACACAATCAGCAAGATGACTGAGTATCACCTTTTCTACCAATGTTCCTTGTGCTAAATAGGTTATTGTGGTCAAACATATTTTAGGAATCAGACCAGCCTATTCCCATCTGTATTTAGGAGCCGATCATTGTGTAGAAACATTTGGAAGTTTTCATAGAGAGGCATTGGAAATTGGAAGGCTATGATATTTCCATACTGAAATCCCTGAAGGGGACCGAAAACAGTACTACAAAATAAAACAGTACTCTGGGATCCAAAAACTTGTAGGACGGTCAGTCCAACCTTGTGGGTTTTCTCCGGGTCCCCCCACTGCTAAAGACCCCTACGCACAAGCGAATTATTGAAATAAAATTAAACCATATGTTAGTCCCGAAATGACCTAGTTTGTGTCGAGTGGACGTTAAACCCCATTTCTCTCTCTCTGTAGGACGGTCAGAGAGCATTTACACTCGAACATAGGAATCTAAGTAAGTAAGCATTTCTACTCGAACGTAGGTATATATCGGAGATTGGCACATGCGGTTAACATTATCCTGGAGTGCCATAAATCCTGTTGTGATCTATACCATCTTCGTCTTCAGAGGTTTCAGTACCAGACATTAGATGTTTCTTCTTGTGAGCAGGTGTACAAATTAATAGATATATCAAGTTTATGATAGTCATGTCAGTCAATAAATCTAACCGTGGTCTGATCCCTTCAAAATTATACACGACTTATGACCCTTCCCAATGACTAGCAAGCGAACTAAAAGCCAGATTTTGTCACAAAAATATTATGATTTTATGATTTGACAGAAGGCACGTTCAAATAACCAAATAGTAGAAGTAATGGTTATGATTAGTAGTTATTTGAAGACAATCGTTGGTCATTGCTGAAAAGGCGCTGCTTTGGGTAAATTGTGCTAATATAAAAGCTTACCATGCCAGCCCATAAATTTATGCACATCCGTACAACTAACTACTGTCAGAACTGAATACAGATGAGAACAATCGTTGCCTGATCCTGCAAAATTATACACCAATTACGCCCCAATCCTACGATGAGCGCCAACTTCCGATTTTGTCACAAAAGCTTTTAAAAATTCATGATTTTTAACGAAGATAGCATATTTGGCACAAGGAACGTTCAAGTAACCAAATATTATACTAATGTCGATAATCAACGGTCATTTGAAGATAGTAGTCGGTCATCAGTGAAAAGACGAATTTCGTGGAAAATACCGTTTTTACATATTTTCAGAATATTGCAGCTCCCTAGTGGGTTACGTTCGGTCAGCGTTTTTTATTCTGACATTTACTTTGGGAAATGCCCTTCACAACCACACCAAGCAATTCTATGTCAGACCTGCAATGAAGCAGCTACATACGTTTTAGGATG